TCGGAAAAGCTAATTAAAACGTTCCCGTTAAAAAAAAGTGAACGACTTCGCTGGAAAGGAAGGCTAAATAGCATTTTTTTTAAGGATTAGAACGGAAAGGACAGGGAGAATTAGTAGAAAACCCGCGAAAACGGCTAGGAACGAACTAACCTAGCTATTTACTTTCGTTTTTCTACCCGCTTTACGCTTTCGGGCATAGTAAAAAACGACGGGTTTATCGTTATTATCGTTATTTTTTTAAACGAACCGATTAACAAATTTATCGAAATTAAAATCGATTTTAATCGTTAAACGAACAAGCTAATCGGGCCCAAAGCTTTTGCTTGGTTTAGCCGGAGCTTAAAAAGCACCGGTTAGGTTAGGTTGGGAATTAAAACGAAAGGTACAAAAAATAACAAAAATAACCGAAAGCTTAAAAACGGTTACGGCAATATTAATCGGGGTCCAGGTTAAAAAACGGCGCAAAGCTTCCATTCGTTTAACGTAACGAGCCCAATTAGTTTTAACCCGTTTAGCGTTTTTAGCGAACGCACGCGCTTTTATCGCTTTAATTGCCTGGGCGTTATTTTAAGCCTTTTTACGGGCAGCTTGTTGCTCCCGCGCGTTTTTTATATCCCGCTATTTATCCTTTTCCGCAAAAAACTTACTTTTCTTTTGTTTATCCTTTTTAATTTGCTAAGCTTTTTTTTTTTTTTAAATAATGCTTTTTCCGTTTGCTTAGCTTTAGCTATTAAAATAGCCATAACCGCTTACAAATCCGCATTATACGCGCACAAAGCAAAATTAACAAAAAAGCAATAAATTAGTGGAAAAGCAAAAAGCTACGACTTATTTTTTTTAAGCTTAAGCTTGGTTAAATTTTTTGCGCTTAGCGCGCTTTCGAACGGTCGTACGCGTTGCTTTGTTACCGGCAATACCCATTTTCCAGTTAATTTATTAGCACCGCACAACGTTTTTAAAATATTACGCCGCCGCGTAAAGCACTTACAATTGCTTGTTTTTGCTTTTGCAAAAATTTTTGTATTAGCAAAAGTTTAAACGATAAGGACGAAAGCGTAAAAATTTACGGATTGGTAAAAAAATGGTGGTAAAAAGGAAAAAAAAGGAAGGCCAAAACGAAATGGAAAAAAAAAAGGTTTTAATTGCTACGCCCACTTTTTTTCGGTAATGGCTAAAGCATTTGCTTTGTTACTTTTTATGGCTAAAGCATTTGCTTCGTTGCTTTTAGCAGCGGGGAACGCTTATTTCGTTACTTTTCGAAGTTAATGCGTTTTTACGGTTACCTTTTAAAAGCGGAAAACGCTTGCTTCGTTACTTTTCGAAATTAATGCGCTTTTATAATTAACCTTTAAAAGCGCGGTAAACTTTTAAATCCCACGCCATTAACATAGCAACCAATTTCCCTTTGTTTTATTTACAAACAACCTAAAAGGCTCGCCTAAGGGGTGTGTTACAAAATAAATAGTATATACTGTTATGAAAAAGCTTTAAGCATAAATATTAAATGCCTAAAGCATCGGAAGAGCGATCCCCTTGCCTGGAAACGTATAACGCTTCCAAGCGTTAAAAGGGAAGCTTAGTAAGCAAGGAGGACAGGGAGTCACGTGTATATAAAGGGCAGAGGCCCCTACGGGACCCTGCACTTCAGATCCTTTCCTCCTTAAAGCATATCAACCGGAGTAGCCTCACACCGTGCCTATCCCTTCTACCTGCAACAAGTCATGTTTGCACTTTTTTGCTTAAAATTTCCTGCTATGTTCCCCCCAAAAGCAAATCCCATGTAGACTCCGTTTTGAGAAACGCGAAGAGGGGGTATGTAGGCTAAAACTGTGCAGGGGGTCATTATCATACGGGACGTAACATGTATATACGGTGTGCCAGCGTGCTTTGGAGAATTATGCTGACGGGGGTGTGCTGCTGCCGACATCGTGGCCCGAGGTTATGTTGGGTATCACGACTCTGCGGCATCCTTGTCCTTGTGCCTTCTGCTGAATAGACCACCTCGCGTCCGTGATTTGGAGCGAGATTTCTTGTCAGACTTCGGGGAGGACGAGGTCTCGGCACTGTCATCATATTTTGACTTGTGGATCCTATGCAGCAGCGAAGTCAAGTCAGTCGTCTAGTCTTGTCGACTGGGCAGAAGGTACCGATGGGAAATGATTGGGTATGGATGACAGTACTGACCAGCTGTTGCCCACCATGCTCATGCCCTTGGCCTCGGCCATGCGATAGAAATGGGCGCTCTTCTTGAGATCCTTCTTGCACCCGACGCCCTGGGCGTAGCAGAAGCCGGCTTCCGCCAGAGCATCAACATCGCCCCAGTCTATACGGGCAGAAAGTCAGCAAAACGCCCACAAGAGTGCGGCATAGCCGCCAAGAAGGAGCGGCGAGCCAGCTTGGCACTAGAACAGTGTGAATGGGGCCCAACTTACTGCCGGCAATCTCAAAACACCTCAACGCAAGCGCTTTGTCCTGCTCGATTCCCCAGCCATTCATGTGACTGACGCCAAGCTCGTATATGCTGAGTGCAAACTGCGCCTTCCGCGTCTTGTTCTCGAGGAAGTCCACCCGTTTGCCTTCCTTGGCCTGACCTTCGTCGTCGGCAACTTCAAGTCCAGCATAGTCTGCAGCCTTACGCAGCCACTCGACGCCCTCGCGTGGGTTCGCTCTCATTCCCCATCCGTGTCTGCAGGCGAGCGCGAAAAGTAGCATTCCAGTCGGGTGGCCTTGCCTTGCTGCATGTCGTAAGTGATAGGTCGACTCGCTGAGGGACCCTTGTTGATGTAGCTCGATGGCCTTGGCCACGTGTTCCTCTGCGGGTATCTCGGCGGCCGAGGCGAGCGAGTGCATGGATCGTGCCGGCCGTAGCGTGCTCGCCGACTCGCTCGTCGTTGTTGACCCCGCCGTCCGTGCCCGCCGAACGCCGCCAGCATGTGGTGACATCTTGGAAGGACCTGCGCCCGAGTCTTCCGAGGCCCGCCGGCCCTTAGCCGAAGGTGACGACTGAACCGCGGCACCCAGTACCTCTTTGCTGAGCTTGCTCCGCTCAAGGGATGGTCGTGAATGACTTCCTGTCGAGCTGGAAGGGCGGGTAGGAGGGGATGGTGGTGCTTGGCCAATGGCCTGTGAATCGTGGGGTGCCGCCGCGACTTGGTCCGCGGCGAGACCTTGGGTTTGCTGGTCTGCGAACTGGGAGGATCGCTGCAGCATCTTCCCTCTAGGAAGAGCGTACTTGGAGTATATGTAGGATGGCGCTGCACGCTCGCCATCCCCGAGGGTATCTGGGAACATCTCGCTGCTTATGCTGATGGGGGTATTCACATTCTCGTCCACTAATACGAACGAACCTTGGCTGTCCGATGATAGCTGTCGGTTGGGCAGATCGAATCCAGGAGTGCTTGCTCGGCTCAGAGGTCTCGAGAAGTTGAAGGACGGCTTTGGAAGAGGACCAGACATATCCGAGCTGATAGACGGGGACCTCTGGTACGAATTCGCTGCCGGAGAGTGGAATCCTGTGCCACTGCTCGCCGACAGCTTGCGCATATTGTTGGAAGGATGGGAATTGCTCATGGATGAGCGCCAGCCCTCTCCGTATGACGACTCTGTGGGCGTGGACATGGTGCTGGGTGATCTGCTCGGCAGATGAGCCCGTGGAGGTGCAAGACCATGGAGGTCGAACGAGCTAGCTTTTATGTTCTCTAGCAACTGGCCCTGCGTCTGGGTTTGGCCTGCCCCAGATGTAGGCCGGCGCTGCGGCGACACAGGCTCGGGAGTCTTTTCAGACCCTGCTATGCTGCTCATGGGCGAGGGAGAGCGCTCCGTCCTCGCACCAAAAAGCCCATCGTTCTCCTCGATCCGCTCGGGTACCCGACCGCGGTTGAGGTCAAGGAACGGGTTCGGTGGTATGAATGGCAAGGGCGCGTCGGGCGTGGCTGGGATACGACTCATCCGTGGATGCATCGATACTGGCCTATTCGGGAGCTCCTCCACCTCGGCCTTATTTCCCAGACCGGGGGCAGATAGCGGTTGCGGCGAGTCGGCATGATCGGAGAGCGAATCTTGCGACATTGATCGAAAGTAGTCGGACCTCCCCTGGACCACAAGAGGGCTTTCGGTTGTCAGTGGAGGCAACCTGCTCATTCTTCTGCCGGCCTTCGCGCTCTCCTCCAGCTGCCGGGCAAGCATCCGGCTGTGCAGGGCGAAGGCATCGAGAGGAGAAAGCTCCGGGGGAGCTTCGCCAGCAACGTGAAGCCTTGGTGATCTGAGAGGTCGGGAGACAGAGGCCTGCGACTGTGTGCGCAGGTCGAGAAGGCCGGGCCGCGGGGTCGCCATGGTTCGAGATGCGGCCCAGGCCGTGTGGGGTCAGGCAGAAAGCAGAGAAAGGGAAAAAGGAGGAATCGGCGAAAGACTGCCTCGTCAGGCCGTTTGTTTATTACGGGGGTCGATGGGGCACAGGAGTCGCAGTAACCCCCGTGACGTAGTTGTTATCTCGGTAATCGGGCCGTAAATGTCTCGCAAGACTGGAATGCGGCGGCGTCGTCGTCGAAGTATGCGGTGTCGGTGCGTTGGTGCGCTGCTCAAAATCGTTCCTGGGCGTTCTCTTCGGCGGGAAGCATGTAACGTGCAGGGTCACAAAGCGGAAACGCAGGTCGGCGGGGAGGAGTAGGGATGGGTCAGGGCGGATGGCACAGCGCCACTGCTGCGTCACCTAAACGGAGACGGTGGGAGGCGGAGGCGACGGCTGCTAGGGTTTTTCGTGTTTAGGCGAAGCGCATGAAATGACGAGACGGGATCAAACCTCGAGGGCGGCGGCAGGCGGAAGCCAGAGACCCTGGAGGCAGCCAATGCGCACTTAGGGGACTGAGCGAGAGGCGGGAGCTGCGACGACGGCAGGGAAGGGTCTGGCGATGCCGCTGTGAATAGAATGGCTGAGCGATGCTCGGTATCCTGATTTTCCTTGTTTGCGGCGGCGAGGGTGGGCAGACAGACGGTGTTCGCATCAGGGCGGAAACCGCACGCGCATGGGCGGGTTCTGTGCTGTTGGAGAGGCGGCGAAACAGAGAAAGTCAGGGCGTCGCTGTAACATGAACAGGCGAGGGAGGGAGAGAAAAGAAAACACAAAACGAAGGCAAGGAAGCCGGAGGTGACGTCGAGGTTGAGCAAAGGGGAAAAAGGGGGCTAACATTAGATCTTGAGTACAGGTAGCGGCCGGGGAAAAGGCAGCAGGCATTGGTTCAATCAATTGCGGCGTCTAATGTCGTGTACTGGGCGCCGACTGTACCCCTGACCCTAGGCAAGCGAAGCCACCCCAGCTAAATGAAGCAGGTACGAGGGATCAATACCTGGGAAACACCAATTGGAAGGCTCTGGGCTAGACCGAAAACAGCCAAGGGGGACCCTCTGAAATCTCAATTGATGCAATGGCACGCGACAATGAGCCCTGAGCCAGACATTTCGCATTATAATTTTGCGGTATACCTGGTAAACTCCGTCCCTGTTCACCGTCAACGGGTGGTGGGCATATGAGCCGACCTATGCGTTGGAGGAGGATATCTAGACCACTTTTTGCTTTTGCTTTTACTTTCACCAGCACCTCCAGGCTTTTCCCAAGCCGCGCTCCGACATAAACACTCGCCCCAGCCTAGCGAGCGACGCCATCAACGGTCGCCAGGCGAGTGGGCGTCGGCCGGTGCATGGGCTGTCGGCAGGCCACGCATGCGGGCGCGCCTTATGCCGTGCCCCGAGACCAGGCTGGTTCGTGCGTTGCCCTGGGGTCGGTGCGGGGATGGTTTGGGTGCAAAGTCTTTTTTCTTTTTTCGGACCCAAAAACGGGTCGTCTAGATCGATAGGCTTCTCCCACTCTCTTTGGCCGGCCACCCAAGCTGGGGCCTTTTTCTTCTTTCCATCCGCGAGAAACACACATATCAACTCCAGCTGCGAACAATAAATAAATAAAAATAAATGACGCAGATGCGCTTTGTTACTAGTGGCAACCTGGTTTGCACCGCCCACTGCACGGACGATGGAGCATGGGTATCAGCGACACGCAGCGACACCCAGACTCTCTCCAAAGGCAAAATATCCGCCTGGTGACCCAAGCTGACTGTGGAGAGGCTGAATGCCAACTTTTGAACAACACACTGCCCACCTCCGCCGTCCGTCGCTCATCGTACATGCAGCAAGTATTGCGACTTTGGGGGCGCCTGGCCGGCCGTTAAGAGGCCCAATGCCGTTGTGGTCAATACGAGGTGACCCTCCTGGCTGCAGTGGCCCACCAGAGCACAGCCGGTCGAGGCCCGGCCGGCCAGATCGCCCAGATCGCCAGGGCCCGCCACCTGATCAGAGGGAAGGGCCGTTCGGAGAGAAAGCCATTGGGAAGAAGACACGGGCTTGCTCAGCCTCTCAATGTGATGGGCACTGCAAGGCTCCAGTAGGCGCACACACTGGTGGCATCTTTTACAGACGATGTGCGGCAGTCCAATGTCGACTGCCGCGGCCTACGCGCGTGCCCTGACCAAGCTTGGTGCATCCGCTAGTCCGCTCAGACATGCATAGGATGCCCATCCGCTCACCTGCACGCATGCCCTCTACCTGCTGGCTGCGGCTGTTCTGTACTTTGAGCTGAGTGCCACTTACGCCGCGCCAAAACCTGATTTCCCGGCTTCCAAGACCAGGCAGGCCCAGCCGGGTCTCGTTCGCGATGGATGGCGAGTAAAGCTGATCCACGGCCCCGACGGATTCTGCGACCCGACTGGACCGAAGTCAAGATTTGTGCAAATATGCATGGGCGCCATTGGCCGAGGACCACGGCCAATGGGTGGATGGCCGCCCGTAAGTAGCTTTCACTAGGCTCCACGCTAAAAACGTCCGCTTCCCCAGCAAGATGGACGAAGCTGGCGGTGTTTTGTTCTAGGGCGAGCCTCAAACAAGCCAAACGCTATGGTTTCGTGAGCGGGGCGGGTTCATGGCATTGGGTCCGATGAAAGAGAAGCAGATAGGGAAAAACAAACAAAGGAAAAGCGAGGACACCTGGAGAGTGAAAGGGAACGAAAAAAAGAAAAAGTGCCAATAAATTGCTTGAAAAGGCCACAGAAGTATCCGATGGGCCAAACAGGAACGAGAGCACAGATCGAACTTGCAGAAAACATCCCAAGATTCTATCGTATCGTGGAGAACCCCCTTGGCTTCCACCTATCCTGCAACACCGTTTCCAGCACCAGGTTTGGGGAGTGGAGACGTCCTGTCCACCTCAGCCCGGTTGGATAACAACGGGGCGAACAATGCCCTTCTGAATTGTTTTTTTTTCCCCTTCCCTTTTGCTTGTTGACACATCGACCTCGGCAGAAGAGTTGGCAAGGGGCGAAAGAGACCCCTTGAACGGGCTGCTAGTCTGCTGACCACCTTAGCTGTAGACTGAAATTAGACATGACAGTGGCGTTGTATGTGGCCCGGCGAAATTTCCCAAGTCAAATATCGCCTGCCCCGGTAAGATCCAGCGTCGCAATCAAGCACGGGCGAGGCGACGATGATCGACGGAGTAATTCGCAACGCCAAGGGCCTGGCTGCGCAGGGACCACCGAGGGGGCCGCCTCGCTCGTTGCAGCTGCGTGAATCCCGGCGACTGCACGAACAACATGCGCTCCCGCGCCATCATCCACCACAATCCCCAGCTGTATTTGGCTCGTCTGTCGTGAGCTGCCTGTCAGGTTCATGATTGAATCGAGTGCAACTACCTAGCCGAGAAGGAAGAGGTGACTGATTCGTGAGACGTCGCAACTTTCGAAACGATCAAGCACAAGTTTGGGATGGCCCCAGACGCCCATTGGGTTCGTCGAGTTGCGACTATATTCGGATCCAATACCAACTCCACAGACTATGCGAGAAAGAAACAAGAGCAAGCTCGTGAACCACTGTAAAGAAACTGACAAAACCCACCCAGTAGTATGAACTAATTTTATACTTGGAATCCCCTTCTTTTTCTGGCCTGTATTCTCGCTGCGCTGTATCCCGCATCTGACTTTCACAGGGCACCAACACGCCCACTTCCGGTCCACCTCATTTGTACACTGACTGTTCAGAGGTCCTTGGAGCGCATCTTCTTCAGCCTAGTCGCGCCCTCATAAAAGGTCCGGTCCACCGCGGCGGCAACCGTCAGAGTACCGCCGAGAATGGCACACAGGCCGGTCAGGAAACCCGCAAACGTCTTGGGTCGCTCCTCCCGGTTGATGACCTTCATCGGGGAGATGTCCTGTTTTGTAGACGGGCTCGGTTAGTGGTGCATTTGCAGACTAGAAAGCGTGACACAAATGACACGAGGAACCAAGGCTCACGTAGGAAAAGAAAACACCCGGGATGCCGCCCTTGGAGTGAAGGCGTTCCTGGTGGCCCTCGGCCGCGTCGTCGCCGCCCGCCAGGCTGCGCTTGTGGCTGGTGACCGAGTACTGGTGCGTCTCGACGGCGCCGTCGGGAGAGTAGCCATAGGTGCCAACCCATGAGTCCTTGTCGTGGTTGCCGGTGGCAATCTTGGCCCGACGCCCCTCCCAGCCGAGGGGGAGGTACGAAGTAGGGACGATCTTGAGGAAGTACATGAAGCTGAAGTTGGGGTCGGCCGTCTCCTGGCTCGTTCCGTCGAGCGGGTTGAGCTGGTGCGAGTGGTCGGCCCAGGGCAGCGACCTGCCCCTGTCGAGGCGCTTCTGTACCTCGAGGGGTAGCTGCGGGCCGAAGCTGAGGGAGTGCACGACATGGCTGAAAGAGTGGCCGCCGTCGACAGGGGTGTCCCAGTAGTTCTTGAGGTCGTGCACATGCATATTGCCGTTGCTGAAGCTGCGGCCGGGGGCGAGATGGAAGTTGCCGATGACCTTGTTGACGCGCAGGCTGCCGGCGATCTGGCAGCCCTCTTGGCGCTGCTCGTCCAGGCGCTCGGCGTAGTGCTCGCGCAGGCACTGCTCGACGTTCTCGCCCCTGCCAAACGCCCACGACGCCTGCGCATACGCCTCGCGCACCTCGTCGCACGTGCTGCAGCACCCGGCCTTGGCGGCGTTGCTGGGCGCGGGGGCGCCGTAGCAGGGGCCGCAGTACTTGGGGTCCAGGTGCGTGGCCGAGTCCTCGTCGGCGTGCAGCGAGAGCGCCTTGACGTCGATGACGCCGCCGCCCTCCGACTGCGGCTGCAGGCGGACCTTGACCACGCCGTGTTGCACTCCGTGCTGCTGCTCGCCCGACACGTCCATGACGTCCAGCGTAAGGAGTTCGCAAGGCATCCGTGGGAAGGTTATGTTGAGATGGATCTCCATTCGGTCACCTGCAGGAAGAGGGCACCACGACGGTTAGCACGAACGCACGCACGCACGCGCACCAACCGAACCGCATGAGCACCAGGGGCGGCTTCTCTGGCACGGCGGCCGGGCTAAGGGGGTACACATGCCTCTGCTCTTGTCGACCACGAGCTCGGGATGTATCGCTATCCTGCGGTAGTCGGACCATTCTCCTAGCGCTAGGTAGAGCACGACGATCAGCGAGACTATGGTGATGATGCCACCCGAGGTCGTCCTGATCCTCGCGTCCTCGACGGTCTTTGTGAAGGCGTCGAGCCTTGTGAACCTCGACTTGGGTGCCATGGTTTCGAATCGGCGATGGCGGGCTTTGTGTCGCGCTCAGGGGTGCAGGCGCAACGTCGTCTCCCCTCGAGGGCAGTGAGGCTGATGGGCGGCTTGGCTCTCTCTGCTGTGCGGTCGGTCGGGCCAGGACGACGGGCGTGGGCAGAGGATCGAATGTATGGAAATGCGACCAATGTGTTTCTATCACGCGGGCGCAATTGAAGCCAGCAAACGGCCCGGCTGAGAGATACTTCCACGTTCGCGCACCTCCAAATCGAAACTCCTGCTCAGCTCGGAATCGAAGCAGCCCCAATTCCCAATTGCTCGGCGGCACCAAAAGGCCACCTTCGCATTATCCACATTCGCGTCCAGGGGTGGGCCAATCAATGGGCCCATACACCGCGTCAGCACGTGCACGGCCCAATTATCCGTCCAAAATGGGCAGGTGCCAGCACCAAGGGTCCCCGCGGCGACGATGATGGGCCTGATTGAACCTCAACGCTGGAGACAACGAACGAGGCACCAGAAGGAACGCTTGATGGGCCAACTAGCATATGTTTTGCAGGACAATAGCACGAATGTGTCGAGTTATTGCGCCCCATAACCTCGCTTGAGAAATCCGCGTAGGATCATGGCCCCCGAATCCGATGCTGACTCCATCACATGCAGCCGTTGAAGCCTCCCAGATCCTCATTTTATACCGGCGCAGGGAAATCTTGATAGGGTGAGTCACTTACTAGATGTAGGGATAGATATATATTCAGCGTCACAAGCGCGTATCTAACTTGTGGGTATTGTATTGTCTCTGCTTTGTTAGCCCTCAACTACCATCTCGTACCTGCCACCCAGCAGCAGCCAATCAGCAGGGAAGGATCTAAGCACATGTAGACACCAATCTACTGCCTACCATCAAAGATCCTACCCTTGACCTCTAGCGGTATTTCGATTTGGTCAAGCAAGGAAATCATGGACATCACGTTCGGCGTGCCAGTCCCGGACGACGACGAGGAAGTCCCAGAGCCCATCGTGCGGACGCCGAGGCTCGCTATCCGTGCTTTCCGCAACTCGGACGCCGCGGCACTGCAGCGGCTGGCCAACAACGTCGAAGTCTCCCGCACGCTCAGCGACCACTTCCCCTTCCCCTACACCGCCGCCGATGCCGAGCAGTTCCTGAAGATCGCCCTGCCCGATAACGGCGAGTATGCCATATTCCGCAGCTCCGGCCCCGACAGCGATGAAGATGACGTCTTTGTGGGCGGCATCAAGCTCAGTCGCTTGCCTGATGTCTACTCGTGCGGCAGTGAGGTGGGGTACTGGATCGGCCGCGAGTTTTGGGGTCAGGGCCTGGCGACCGAAGCCGTGATTGCATTTTGTAAGTTTTGTTTCATCTTTTTTCCCCTCCTGGTTTGTATAGGGAGGGACTCGGCTGTCCCGCGGAGATGCCATAAGACTGACAAGGCAACCCACAGCACGCTGGGCGTTTGAATCTCATCCGGACATGGAGCGTCTTGAGGGTCTGGTGTACGCCACCAACATGGCAAGCTCTCATGTCCTGGAAAAGGCAGGGTTCACCTACGAGGGGACTCGGCGCAGAGCGGCTCGCAAGCGCGGGGAGATCACTGACGTCCTTGTGTATGGCTTATTGCGGGATGAGAATGAAGAGATCACCAAGACCGCAGCTCGTTAATAGCTCGGTCAGTAGATGATAGCTAGGGTGGAAATCGGTCGACTGCTAGGGTTGAACTTTTTTTTTTGTCTGACTATGGTTGAGATATACATTGATAATGTCAACTCCTGAGTGAACTTTCCCTTTCCATTACACGGCGCCACCACCTAGGCCGGCCGTCCTCCCCAGGCTTCTCTTGGCCGCCTTGCGTCCGAACCGCTTGATCCAGGCGGCGTCAGATGAGTGCATCTCGAGCGCGCTCCTCTGTTCGAGGGACCGCTTCCTCCGGCCGCCGCTGGGGTGCACGTTTGCGGCCGTGATGTTGCCGCAGTTGGGCCTCTTGAGCCTGGTCGAGAACTGGTCGGCGACCCAGATGAGCACGCCGTTTGTCCAGCCGAACCCCTCGACCACCTCGTACTCGCCCCCGGCGCCGGCCACGTTTGTCGAGTTGTCGCCGTACTTTTCAAACATGATGCCCGTGTCCTCGGGCGTGAGCCCCTGGAGCTGCGGCGTCTGCGACGTCGAGCCGCCCGTGGCGTACCAGGTGCAAAAGGTCGAGTCCAGGTAGCGCTGGCCCAGGCGCAGGGCCAGGTCCTGGACGCCGAGCCAGGCCGGGTCCGACTCGCCAAACGTGGCGGGCACGCGCGTCAGGCCCTCCATCAGTATGTGCATCAGCGGCGGCCACACGTTGGGCTCGTCCCACTGCTGGCCCGTACGCAGGTTCGTGGCCGGGATGGCGCCGCCTTTGAGGCCCAGGTACGCGTCGACGCGCGAGTAGGCCCGCTGCACCGCGAGCGGGTTGTCCCGCAGCTGCGCGGGCGCCGCCCCGGTCCAGAAGGGGTAGAACTGCGCTACGTGGAACAGGACCTGCTTGCCGGCCGGCGCCGTGGTCTGCTCGAAGGCGGTGGCGTCGTCGTCGAGCGGGATGTAGATGTTCTGCTCCTTGGAGGTCATGTTATAGTCGAAGTAGCTCCACAGCGTCTCGTTCCACATGAGGGCGAACATGGCCTCGCTGCGGCGCTCGGCCGTCCTCTTCCACTCGGCCGCGCCGGTCGCGTTTCCGGTCTGGTTCAGGAACTCCGAGATGGCGAGCTCGTTGGCGTATAGGATCGAGTTGAGGTCGACGGGCACCATGTTGTTTGTGTTGAGCGAGCGCAGGGGAAAGTAGACATCCTTGGCCGCGTCGTTGGGCTTGGCGAGCCATCGAGTGGAGTAATCCCAGCCGGACTCGGCTCCGCTGGCAAGGTGCGAGTACAGTTCAGCCTTCTCCGACTCGTTCAGCTGGCGGGCTTCCGGGTAAATTATGCCCGACGCCGCGTAGTACGAGCGGTTGTTAGCCGTGATGTAGTCCTCCCGGAAGGACTCGGGGCGGGGTTGAGTGTTGACCACGGCGTAGCTGCCGGTGGAGAGTTTTGGTGTCAGTGCTTGATCTGTTTACTTCTGGAATCACGTCCAGCAGTACGGCAGGGGATTAGGAGGGCTTCGCAGGCAGGCTAACCGGTTCAAGGTGTACGTCTGTCCGGAGCGGCTGGTGACTTCTACCGAGCGGTTGTTGACAAAGAACTGATGCTCCTTGATCAGCAGCGGCACGGCACGCTCGAGGATGCTGGTGTCGTTCGTATGCTCGACATAGACCCGCACCATCTGCGACAGCACAGGGAGCTGGGAGCGGTTGCGGTAGTAGATGCGGGCGCCATTCGGCACAAAGCCGATGGTCTCGACCAGGTCCAGAAAATTCTCAATCGTGTTCTTGGAGATCTGGGTGAAGGCGCCGCCGGTGCGCAGCAGGCCCTCGACGATCCAGTACGAGTCCCAGTAGTACGGCTCGCGGAACCGACCGCCGGCCACCACAAAGGTGCGGTTGATGGGGATGAAGCTGTTGGCGCACTCGCTGCACTGGCCCGGGCCCTTGTAGCGCCGCGTCAGCTCGGGCCAGATGCCGATGACCTTCTCGACAAACTCGCGGATGACCGTGTCGTTGAGCTTGTTGAGAAAGACCGGGTCGGTGGCCAGCTCCGAGTTGGGCACCTCCTCCAGCTCGCCGCCAGCCTTGGCAAAGTTCTCGCGCAAAAAGTTCTGCAGCTCCGTGTTGTTGCTGAGCGGCTTCTGGAGCTTGTCAAAGGCTGCGAGGACTTCATTCACCGGCTTGATCGTTGGCCTGGGTACGATAGTCAGCAATGGGCGCTTGCAGAAGATCTGCATAGACTGGCGAATGCCTGGTCGGCCCGAGGTGAGACCAGAGGGATGCTTACATGTCCACGAAAGTCTTGGAGTCGGCGAATGGGTGGGCAAGCTCGACCTGCTTGAGCAGTTCTCCATGGCAGTAGATGGGCGAGTCACACGGCGTGACCTCGCTGCCATTGATATAGAGCGCGTTGACAGCCAGGCTTGAGGCAGCGGCTGCTGTTGCCAACTTCCACAAGGGGGCCATGGCAGGCATTTTTGCCCCTGTGAGCGTTGCCCCTAGAATATATATGTCGGGCGCGTGTATGGGCTTTTAACTTGCGAATAACTTCCCAAGGAATCGCAGATGCAAGCGAGCCTGGTGAAGAGAGGCGCGGGCGGCACAGAGGAGCCGGGCGAGTCGAGGGGAGAAAGAGTGAAGGGGAAGGAAGGAGGCGGAGTGGGATGGGATCGTGACGTCCAAGGCCGGCCACGCAGGTGAGGAACAAAGGGCGGAGCTCGAGCCCTCAGGAAGGGGAGCATGACGTTGATTTATTTATTAGTCCACTAACTACCCTTATGAGCAGGTACCCGAGCTTCTCGTCCCATTGACGCTTGCAGATCCGGGGGAGCCCTGCCTGGCTTCGAGCACAAGGTCGATTGATAGCTACCTTCCTAGGCACCGATGTCAGAAAGCAGCGGTGCAGCACCGAGCAGTACGCAAGAGTGGATCCATACCACACCCGTCCACGTACCATCTGCATATGCAGCAATAGAAAAAGACGCCGAGGCCGAGGGGCGCAAACGACGATGGTCTGGGTGGGTGGAAGACTGCATCTGCAGGGGTGGGAAAGCAGGGTATGGGACGGTGTTAGTTCGGCCAATTGGGTGGGCGCCCGACCGGTGTTTTTCTCGCCGTCTCTTGCTGTTTTTCAACAATCCAAATGCCATATGGATGGGAGGTGGTCGAGAACCGCCCGGTTACAGTGGCCTCAAGACTGGCCAGGTAGCCTAATCGGCCCATCAAGACTGAAATTGAGTGGTCAATTGGTAAGGCTGTTACCTCCTGGCCGAGGAAGATAGTTAGAGAAGGAGGGACGGAAAGAGGGCCCTGGCGAACCTTGACTGACAGGGGTTGCCCATCGTGTTTAGACATCATGATGGAATGAAGGCAACGCTTCCCTGTGTGTCAAATGCCCAGCGCCCAGCCCCAGCCACCTCCAACTTTTTTTCCTGGGTGGTTATCCTGACGAGAGGGATGGTCTCAACCTTCAGGCATCTCAGCCTGACCGACAATGGCACACATGACCTGCAGCTTCCTTCTTGGACCCGGCTGTTGCGTTACCCCACACACCAATTCCCCACACTCTTGGGAAGCTGGGCCGCTTCCCTGACCAACACTGGATGACGTCGGTCAGCCATGGCTGACGGGTGCAAGAGCAAGGGGGGACAAAGCCTTCGAAAATCCTTTTTGAACTAGCGAGCGGGCAGCCGTTTGTGATGAAGTCACTGACTCCAACAAGGAGCTTGGAGCAGGTGACAGGCAACCGGCAACCGGCTTGGCTCGTCAATGTTCGGCAACCCGCTCCAACCACTGGTTCGTTGTGACTGCGTACCTTCCCCGCATCCTCGGGAACCCCGACGGCGACCCTTACCGCCAACACGAGGAATGCACATTACCCCTCACACTCTGTCCCTATCGGTCCATTACTGCAGCTCATGATGACAAGTGAGAAAAGGTGCCTGATAAGGATTTTGCTTGTTCATAAACAGCATCATCACTTCCATGCATCTCGCAACCCACGCCGGCTGGCCAGGTTACTGCATCTGGCACCTCGCTGCCACCAAGAAAGACCCGGTGGTCGCGAAGGACGAGCTAGAGCGCACATCGCTCTCCTACGCCGCCAAGGAAGGCCATGCAGAAGTCGTCCACGCGGACCAGCGTCGGAACCGGTGCGTCGTGGGCCGCGTGGGCCGCGTGGGCCGCCTCGACAGGGCCACAGTCCTGGGTCCAAGTGTGGATGTTTCCGGCAAGTCCGTAGGTCAGCAGGCGGCCGTCGTCGTCAAAAAGCCGCTCGCTAGATCCGAACGACACCTTCGGCACTAGCGCGGAGGCGGCTGTTCTCCGGCCCCGGCCCAGGCGAGAGGATGGAGACGCGTTTGGGGTGGCCTTCCAAAAACGCGAACGCAAGCTTCGGTAGCGAGGTCCCAGACGTAGACAGTGCAATTATGGGCACCAGCCGATGCGAGGAATCCGTCCTCGAACATGACAAGGCGAGATATGAGGCCGGAATGGCCTTGCAGGATGCCTGTCTGTGGTCAACGTCGGATTCTGTGTTCTCGAGGGACTTAGTTTGTGATGGCTAACGTCGGATTCAAGATCTTACAATTACGCGTTACTCTCAACAGCATTTTGCTTTGGAATAATATGTACGACTAGCGCCTAACTTTGTACAAAAGAAAAACAGCTACGGAAACAGCTCCCTCCCGTCGAGCATATCCCACGTGGGCTTAGGCCACAGGACCTTGCTGGTGTCCCTGAAGCGCCCAGCGTCCGTATTTTCGCCAGCGTATTTCTTTGCCGTCGTCTCAATCGCGTTCCAGTCCAGCACCGATGTGCCGACGCACCCGCCTGTCCCGCCCGATGACTTCGACGGCGTTGATGAACGCTGCGCATGACCTGCGCAAGCCGCTCCTCGTCCACGACCTTGGCGATGAGGACGCGCACGAGGAGTAGATTGGTCGACTTGACGTCCCTGACCCCGGTCTCCTCGTACTGCCAGGCGTTACCCTGGGTGTTCTTGGCGTGGTAGCGCATCCCCGGCACCTCCTCTCCTTCCTCTTTCTTGGGCCCCACTAGCAGTGCCCAGTGGTATCTGTGTGAGAAAGGTGGATGACTAGTTAAAACTAGATTGCACTAGGGTGAAATATCTAGCAGATGGACAAACTTACTTTCGTTCCCCTGGCGCTTGCTTCGCTCCTGTGGGGTAAAGAGCAATATAAAGCCTTTTTTTGTTGGAAGACCCCATTTTTGGCGATTAACTGGCAAGTTTTGGCTAGCACTAGCAAGGGTGCTGTGGTGAAAGATATCGTCGATAATGGCGTACAAGAGAAATTGGGTGAGGTATCACGCTTGGCGATACCGGATTGGGAAAGTGGCATATCTATTTCTGTGGAATAAGAAAAACTGTGCACAGGCTGTGTACCACTTTCACACCCGAATAGCCGCGCAGTGGCTCCCGCGATACAAGAGCAAATGGCTGCGAAACAACCGCTAGGACAATTTCCCCAACTTGGTCAAAGCTTCGTCTGCCCCAAGCTTATCTATTAAACGTAACTCATCATCGGTTAGATCAAGTGTAATCCACCGTTGTTGACTCTGTACCCAAATTCGACGACGTTGTCGCTTGGGCGGTTCGAACCTCGGCGGAGGCGTCTTCGGCGCAGGTGGCTTCCTTCTAACAAGGTGCGAATATGCCCGGTTCGCAGGGCCGTCGTTGTAGTCGCGCCGCGGGTGGGTGGACGGCGTATCGTAAGCAGGTCTTTCAGGGAGGGAGTCGGCCCTTGCTTTAAGCAGGGCTGTCGAGTCCGATGCCGACGAGGCGAGCACGTTAGCCGCCGCCGCCACCAGGAGCAGAGGGCCCACGACTCTGCTAAAGTGCAAGCGCATTGTGAGCGAGTGCCGAGGAAACGTCTCGGAGGAAAATGGAGGGGTGTTAGGTGAGAGCTTCAAAAAGGGTTAACTTGGGAGGGAGAAGGAACTAAATGCGGTGCGAACTTTGCGATCTGTCTCTTTGGTTTGGATTAAAATTGGTTGCCCGATTTGGCGGGTTTATAGCGACAAGCTTCTGTCCTTTTATAGCTCAAGTCTGCGCGAGAATCTTGCTATGGAATCAGCCTCCCATATGATATTAGCCGAAGCGGTTGTAATGCGAGGTACAATAAGCCAACGCCTCTATGCTGCACGGATTTTATTGCGGTTTGTTTCTATTCTTTGTGTTTTGTTTGGTTCGTTCTGTCGCTCCGCCCACATACCAGGTTTCGTCCCGGGACCGTGTAGTTGAATCAATCTGACCGTGTGGTGCACCACTTTACTGTTGGCGGCACGGCCGATTGAGATCCGTATCTGCAGGCTCTAGCATTAAGCGGCGCTAAGGTCTGGAAAGGATGGAAGCAAGCCCCCGCTATTTATAAAGTTGTGTCATTCGCTGTGTGCCCATTGGCTGCTGCCGAGGTGGCTGCTAACAAACGGGTTTGACTAAGGCTAAGCCACCTCACCGCCGGCAGGTAGGTGTTTTGGATTGTAAGCCGCACTAGCGGTGCTATTTTGTTAAAAATAAAATATCATGTTAAACGGTTAGGTGTAAACCATTATCTTTAGTTGGATATTGGAATATATGGCATACTGCCTACGACCGGCTATGGGACGATTTGTTATAGCGTGATTCTACAGGTCGGCGAGTGCTGGGTGCCGCTGTCGGCGCTCGAGGCTGTCCTTAACTTGCACGCCATCTGCGGCAGCACCTTTAAGGTCGCCTTCGGTATCGAAGCCACCTACACCGGCGGCGGCGGCGGCAACATCTGCTTCGACTAAAGCGCCCCGCTCAACGGCAAGAACTGGTTCATGTCCTCGACTTTCACCTCCTCGTGCCCGGACGTCTGCACCACGTACTGCTGCTGCCAGCCGCCCACCCCGCCGAAGCCACCCGTCATGTGCGAGGCCTGCAGCGCCTACGGCTACCGGGCCGGCTACGCCGACTTTAACGGCGACCCAGCCGCGCCCGCCCTCTCGCCGCTGCCCAACATCTGCAAAATGTAGGGCTTCCTCTTCGCCTTGCCGCCCTCAACCCTCGCCTCTGGCCTCAGCGGCACGCTATACGCCGGCGCGAGTCTCAACGACCAAACCAATGGCGTCGACGCGCGCTCCTTCACCGCTATTCTTACTGGTGGCACCACCTTCACCTTTTCGTACAGCCTGACGACGGGTTACGACCTGGCAGAAATGCACGTGCACGCGTTCTGCTCCGTCCCGACGGCCTGTGCGCCGGGCCAGTACACGTATCCAGGCCAGAACGTCGCGCAGCCGGACCTGTCGGGCACGGCGGACACGAGCTTTTCCCAATCGTTCGCAGTCGCCGGGGCGCTGTGCCGCGGCAGCGTGTATCTCATCTTCCACGCCGAGGTCAATTAGATCCTGCGAGCCGGTCGATGTGCCCAGCCCTGACGAACACCAACTGCTCCACTCCGAAGCGAGCTGGGGCACTTGGAGCTGGCCGCTGGACTGGCAATACGAGGCGCTGTCCTTCGTTTGGGGCGAACCCGTACTTCATTGCGGCAGATCGACGAACCTGGCCCTGACCCTGCGACGACTCTGGCTTGAGGCTGGCCCACACGGAATAATCCGGCTAATCCGGTTGGGACGTGGCTTGAACCAATCAGATGGACGCGGACCTGAGTACGCTAGCGAAGTGAGTTTGTGAAGGGATTTAACCTGTGTCGAAACTGTGCGCGTGGATAAACCGGTTTTGCGTTAAATATAGGGGGTAGCCCGTAAGCAACCTCAACCCAAGTTGCGCCCATGGATGTCGGGAAATGGATGAGGTGGATAATTATAGTGTGTGGGTGGGCTCGCAGCGCAGGATAGCCCGTCACCAGCCCGTCTTCGCCTTCCCGTCGGGGCGGGCCGTGTGAAAGGCCGCAGACAGAGCATGTCGTATTAAAGCTCGCGGAAGGGCTGTGGATGGCGTGTGTTGCATCGAGTCGGGGCCGGCGCATGTCTTATAAAGGGACGCGGGTCTCAGCTTGGGGCGTGCGGCGTCTAAGCTCGCGGATGGCGCGTCTTGCGTGTCATGTCTTGCATGGAAGGCTTCGGGCGGCGCATTTTGGGTAAGCCGGCGCATGCCCCGTCAAGGGTCACGATCAGCCGCGCGCGCAGGGGGCAAATCCAGATTCTACCGATAACTGGACAAAAAAAGCCAAATTACAGAGGCGCCCGGGCCGTCCTCAGGCGGCCGTTGGCACATTGTCTAAACTAGATAGTCGAACAACATACGCGAAGCCTGGCGCTTGCCAGGCTGCTTATGCTCCGCTCCGAGCAGGCGCTCGGCGTGCAAATACATGCTTTTGACGCGCGCGTCCAGATGGACTTTTCGATACGGCCATGGGAACAAGAGACTGGAGGGTCAATGCAATAAATACAATCCAATAATCTCCACAAACATCGGCGTCTGGCGGACGCCTTTAACGCTTGCCCAAGGGAGGTAAACTGGAAGTTCGTGGCGATGGGAAATTGTGGGACCATACACGTGACACTCAAGCCCGGGCAGTTTCCACCGCTTCTATGTGCCGCGCCGCAACCAACATGAACCACTTCGTCAACTCCATCCGTGGCCAAAAATCCAGCTGCCGGCTGGTCGAAACAGGGCCAGCTCGCCAGCTCCATTTGGGATTGTCGCGTCGTCCTCCAGCATGCCCAAGTCCCGCGCTAGATGAGCCCACTTACCGCTGTTGCGACATTGTTTTAATGACACCCCCCGTCGCAGGCCGGAGGGACGACGGATTCGAGCGCATGCACGAGGGTTCCGAAGCGCTCGCCATAAACGACACCCCGCTGCGCAGGTTCGCGACCCTCGCCGCGTACAGGCTCACCAAGTTGCTGCGGTCCCGGCTGTCGCGTGGCAGTGGCACCTGCACATACCTCCTAGGGGGAAAACTGGTCGTCAAAACTGGCGCCTCGGTGCACCTGCAGGAGGCCGCTACCATGCGGTGGGTGGCCGAGAACACGACTTCGGTCCCTGTGCCAAAAGTCCACTGCGCCTTTGTCCATAAAAACCGTGCCTATATCGTCATGGAGCGCGTGCGCGGAAGCATCATGGGCAAGGCGCTCCAGCAGCCTCCTATCTCGGACGACGAGCAGGCGCGCAAGAGGCTGCTCCAACACCTTCGTAGCATTGTGCAGGAGTTGCGGTCCATCCCCCCGCCGCCTGGTATGGTCGGCGTTCAGAGTTGCACGGGCGGTTCGCTCCACGACTGCCGCATCCCCCGGGACTACCCCCGTTTCGGCCCGTTCAATTCTATCCGCGAATTCCACTTCTGGCTCCGCGACGGCTTCGACCTGGCCAACTACCCCCACCGTGACGCCGCCGACGCGGACGACGAGGACGGGATGTGGCGTGGCCTCAAGGATATGGTTGCGCTGCAAGACGGGCCCTGGCCGGCGCCGGTGTTCACGCACGGTGACCTCCACGCCGGCAACATCCTGGTCGACAGGGACCGCGTATCTGCCATCATCGACTGGGAGGGTGCAGGGTGGTATCCCTGCTACTGGGAATACACCCAGGCGTGGACGCTGGCCCTGATGAACGATGTGTGGCAGGACCTGCTCCCCGAATTCATGGAGCCGTATCCCGAGGCGCTCAAGATGGAACAGACGCGGCAGAGGTCGTGGGGGGAATACTGATAGGCCTCGTATGTCATCATTTGCGGCACGCGGGTCGCCATACCGTCTCTCAAGAAACTCGTACGCACCCTCCGCGATGCCGCCTTTTGGAACAGAGGCTTGGTTATCTGGATAAACCCCAAGGAGCTTTGCTCTGAAATGAAAAAGCTGGTGGACCTCTGGCTGCCTGCTACCGCGGCCCAGTTTGCAGCTTCGTGGGACCAGCACCTTCGGCTTTCGCTGGCTCCCGACGTGGCCGCACAGGGCGGTTGATAACCCACCCGAACTGCGGGTCGTTTTTGCCGCCATGCCCATCCTGGCGCTTTGCGCCCACTCCCAGCGCCGAGTCGTTGGACGCCGTCTGCTCGGCCGAAATCGTATAATTATTAATAACACAATACCATTTTACGTATCCGTAAACCCCCTTTCGAGGTGGAGTCGTCACTGCCGTACTCCGTGTTCTAGTCGCTATATGCCCGGGTTTCGCCCAAGACCGACGCCAAGCAAATACAAAAATTCCTAGCTTTTACCGTTTTTGTGCCTTTGGTTGCTAGACCACCCGAGAATTGTGCCGTGGATTACCTATACACATATGTAGGTATTTGTTGGTGAGCAGTCTGGCTGCCACTTTCGCTGCATTGAATCTCTTTTTTTTTTGTTTTTGTATCTAGAGCTCCACCGACGCATCTGCATCTAATACTTCTGCAAATCTGCAGCATAGGCCTACAGCAGTGGCAGTGAATGAATGTTGTCTAACTTCCTGTCATCCTCCACAAATGACTAGGTGGTATCAGTGCGACCCATTTCTCTGTAGCTGATGCTTCTCCAAACCTCGAGCACTCGCAAGTCCAGTCTCACCTGGCTGTGCGGATCCGCTCCAATTATTTCGGAAGGTATCGTACCCGAGGGCCCGGGTTCGATGCCGATGCAAGACCCTCAATGGCTCTGGTACTGTGACTTTGACCCTCCGTTGGATCCGCCCGTCTCCAGAGGTTGCCCGCCCCCTTCGGCCATGGCCCGCTCCATGACCCGCTTCAGCCGGGGAATGGCATCGTCCCTATTGAGGTATATCTGGTAATGGATGATCAGGCGGTTGCTGGACAGCCGTAGCCCCTCCTCGCGGCCTATCTCGGCGAACCTCTTGCTGCTGATCCCGGCCGCGTTCAAATCCAGCCAGCACATGTTGGTCTGCACAGGGACCTGCATCTTGCCGCCGAGGCCTGCCCACATGGCCTCGACCTCTTTGGCTAGCTTGTGCGAGTGGCCCAGGAGGCCCGCCTGGCCATTCGGATCCGGGCCGAACGTCTCGGCGACGGCGACTCGCGCTGCCGCGGTCAGCACTCCACCCTGCCGGACGCCCCCGCCGATGGCCTTGCGCACCCAGCGGGCGTGGTCTATCACGTCCTTGGGTCCGACCAGAATGCTGCCGATAGGGGCGCCGAGACCCTTGGAGAAGCAGAGGCTGATGGTGTCGAAGCAGGCTGCATAGTCAGGTAGCGATCCGGCACCGGAAGCCACGGCCTCCCAGAGGCGGGCACCGTCGCAGTGGACTCGGAGGCCAGACTCGCGAGCAAACTTGGAAATTCGGCGCGCCTCAGCCAGCGGCATGACGAGGCCGCCGAGCGTGTTCTCGAGGCTGATGACGCGCGTCGGGCACGTGTGCACGTCAGAGTCCAGATCAGCCTGCTCGGCGATCTCGTCGCGGGTGAGGTAAAGGCCATTGCGCGCCTTGATGGTCTTGAGCATGGCTCCAGTCAAGGATGACACGCTTTTATGCGGTTGTTGTCGTTAGCAACAAGGCGCCAGACCGACATCAACTAGGTTCCCTCTCCCCTGTGTCAGAGACATACCCGCCGGCCTCATATTTGTAAATGTGTGAGCGGTCATCACAGAGGACGCTGTACGGTGGTTGGGTCAGGAGGGCACGCATGGCGAGCTGATTGCCCATTGTCCCCGAGAGCACAAAGAGGCCTGCCTCCTTGCCTGTGATGCGAGCGCAGTACTCCTCTAGCTCGTTAGTGGTTGGGTCCTCTCGCAAAACATCATCCAGGAGGGTGCAGTTCTGGATGGCCTCGAGCATAGCTGGGGTCGGCGTGGTCATGGTGTCGCCTTGAAGGCACATGTATATCAGCATGGGCTTGCCCCAAATGCAAGCAAATAGGAACACATGGCGTGGAGGCAAAGACAGGGGCTGGTGGCGGGTGGGCACCCACTCCTGAAGTCAAGGCCGGCGGCGCCGTGATGGCCGACCCAAGCGCTGGCGCCCTTGCCATTGGCAACCGGGGCCGCGGGCGTGGCATCCGATGCCGCAAGAGTTGCACCTGATGCCATATTGGTGCTGTAAGACTGGACAGAGGCAGGTGTTGAGAATGCAATGGAACGGCAGCGATAGCGGTGGCTGGAGTTATGGACGGTCTGAAGGGGGGACGGCGGCGGCCCGTTTTGTACCGTGGCGCTGACGAGGCTCTGGTCCGCACTCGGAGGCCGAAAGCGATGGTAGCCGCTGATCGGAGCGTTGAAACTCGGTCCCAAGTTTGGGGTAATGGAGGGTCCGTAACGGCTGGCGCACCCAGCCACTCGACGCCAGGCCTGCGTGAGGGGGCTTGGACGGGAGGCCTGGCTGGCAAGGACCCCGACGCCGGCCCCGATGTTGCATCCTAGCAGCCGCTGCATCGGGCCAGCAGAGCTTCAATGCGGACCGTTGGAAATGCGGTTTTGGGAATGCCTTGGCCAGAAAGCCAAATTATGGAACGGATCAATCGAGAATGGTGTGCTTTGACCTGACCTGACCCCCACCCGCGGCAGGGTCAGCCGCTGGAGACTGGCCTAGCCGCCACGAGTCATCGTTCCATGTCGTTCGCGGCTTGGGCTTGAATAGATGACGGCTTCGAACGTTTTCTGGTGTTTTGAACTTGCCAGACTCGTCGAGGTTGGAATACCACATGCCAGCTCGACTCGCGGTACCATCTAGCTCCAAGCCGCAAAAAGCGTGTCCATCGACAGGAAGCGGAATAGGAATACGTATAAGAATAGGAATAGGAATAGGAATAGGAATAGGAATAGGAATAGAAATAGGAATAAAAAGACGAATCAAAACAGGAATAATTGCAGGAATACAACAGGAAGGAAACGAGAATAGGAAAGCTCACAGTACTAGAAATCCCACTTAATCTTTAGGACCTGGCGCAAGACTGCCATCTGTTTTGTGGCGGGGTGCAGATACGGTCTAGTGCGCACGGTCCACCATAGACCGTGGCTCAACGCTGACAGGAGTAGGCCGAGTCGCACCGGTCGCACAGAAACGAGGACATTGAACACTGCCCCTGAGGACAGAAGGGCCCTACTGGGAGCGCAATGCTGGAATAATCCGATTAATGAGCTTCAACTGGCATCATTGGAGCAGTGAAAACGACTGCTATTCGAAACATCTCTGATGCAATCATGAGGTTTCTGCTGCCGCGTCGCGTCGCCAGACGCGCTCGCCTGTTGTTCGTCCTCGCTGCCTTTTGCACGCTCCTTGTCTTCTTCTGGAGCGGCGGCGGCGCTCTCCGGCTGTCGCCCCACCGGATATCAAATGCCGGTCTCTACCGACCGTCGGAGGACGCTGCGTCTCTTTGCCGCCGTCATGGCTGGAGACCCTTCAGGCCACCAAAATCCTTCTCCTGGTGGCCGCTGGCCCCAGCCGAGGAGCATCCAAGACCCCGCAAGGTCTACGACCTGTTCATGATCAACAACGAGATGGAGTGGCTCGAGGTCCGCCTGAATACCACCTACGAGCTTGTCGACCATTTCGTGGTGGTCGAGGCCCCCCTCACATTTACCGGGCTGCCCAAGCCACTCGTCATCAAGGAAAACTGGGACCGGCTCCGGCCCTATCACGCCAAGCTCTTTTATCACGAGCTGCAGTACCCGCCAGACTACAACCCGCCAAGGCCCTGGGACCGCGAAGATCTGCAGCGCGACGCCTCGCTGGAGCAGGCCCTCCCGCGCCTGGCCGCCGAGGTGCCCGGGGCGGCCCCGCGGGCCGGCGACGCCCTCGTCGTCGCCGACGTGGACGAGATCATCCGGCCCGAGACCCTGCGCCTGCTGCGCGCCTGCGAATTCCCGCGCCGCCTGACCCTGCGCAGCCGCTTCTACTACTACGGCTTCGAGTTCCTGCACCGCGGGCCCGAGTGGCCGCACCCGCAGGCCACCTACTATGAGGGCGCCCGCTCCAGCTCCGCCGGCGGCGGTGGCACCACCATCAAGCCGACCAACCTGCGCAACAGCGACGGCGGCTTCGCGCCCCTCTCCTGGCTCGACATGGCCGACCTATGGAACGCCGGCTGGCACTGCTCCACCTGCTACCGGACCGTGGCCGACGTGCTGCGCAAGATGGCCTCCTTCTCCCACGTCCCGCTGAACCAGGAGGTGTTTCGGGACCCGAACAGGATCGCCGATCGGGTCCGTAGGGGTAAGGATATCTGGGATCGCGAGGGCGAACACTACGACTTCGTCCCCAATAACACCGACATGCCGCCCTTCTTGCTGGCGAATCCAGAGCGGTTCGGATATCTGCTAAACCGGACGGGGGAGTCCGCCGGCTTCGAGGACTACCTCCCTTAGGATTCAGGGGGAGAGCGCATCTTAATTTGTTCATCCAATACAGCCATTATTGAATTTGCCCTTGAGTCAACAATTATTGGGTGATGAAGCATCTTTTACAGGTACCGTGATGGGGGGCCGCCTCTTCCTACCCATGTAGGTGTGACCTTTTGTCCCGAGCACTCGGTCTCATCAGTGCGTGAACCAGTAATATCTTGTGGAGAAATACATGCTATCATTATACATGGATGGCCACACATCCAGCCACGCCATCGGGTCAAGGCAAGGATTTCTATCCAAGGTCATATCCTTGTGTTTGGCGGGCGTCAAGCACAAGGTGTCGCTTTTTTCCTGATTGCCATCTCTAGTCGTACAACAAAAAAGGCTAAATCGTCCGGAATAGCCATCCGTCCCAGACGCCATCCGTAACTCTCTATCCTTGGCTTTACCAATCCGTGGTGAAAAGCAAGGAACACAGAAGGAAAAGAAATGGGGTTGTCTGATCAACTCCAGTTACTGTCGGTTTCGACGCGACGGCGCGACGGCCTAGTTGCCGAAACCGCCAAAGCCGGGGGCGCCCCCTGCCTGGCTTTGCTTCTGGAGTATGTCCGAGACCTTGAAGTGGACGTCGAAGAACTTGGCGGCGCAGCGGTCGAGGCAGACGCTCTCGCCCTTGTTGAGCTCGCCCTCGTGGTAGTCGGTGGGGATGCACTTTTTGGCACATGCCCTGTTCAGGCTACATTCAGGGGGACAAGAGTACCCGGTCAGCTGGATTCACGAATATCGCAGTGGCTTCCCGGAAGGTGCGTCGTCTGACCGGTTGTGCATCTCGGCGATCAGTTTCATCTCGGCCTCGACTGCGGCGATCTTCTCGGCCGAGGTCGGCTGGGGGCGTCCGAGTCCAAACATTGCGAATGTGGTCTGGATAGCTCTTTGAGGAGAGGATGTGGTGTGCTAGGAGGGCTGTTTCGGCGCGCGGATTGACCTCGATATTTGGCCCAGTCTGGAGACTTAAAAGCAAGCTTCAAGTTTAGAGAATGAAGTCAGTTCCTGCAGCTCCCGTCCCGCAGCGGGCACAGGCGGGCGGTGAGGAGCGGCAGACTGACTGTGAATAGGTGTTATCTTATCGGTACTTGACAAAGGACGGTAGCCGCCTCGTTGCGTGCTCAGGGGCCCACCTTGCAAAATGGAAAATGGGCATAAAAAAATCTCACGAACTTAAACCATAGTGTCCTGCCTCCCTCTCTTTTGCTCCCCCTTTTGATTCTGCTAATCGGGCTGGCCTCGCAACGGCACAATGGCGGCGAGCATGAACGTAAGTATTCACTTTCAACACGCATTTCACCTTCCCAATGAGTCCCCATCCCCGTTCATGATGACACCTGGAATACATTTAAGAACCGTTGCGACTGACACGGAAACGTGTATGATCACAAACGCCAACTGTCTGATTTTTTTTGACCACGATATTTTTATTCTTGCATGCAACCATCGCTGTATTTGGTGTCCAGTCTACTGACATTGCTACTAGCAGATTCCCGCGGGGCTTGGTCTGCAATTTTTGCGACCCTGTGCCCAGCGAAGCGCCGTCGGCCCTGTGAGGTCGGCAGCGGTGGCCCAATTGCAGCTGCGCTTCTACTATGCCTCGCGTTCACTCAGGTCACAGAGCCAGGATGGGCGACCGGCAGTCCCGATAGGGGAAATGGCGGGGGATAGGACTAGGCAACAGAAGCCCAGCCAGACCGCTATCACCGCGGGCGTGCCTGGTCTTCTCGACCAGCACCACAGGGAGAATAATGTCGTGGGGCGGCCCCGCATCATCCGCGGCCGCATTGACGCAGTACGCAGACATGGCCGGAAGCTCTTGTTCATCGACGTTGTCTCCGGGTTCGAGACGATGCAGGTTCTGGTGAACTATGGCGTCATCTCAACCGAGGATGACCGCTGGCGTGACATCTCATCCGACTCGGAAGGCTGGGCCGCTGCCACGGGGGCGCTACGGAGGGGCGCCTTCATATCTGTCGTTGGCGACATGGCTCTCAGTCGAGATAATAAACTCTCGATTAAAGCTCGGAAGATGCCGGTTATACTTGGTGCCCCAAGTCCTGGTTTTGACCCTCCCGAGGTCTTGGTTGATGAGGAGGTCACCGCCCGCCACCGTCACTTGGACCTCCTAGCCAACAGACAGATGCTCGACACATTGCGCTTGCGCTCTGCCGCAATCACGTCGTTGCGGTCCTTCCTCGATGGCCACCAATTCATCGAGGTGCAGACCCCGATCCTCGCTGCGCATGCCGGTGGTGCCTCAGCACGACCCTTCTCTACCCGGTCTGCAGACATGGGTATCGACCAGCCGCTGGCCCTGCGCGTTGCCCCTGAGTTGTGGCTCAAGCGGCTCGCCGTTGGGGGCTTCGAGCGCGTCTTTGAGATTGGGCCATGCTTTCGCAATGAAGGCCTCGACAGCACCCACAACCCCGAATTCACCATGTGCGAGTTCTACGAGGCCTACGCGTCTCTGGACACCCTAATTCTCAGGACCGAGAACCTGATGGCAAAGATCCTGAAAGATGTTCAGTTCGCCGCGTCCGGCAACGCCGGCGCGCTCCGGGCGTGGCAGCTACAGGGAGATCTGGAGGCCGTCGCGGCAAAGTTCAAGCCCGGAGCCGAGGATGGCGGAACGGGGGGACTGCGCAGGGTCGCCTTTATCCCGACGCTCGAGAAAGCACTCGGCTTCAAATTGCCGGGTCTCGATGCCGAGACGGCCTTTGAAGATCTCATTGCCCTGCTACGCAAGCATGAGCTCGAACCGAAATACGGATCGTCTGCGACCACATTACCCAAACTCCTCGATCGCCTCGGCAGCGACTACGTCGAGAGCGAGTCTTGTACCGCCAAGGCCATTTTCGTGACACACCACCCGGCATGTATGGCCCCCTTGGCTCGCAGCACGCGCTGTGCTGCGACAGGCCAGGTGGTGGCGCTGCGGGCCGAGCTGTTCGTTGACGGCGTCGAGCTGGCCAACATGTACGAAGAGGAGAACGACCCAGATGAGCAGGAGCGCAAGTTCAAGGAGCAAGCCTGCCTGCTGAGACAGCAACAGCGCGGCAAGATGCAGCGGTCGTTCGATCACCAAGTCGCCAGCCACACTGCCGTTGACGCCGGTCTTGAGACAGCCGACATGGACGAGGCCGAAGCCGAGGCCGAGGCTTCGGGCGCCCTACTCACGGGCAGCGACGCCAACTACGTCAGGGCCCTGCGAGCCGGCCTGCCGCCCACGGGAGGATGGGGCTGCGGCATCGAGCGCCTCGTCATGGTGCTCTCGGGGGCACCCCGCATCCGGGACGTGCTGTCATTTGGGAACCTAAGGAACGTTGTTAGCGTCTCGCGCCCTGAGAATCAGGATTTGGCCACAAGCTCATCGGCCTAGATCCCCGCCCTGGGCGGGTATCTACCAATGTGGACTGGATTTCAGAGCGTCGAGAGGCGCACACCTAGTTGTATATAGTGTACCACCACTCGTGCTGAACCTGGGTCAGCATGAAGCACGTAACCAATGATGATGATGATGATGATGCCACGGTATATGCGCTTGGTCACATTTCGAATTTCCCTGTAGAAGGAACGTGTGAAAGCCGACCTTGTAGATTTCTTCTGAAATAGCTGGGTATCTATCACAACCAATCTTAGTCAAAAGCGCTAAGCCAAGTGAATAAACGATGCGGCTTTTGTTTCGCGCAAGCAGAACAGTGAGCAGAGGTCAGCGAGAGGTTGAAAGCGGCAAAGAGCATAAGCAACCTTTATCGCGGCTCCCAGGGAGAATCCTCACAGCAAGTCCCCTCTTGGCAAGAATCCCTTAAGCAAAAATATCCCCCGCAAAAAATAGAAGTGTGACGAAAAGCTCGGTGTCTCAAGAGTGGAAAGCCCAGTAAAAAGGAGATGCGGGTTTCCTTCCGTCCAAGCAGAAAATCCTCCCAGTAAAAATAGGGGGTGTGACAAAAAAGCCTAATGTCGCAAGGGGGTCCGAAAGAAGTGTCGGTGGGCCGAGACGCAGCAAGAAAGTCTCGAGAGAGCAATCCAGATCATAGGTCTCGGCGCCGTGCACCCATCCTTTACCAGAACGAGCCCAGCTCCTTCTTCCGCTCGGCAGGATCCAGGACCATGAGCCGGCGCATCCTGTCCATGCTGTTGGCCGGGTGGTATGTACCCAGCATGGCCTCGGCGTTGTTGGGGCGGCGCACGCCGCAGATGTCGGGCGTGAGGCCGACGAAGGCGCCGTCCGAGCCGCCCGTGTCGAAGATGTTGGCGCGCTGCGCCGGGAACATCTCGTGGTCCCCCGGGCCGCGGTCGTTCCAGCCGGGCATCCGCATCCTGTCCCAGAACCTGGGGGTAGCCTCGAAGCGGAGCCTCTTTGGCATCTGGACGCGCGCGATGTCGCGCAGCCGCGTCCACTCCAGGCGCATGGCCATCTTGTAACCCGACAGGCATCGCTCCTCGGCCGGCGTCGCGGGGTTCCAGGTCCATCCGTTGGCGGCGGGGTCCGAGTCGAGGGGGACGAGGAGCGGCTCGGGCTCGGGCTGGGACTCGGGCTCGGGCTCGGCATCGGGCTCGGCATCGGGCTCGGGCTCGGCATCGGGCTCGTTGCCGTCGTTGGCAGTGGTTGACTCGCCTGCAGTAGGATCAGCGTCCGCGTCCTCGCTGGCATCCTCGTTATCGTCCTCGTTGCCGTCCTCGTTGCCGTCCTCGTCGGCGTCCTGGTCGACTTCCTCGCTGGCGTCGTCATGGGAGACGTCGACACTCGGCATGCCGCCAAACAGCTCGCCAAGCGACGTGGCATTCATTATGCACCCCCAGAATGGTAGTATCCTCATCACCACCGCCCGCTTTTCCGTCTGGTAGCGGTGCGGCTCCATGTCGGCGAAGATGGTGAAGCTGCACCACGAGCACCTGACGCCCACGTTCATCATGGTGTTCATCACCTTGACGTTGCACATGCAACACTGGGTGAGAAAGAACTGCTTCCGTACCTCCGGCGCGGGCTGCCCGTACAAGATCTCGTAGATGCGGCGGTTGTGGGCCATCTCGTTCTCTTGGCGGCTGCCGTGTCCCTCGGTGGCGTCCAGCAGGGCGTGGCTGGCGAGGACCTTGGACACGAAGCCGACGGGTAGGGGCAGGCGCTCGAGGAAGTGCCGGAAACCCAGGCCGCGCGCCAGCATCTCCACGCCGTAATCCTTCTCCCAGCGGTGGACACGGTCGATGAGATTTGCGACGACGTTCTCGGTGTGCACCCCTGAGTCCTCAAACGTCAGACCGTAGCTGCCCCAGCGGCCCGTGTCCCCCAGGTCATTTTCGTAGCTTGGACCGTAGTGGTAGAAGGGGTAGAAGTCCAGCCTGCAGCCCGGACGGCGGCGCTTGACGGCCCTCATGAGACATTCGGTCTGGGTGACGTTCAAGAGGTAGTTGTCGCGCAGAGTCAGCTGGCGGATGTTGGGGGTGGCGAGGAGGATGAGGTCGACGTGTTGCCACGTCAGGAAGTCCTGGCCTGAGATGTCCAGGCTGCGGATGGAAGCGCCGTGGTAGGAGAGGACCTCGAGCAGCCTGTTTGTGCCCTCCAAGGCGTCAGAGTACTTGAGGCGCGGCGACTTGTTCCGGGTCGCCTTGGTGGCCTCGAAGCGCACGGCTGTGCACATGACGTTGAGGTGGCCCCGACGGCCGATGGGCTCAAGTTCCTTGTCCGCCATGCGCTCGCTGTTGTCTCGCGGAACATCGACCATCATGTTGTCGCGAACCAGGGTGCGGCAAACCTTGTTTCTGGCCTTGTCCTCCTTTGTAAGCTCGAAGAGGTCCTTGTGCGCCTCCCTGTGTTTGGCCAGTGAGTCCTGGTGCTTGACCTTGGAGATGTCGCTCCAAGACGCCTTCATCTCGACAGGGCGGCCGTTGTCGGTCACGCCGACCCGGATGAGTGCGACGTCCTTACCCAGGAAGTCGAACCTGTTGGTGTCCCACACCTCCTGTCATCCAGCCTGGTTAGCCATGTCCAAAATGTGACCGAGAAACATTTCATCAAGACTTACCAGAATCCTGCCAACCGAGTTGAAGGTCTCCTTGCAGGCTATGGCGACGGATTGCTTCTCGGCATAGGTAAGCTCGCCCAGGATCATGGAGGCGATGGACAGCTCGCGCAGCGCCTTGCTGAGCCCACTATGGGGCTGCTCGATTCCACCCTTGAAGAACGTGGCAGGGTCCTTGGGGTGGAATGGGATCTATAGGAACAACCAACTAATCAGCATCAAGTCCAGAGCAGTACTGTGCATGTCATGGGCATCTTGATACTCACTGTCATGACGAGCTTGTCGTCTGCAATGTTCTCTCCCTTGGCAGCGACGGCGCTGAACTTGTGGTAGGCAGGGTTGTACTTGAGCGCAGAGAACACGAACTTCGTCGTATTGAAGTCCCGTGTAGGTTCTGTCTCGCGAGCAACCCGAATGATCTCGTCCCTCTCTTGCTCGAGAGCCTCTGACGATGCCCAATTCTGCTGGCTACGGGCGTCCAGGATCCGCTCGTTGAGGCCGATCAGCTCCTTGTCGACCTCGTCCGCGTTCTCTTTGGTGAGCTCAGCCAAGACCGCCTCTCCCGAGCCCACACTCTTAGAGTAGTGGTCTTGGAGTCGCTCGACTGTGAGCAGCTGGACTGGGGCACAGGAACCAGAGTCGGACGTCGGGGCCTCAGGGGAAGCATCCCAGTTGTCTTCCTCCGGGGCTGGTTGGGGCTCCGGCATTCTCATGTCGGCGGCGCAGGCAGCTATAACCTCGGGTCGCCGCGCATTGGCGATCTCAAGGCTCCGCGCATACATCTTCTGGAAGCGGGTCTTGCGGTTTGCTCCCTTGCGTGCCATTATGAGCGCTGTCTGGCTCTGCTGTGGACAGTGCTGCTAGTCAGTCTAATGCATTATAAAGCTCCCAAAAAAAAAACGAAGGTTGTACAAGACAAAGATTAAGGTTGCAGAAGAATAAGATGAAGGTTGTGTGACAGACGGGGGTGAATTTTGTGTAGAAGACGAAGGCTCCGTAGAAGAAGGCTGTGTAGAAGAAGATGAGGGTTGTGTGGAAGACGAAGGAGAAGACGAAGGTTGTGTAGGAGACGATGTGCAACGGCGAGAACCGATTGAACAAGAGCAGAGCGAGAACTTGCTGACATTCAAGGTAGGTGTTCGCCTTTATGTGTGGTAGGTGCCAGGCAGGCCTGTTGATTGTGAGGTGCAGGAGAAAAGGAAGGAAGGGTTTCAGGGTTGTGGAAAGGGCGCCCAGGTCGATCCAGAGACGACAATAGTAGGACGACTACCGGGATATAAAGTGGCGTGCCCTTGAATGCCAAGAGTGGATGAATGTCTATTCTAGGGCATGGGACTTACGACTCTGTGACGAACAAGAAAAGGGCGAGGCTCTCGTCTGGAGATGGTTGTCGGCGGTCGGGCAGCGTTTGGCCAAGGAATTCGAGGTGCAGTGGAAGGAGGAAGAGAGGTGAAAGGAGATATCAAGGTGAGTTTAGAGCGAGGCAAGGGGGCTGCTGGAAGGTTAAAGAGAATCTGAAAGGAAGAGGGTAGGGAGGAAAAGTTGTTTGGGGGAAGGAAGATCGAGATGGTCGAGGTGATGGGAGGCGGCTCTCGGTCTTATATACCACGTGTGTGGCAGATTAGCCACAGAAACGGAGAAAGGAAACAGATGGCAAGATAAGAGCCCAGGCTGCGGCGTAAAAACGTGGGGAGGAAGGCTGTTGAGGTCTGAAAAAGGTTGATATCGCGTCGTGTGTGGCGTTGGAAGGGGTTGGGACCAAAACTCACCCGTTCTGCCGGGTCCTTTGCCCTGCTTGGGGGATGTGGCTGCCCTTGCTCACTTGCTCAGCCAGAAGGGGCCGTCACGTCGACGACGGAATACTGGCTCGTTTACTTCCAGGCGTTCCTGGGTCGGCCGGGCGTTTGCGGGATCAGCCCCCTCCTGGCAGCGAACCACCTCACAACCAACCGCACCTGCAGCTAACCTTGAGCTCCACTCTTATTAGCAGGGAGTGCTCCCAGGCCCAGCTAGGGTGAGGGGCATGCTCGCCTTGTCATTGATCAGTATTGTGTGAATCTATAGCGGGTGGCATGAACAGGGTCGAGGCTGGGCTGGGCTCCACACAGGGCAGCAGCAGCAGTGAGAGCCCAAGAAAGTTCAATGAATCACGAAAGGCTATCGGGAAAGAGAGAGACATGGTTGATGATATATAGAATCTGGAAATCAATAGGCTATACGTTGGCTAGAGGAGAGAGTGCTATTGAGGGGAATGGTGAGGAGTCCAAGGGGCTTCGAGGATGCAGCACAACGGACACCTCGGTGACCTGCGCTCCTGCTGGCTCCCATGCCGCGTAAAAATCTCTCAGAGGGTCTGGCGTAGACTATTTGGCCTTTATCTAGTTACCTCTCGGGTTGCACCACGGCGTTTGCACCTGCGTGCTGTTTCTTTGTCCGCCCCTACGGCTTGCTGCATGCTTTGCTTCCAAGCCTGCACACATCGTTTGTCGAAGGAAACGCCAACGACACCGCTTTGTTCACACACCCCCCGCGTAAACAAACGACAAGGAATGGCTCGTCAGGCGCAGAGTTTTCTATTCCCTGGCGTCGAGGAGTCTTCCGAAGGGGCCGGGACGACGCTCCTTGGTGGTGGCGTTCATCCTACTGCCACTCGTATTCCTACCTACCCTCAACGCCCTGAGAAAGTTTCTAGGTTGCCTTCTCTGCCGCAAGAACCCCTCGGAGTAGAGCTAGCTGACAATCAGCCCGGAACGAGAAACGAACCTAGAAGACGCTCGCCAAGAGCATTTCCACCGAGAAGCCAAAATCCGCGCCGAGCGAACCGACGTCGAAACATGCTGTGACCCGCGCCCGGGCCTCCGAGTCTTTCCCGAACCGAGACGAGCCCGTCGAGCGGTAGTCGGCGAGGGCGAACAAGCTGCGCATACACAGCAAATATGAAGGACCTCCTTGAACCCGATTTCCCATTGCGTCCCAGCCGACACCACGCTCAACAAGATCCGTCCCCGATGCCCAAGGACGACAACAAGAGCCAGCCGAGGCCACGTCCACTAGAAGGGGCATGAGGGAAATTGCCCGAGCATCTTGACACTTTGACGAGCCAGGTGATGCAGAGCCGAGGGAGGAACCATATACATGCACCAGCGGAGACACCGTTGCGTGTTGTCTGCTGGCTGTCTTCCCTCTTCTCAAAACACCACACACGACAAACCGTCGACTTGGACGACTCGCTCGAGGCAGAAGAGCAACGCCCGCACAAGGTCAGCATACAAATGTGCCCCTTGGAAATGGGCCCGCATTCCCGAAAACGCATGGATGCCCCAGCGGGACTTGAACCTTTATTGTGTCCTCCAGTTGCTTGGACTATTTTAAGACTAGATACGTCGAAAAAGATTGTGGCGTCGTCGACAGAGTTTGAGTATTACCCCTGAGAGGTGCAGAGTGTGGCGTCCAGATGTCTCGAGCTAACGTAGAATGATGGCTCAACCTAGAATAACCTCGGTGGCTTCTCACTAACCGCGAATCCAAACCGTGGAATCAGTGTCGGACGGTCCGCCCAGCCAACAACGGTGCTTTGCAAATCGACGCCACTTTCGGGTCTTGCATTACAGTCGGCTGCTCCCGGGAAGCTTGGGCTGAGACGGACGCCTCAAAACCGTGGGAGCCCCGGCCGATCGGCAAGAACAGGGGCGGTTTCTGGAAGGCGCGCCACAGACACAGACAGAAGAAGGCTTGGCGCGGCTCGCTTCCCTCGGTATATCGGGTTTGTCGTGTGTGGCGGCGCTGATCCTCCACATGGGGAGCTTCAGGGCCGACTCGACAGCACAGCATCCCGACCAAGTCCCACACACAAGGAAAGAGATGGAGAGAGGATGGGACAATGGAGAGAGGAATCGTCGAGAGAAGGGTGGTGGCCACAAGCCGAATCGGCTTTGGTGCTGCGTCAGGGGCAAACGCAGACTTGGGTGTCTAGTCGTGCCATCGAGTAGGGGGCGAAATGGCGAGAACAGGGGAGACCTCCCCACAACCCGCTGTTTGGCAAAACGGGCTTGGAGGGCGAGAGTGAGATTCGGGTGCTTCCGAGCAGGAGCTCAAAGGAAGGTTTGTGCCAGACCCTCAGTCCATGGCGACGACGACATCGCCTTTGCACCTGCCATAGCTGCAGCAAGCCTCGGGCTTCAAGGCGCCGCGCAGGATGGCATCTCGCTTGTCCTGTTTGGGTCTTCTTGTCAGAACGGGTGTCCAGAGAGAGGGGATTCGGAGACGGTAGAAGGGGCTCGACTGACATCAGGACAGGCCACAGGTGTAGCATGCACCATGGCTCCAATGGAGAGGACGGCAAGAAGCGCAGATACCAGGAAACGACAATGCATCTTTGGGACCCGTGCGCTTAAGGCGAGCCGAGTGGGTGGCGAGCAAGGCGGGTATAGAAGGAACACAGTGTGCTGTGCCTTTGTCAAGAACGGAGTAAAGGGGCGACGGACCAAAAGGTGAGAGGGCAGTCAGGATGGGAAGGCTGGGGCAGCGGGAGAAGCAGAATATATAACGACGCAGATACGAGGATCACTTGCCGAAACTGCTCACAGTTCAAATGCCGGAAAGACGTCAGCGACCCAAGAAGCTAGAGTCAGTTGGGAAAGAGGGTGGTGGACGAATTTAAAGGCGGCCCGGTATCGTGAAAGGCCAGGTCTGAGTAGCCCGGGGTTCCCTCCACGGCCACGACAGGGGGACACGAGGTGGGAACGTGAAGGAACGAGGGTCCTTTTTTTTTTTTCTAAAATAGCGGCGAGGCAGGCCGCTTGGGTGGTGGGGGTACGGGCAGATGCGAAGCTAGCACCAACAACGGCCTGGCGGTGGTCTGGGGCCGGGACACAAACTGTGTGTTTTGTGTGTGCGTATGTATGTGTGTGTGTCTGTGGTGCTCTCGGAACATGGCCCGGAGCAACGCGCCAACGTGTCGCTGCAGTGACCCTAGGCCGTTGCGTGAGTTTTATGACACGAGGGGCAGCAGGGTGCACACTGTTCCGCACCAACAGCAGCACAGGAGGCTAAGCAGAGTCGGGACTGGGATGTGCAGGCAGTCAGCCTTCCTCGACGAATCACGACTGCAGCGCCCGTCAGCCGTCTTTTCCCCCGACTATGCTCTCTGCTTCTCCAAAAGCCAAAAGCCAGTCATGACGGAGTGGCCGCGCCTCGTATTCAGTGCTCGGGCCAGTTCGAGCCAGACGGCATGGAGACTCGGGCGGATGAGATGGCAGTGCAGGGGGCTGCCGGCCTCTGTACGACTCGTCCCATCGAGACACAGTCTTGGACATACGAGTGAAAATCTCAAATGCGTCTCTGCATCTCTCGACGCGGGCTCCAACAAAAACCCTCATTGCGCGAGGGAGCCTCCCAGAAAATGGAAGCCGCAGGTCAACCATCTTACGCGAAAGTGGGTGAAAGGCTTGGGGCTAGGAAGCTGGAAAGAGGCCCAGGCTGCTGGGTGCCGACTTCCATGAGGTGGCAGGGAGCTGACTGCTCAACCAAAAACGGGAAGGTGCAGGGGGGAAATAACCAGGTGCTGGGTTTGTCACGCACTTTTGGCTTTTCAGCCTTGCTCAACCTAAGATCCGAGGGCTGAAAAAGGGGGAAAAAAGCAGCCGCAATCTCAGCTTTCTTTTCTTCCTTTCCTCCCTTCTTCCTCGGCGGCACAGCTGCTGACCCATTGCCCCTTTGGACTTTTTGCATTTCGGATTCGCGTTGCCGCTTTGGGAGCGAGCGATTGCCCCTGCGACTGCGGAGAAGCGAGATGGCGGGCCCCAGCTGTCACATTCCTGCCAGACAGAAAAGATGGAAGCCGCAGAGTACGAACGCCGAAGCAGGGGGTTGGTGCTCGATCCAGGTCGACCCCATCTCGTTTCAAATACACGCCCATCACCAACGGCCCAACATTGTGATGGCCCTGCGAGCTGGGACGGTGATGGACGAAATCCACACCCGACGCGACCTCCCGTGGATTGATCAGCCTCCAATCAAGGGCTAGGTCCCTGGGTCCCTGGGTCCAGGAATGGAGGCCGCTGTGCAAGCAGTCCTCTTGGCCTGTTGGGCGCCGAGAAGCCCGACGTGCTGTCTTGGCAGTCTCTAGATGTTCGGATTTGCAAACTCCTCTGCGCTTGCGCTGCCGGTATTCCGGTTGATGCCTGTCGTGATTCACCTTGTTTTCTTTTTTTTCCTCGTTGCCCGCGGCTCGTTCGGCATCAGAGTTTGCATGCATGGAGGGTCATGGACAGGAGACAAGAGGAGTGCGCAGTCACATGACTTGTCATATTGTCACCTACCTTGCGCACTTCCGAGCCAGAAAGCTTCGAGAAGCCGGCCCAGATTCTGATTCCTTTCCTGCTCCCTATCCCATTCCCTACACTAGGTAGTAGGTATTCCCCTCCCCACTCTCTTCCTCTTTTCTTTCCCCTGAAGGAGTGCAGACTTTTTATCTGGGGAACGTGCTACCTCGAGGGTGTCCGTGCTGTTGCACTGTCTGATTCTCTTGTCTCGATTTCGTCCCACTTATCTCAGGCCACTGTTCTGAATCCTGTCGTGCCTGTTTCTGTTTCTCTCGCTTTCGCCTCTCACTCTATTCGTGAAACACAGTCTTTATCAGAATCGAAAGACTCGCAGCTCCTTGTCTCCTCCTTTACGCCCTTGACGCTACCGTCCGCGGCCGTCGGAGTGGAGAGCCGACCAATGCTCAAAACCTTGCCTGCCGCCTCGCATCGAGAGTCTGGGGCTTCCACTCGCACCGCATGGCAGCCATGACGCCTCCCCGCATCCAGCCCCAGACACCGCCGCTGATAGATAGTGATAAGGCCATCTCACTAATACTGACATGAGTGGACCGTCGCATTACCCACCGGGGAGCTGCAGATAAGGCGCCGCGGCCGAGCACACGACCGCCTTACTCCTTTATCTGCGGGCCTTGCCCCGATGGAACGCCGTCGTAGGCATTGAGGCAGAGACGAACGCCTCCTATCTGCCGGTGGAGGCACGGTGGAAGTACGCCAGTCAGAGACGGCGGGGACTCTCCCAGCTTTGAGTACTGGCGAGTCCATCGGATCGGTCCCCTCCACATCCCACACCGGGCCCTATCGCGCATGCGGAGATGCAGGTTGATACACATTGGGGCTGCAGGGCGTCTGCAGTGGGCGTCTCATTTCATCTTATGCCTGCCTGTCTGCCACTGCTGCTGCTGCTGCTGCTGCTACTCCTGTCACTCCCATCAAAAGCGGCTATCCGGGCCTCTTCATCCCATTCGCCGGTGAACCTCCAGCCCGCCGCCGCATCACCGAGCAGTGACTTTCCTCCCCTACCGTAATCTTCGCCTCTTACTATTTCCTCCAAACCTACCTGTATGAGGCCAGGCTATCTATATATAGATCCCAGTAAACACTCAGGGACACCACACAAAGCCATCAAGGTCGACGGTATATAGCCTGTACCAGGCCGGGGATAACAAAAAAAAGCTACCACCGCCCTGCCTACCCCCATGGCCGCGACGGACCGCGCCGACCGCCATGGCGCCCCCGGGGAGAAGACATTGACCACGGGAACCGGCGCTAGCAGGGGATCGGACTCGGAGCTCGGCTACGTGGGGCCCGAGAACGCGGTGCACGGCGCCGAGCTGGCCGCCGGCCAAAGCTGGTACGCCCGGGCCCAGCGCTACGTCGGCCGCTTCGGCGTCGAGCAGCGCGGCGTCGAGCGCGTGCCCACTGACGAGCGCTCCGACTCGGACATGAGCCACATCGGGAGCTTGGTAGATACCCCTATATGCCCTTCCACCCTTCTTGTTCCATTGTGTTCACCCTCGTCTGCCAGCTGTGTTAAAGGAGCTGACAGTTAGTAATACTCTCCCCCCTTTTAAAAGTGGCTGTCGGCGAACATGACCGTCTCGACTTTTGCCATCGGCGTGCTTGCGAGGCCCGTATTCGGCCTCGGCTTCGTCGATGCGGCCCTCACCATAATTCTAATCAATATCCTCGGCATAATGCCCGTGTGCTTCTTTGCAACCTTCGGACCCCGATTCGGCTTGAGGCAGATGATGCTATCGAGGTTCTTCTTTGGCTTCCAGGGCGTGAGGTTCAGTATGTTCTGACAACCCCCTTTGTTCCTTTGTTGGATGCCCATTGTCGAGAAACGAGCCTCCAAACAAAAAGCCAGCTGACTCTCGTATCATGATTCCAGTTGCCATCTTCAACATCCTCGCCTGCCTTGGCTGGTCGTCAGTAAACGTCATCGTGGGCTCGCAGCTCCTTCACGCCGTCAACCCCGACTTCCCGAGCTGGGCGGGCATCCTGACCATCGCGCTCTGCACCCTCGTCATTACCACCTTCGGGTACCGCATCGTGCACGTGTACGAGAAGTTCTCCTGGATCCCCGTCTTCGCCATCCTCCTCATCGTCGCCGGCCTCTTCGGCCGCAGCGGCAGCTTCGACGGCCAGCTGGCCGCCCTGGCCGACACGCCCGCCGACCACGCCGGCGCCGTGCTGGGCTTCGCCGCCTCCGTCTTCGGCTTCGCCACGGGCTGGGCCTCGCTCGCCGCCGACTACACCGTCTACCAGCCGGCTGACCGGTCGCGGCCCGTCGTCTTCGCCTGGACGTTTGTCGGCCTCATCATCCCGCTGTGCTTCAACGAGCTCCTCGGCGCCGCCGTCATGACGGCCTCGGCGACCGACCCCGCCCTCGCCGACGCCTACCAGCACGCCCACGTCGGCGGCGTCCTGGCCCACGTCCTCGTGCCGCCCCTCGGCCGCTTCGGCCAGTTCTGCATGGTGGTGCTCGCGCTCTCCATCGTGGCCAACAACTGCCCAAACATCTACTCCGTCTCGCTGACCCTGCAGGTCACGGCGCCGCGCTCCCAGCGCGTCCCGCGCTTCGTCTGGGCCGTCGTCGCCACGTGCGCCTACGTGGCCATCTCCATACCCGGCTACGACAACTTCGAGGCCTGGCTCGAGAACTTCATGGTCATCATCGGCTACTGGCTCGCCGTCTACGAGGGGGTGGCCCTGACGGAGCACTTTGTCTTCCGCCGCGGCTTCGCCGGCTACGACCCGGAGGACTACACGGAGCCCGACCGCCTGCCGCCGGGCTGCGCCGGGCTCGCAGCCTTTGCGTGCGGCGTCCTCGGCGCCGCCGTCGGCATGAACCAGGTCTGGTTCACGGGCCCTGTCGGGAGGCTGGCCGGCGGGGCCGGCGGCGGCGACGTCGGCTTCGAGCTGGCCTTTTCCTTCTCGAGCCTGTCCTACGTGTTCCTGCGGGCCATCGAGAAGAGGCGGTTCGGGAGGTAGCCGCGTGGCGCGTGGGTGTCCAGACTGGTTTAAATAGCACGCCATTATACTCTGACGGGACCCCATTCCAACTTGGTTGAAGATGTACATGACTGGGTTTAACTTGGCGAGGCACTCGCCGCGAGTAGAGTGGTAATTATATGATCACAATATCTGAACAAGTGAAATGAGAGTCTCCCTGCTACAATCAGGACTTGCATTATCCGAATGTAACCTACAAGTCGACTTCTTTTTTCCTTCTTTCCCCTTAGCCTGTAGCTTCTTGGCTATTTCTTGTTTCCCGCCGTTTCATCCTTATGCACGCAATGTGAGCTACCAATCGAGAGACAGAGGCAAAAACCAAGAGAGGAAAAAAAAATAGTCAATAAAATTCGCTTATGATAAACATGATACCAATACAGAGGGTCCTTTTTCCAACCCAGCATAACTCCTCCCCGTCTAGGTTGTGTGTGCACGCTTCGTCGGTATCCTACCGAGGCCAGCCGGCGAGGCTGGATCGCTGGACACCGCTTGAAAAGAGTACTACGGATTAATAAGAAGATAAAGAAGAAATAACAAGACTGGAAAGGAAACACAGAATAGCGAATGACCTGCGAGTACCCCAGGCCCGGGGCGTCGTTTCAGAGCCCCGACTTCTTGATGGCCGGCAGAGACATGTGGATTTTGAAAGCCTCCCCCCGAGTGGTCGGCTGCGCCTGCTGAGAGGTTCGGAAAAACTGCTCGCAGGCGTAGCATTTGCATATGCCTTGGGCTCCAGGCTCGCTATGAGCGGGTCCCTGATCCTCCCATGCGCGAAATCGGCTGCTGAAGTCGTCGAGGTCAAGGGCGCGTTGCTTAGACCGAACTATCTGACGCCGGGCCCTGCGTCTAGTGCCAAAGAATGCGTCGTGAGCATCTGGGTGGCCAAAGCGACGGTCGTCTTCAACCCCAACTTCGGGCACGGAGCTGTCGTGAATCTGGGACAGAGGCGGCTGCACGGATATATCATGGTGCTGTGGCCAAACCGTAGTACCCGCCGAACGAGGAAGTTCAAGAATGGGCCTGGCCAGGGTGTTCGGAGCATCGACCGCGAACTGATCTTCCAAGTTGAACCGAGGCTTGATCGTGGATACAGGTTCCCCGGCCGGCGCGTCGGCAACATTGGAGCCGGGTGGGAGCGTCGCGGACACAAGTCCAGGCTTCTAACTATAAAATTGTGACTTTTGGAAGCTCTCGGGACTGATGTCGCCCATCTTGGACAGGGGAATCGGTGGTGCCTGCTTCTGGACCGCCATGTTCGTGGGTGCGCTGACGTTGCTGGTCATGGAGCTAGTCCTAGTACTCTCACCGCCAACGGTGGCAGCACTGTCCTTGATGGCGGCACGAGCGGCTGTGTTATTAACCTGGCGCTGCATAACCTCGAGGAAGTTGGCCGGGAGGTATCCAATGCGTCCGTCCCTAGAACGGCACCGCCACCATTCGGAAGGGTTTCCGTTCGGGTCGGTGCGGCCCAAGACTGCGACAAAATCGCCCTTCTTCACGGCGATATCGACACCAGCCGTGAGGGCGCCGCCTTGTTGGGCCAGCGCTGTCGGGTCGAAGTCGTAGAGAACACGGCAAAACTCGAGCTGGGTGGGATCCACTGCCAGTTGCTGGCTCTGCACCTCGAGGCGGCGGCGCTCCTCCTCCTGTGAGGCAGCCATAGACCTGATAGCCTTGCTCATGAGGAAAGGAAGACCAAAGGCGGCGAGGACGAAGAAGAAGAGCGGCTTGCGGCTGGGGCGGAGCCTGCCGTCCGCACCAAGGTTGGCGGCGCCGCTACGGCCCTCGAATCGTGCAAAGGCGGCTGGTGTGAGAGCCTTGACGTCGGCGGGCAGCGGCCTGCCAGTGAGCCTGGCGATGAGGTTTCTGATCCAGCGCATCAGGGTGAAGATGCCCAGAACGGAGCCGAGAGCGTCACGAAGATTGCCAAACTGCTCGGCGACAGAGACCATGGCTATAGGTGTGATGAGGGTCAGCAAGAGAACTAGCGAGGCACAGAACCAGGGTTTGGAACAGCACTGACCGAAAAAGCTGGAGTGTGTGGCCATGTAGGTGCTCTCGAGCATCTGGGCGAACCCGCCAAAGGCGCCCACGATCCCCTCGAGCATCTGGAAGGTTTGCTGGGTGCTCATGCCGAAGCGGTTGGTCAGGCTGTTTGGGTCGTTGGGGTCACCTTGTGCGCCGCCCATGCCACCGCCCATGCCTCCACCGTACATGCCGCCACCATACATGCCACCGCCGTATCCGCCTAGGCCGCCATACATGCCGCCTCCGTAGCCGCCGCCATAGCCGCCGTAGCCTCCCAGCCGAGAATACATTCCTCCGCCGTACGGAGAAGAGTAGCCCGCACCGTACGGGGACGCGCCGTATGGGCTGGCGCCGAGGGGTCTCGAGTACGCGGCGGCGGCCTGATTGACGGTGTTGGCCAGGCTCGTTGGAAATGCAGGCAGAGCAGGCGCGCCGCTGGCCGTGGCCGCGGTTGCCGTCGTGGTTGCGGGTATCGCGGGATTCGGAGAGGTCGCGAGGGACGATACTGTCATAGAGGCACGGTTAGGATCGCGTAGAAAGGAGCGCGGCGTCGGTGCGGCCGGCGCACTTGCGCAAGGGGCGGGCGAGCCCGGGAAAGCGTTCGTACTTGGTGACGCCGCGGTCGCGCCTGCTCTCTCCCACGGTTTAGGTGGCGATGCCATTTCTGCGCTGATGTGTCTGGATATCCGGCGAGCTGGCTACACTCGCTGCCTGTGTCGGTCCGTCGTGCGCCCCTGGAGAAGAAATGTCGGGGATGGGTGGCGAAGGCGGTGGTCGCAGAGTCGAGCTCTCGCCACCACACGAGCGACGCCGGCCTGCCCCTGTCGGACCGTCGTGTCTAAAGAAAGCGGGCGGCGTAACAATAGGAAATGGGCGTTGTACAAACAGCAGGGACTAAAACAAGAATGAAATGTAGCACGGGCGGAGCGGCTGCCGATGGCGCTGGAGGGCGAAGAACCTACTCAACGATGACCGCTTGAGGATTGAAAGGAGCAGCTGGAGCACAGGGCAGTCCAAACTCCAAACCAGACGTGTAGACCCGGGAACCTCTAAGGACCTTGAATGGAACCGGGTGTGGGGAAGACTAGGAATCCAGATTATGTCAGCGGCCCAATTGTGTGGCGGGAAGCCATGTGAATGAGCTCGGTCGGCTTCGGCTCTGGGGAAACCAGCCTCGGCGTTGGCCTATTTGCCCCATGCAGACGCTCCACCAAAAGGTGCGGAGCATCAAATCTACGAGGTCTCGATGCCAATGGCCAAGCATTTCCACATTTCCAGAGACGACCTACCTGCCTCTACCACTGGAGGTTTTGTTACTACTACGGAGTGATTCTCCTTACTTGGCCCAAATACCTTGCACTTCAACACACTCGTGTGTATAACCCAGCAGGTAGATACTCTGGGAAGCGAGGAGAGACTGGTCATTCAAGTGCCGGTGGTTGTTGCTGTCCGAATTAGTCTTCTGTCTCGTCGCCTACAATGATATATAATGAAACAGACACGTGGTGACGGATGCCGGAGCAGTACGGCGATGTGGCATCCGCGCTCGGCCTTGCATCACTGTGCCAATGGGTGGCCCGGAGCTGGAGATGTTTGTTGCTGACATCAACTTGCGCCAGAATACAGCACGGGCAAGTCAACCACCTCGTCCTACGCCCCACCACCCCTTCTACCCCTTTTTCGCCCACGGGTTGCCTTCCGAGTACTCCCTGAATCGACAAACTCGCCGTCGTCGCCGCCGCCATCATCGCTGAAATCTCCAGCTGCAGCCTCTCCGTCCATCCCCTCCAAGTCGTCACGAGTGGGCACTGCAGACGCGCGAGCCTTCCTTTTCTGACCGCTCTTCCCCTTCGTTGTTCTTCCACTCCTCTCTACGGCATCCACTCCCCCCTCCCCCTCCCGGCTGCCGTCCTCGGACGCTGCGGCACGCTCCGAGCTGTTGTCGCTGGCACCGGCCTGGGCTTTCAACCTAGACACCGCGACAGCCATCCGCTTGCTGCCCCTTGCTGCTTGTCTCCGCGGGGCGAACGCTTCTCTCCCTCGGTCCCCCGCGGACTCTCCCCCGACCGCAGTCATGGGCCCAGGCGCCACCGCCCGCGCACCCGCGCCGACGGTGCCCGAGAAGTAGCGCGTGATATTGCTCTGCGTGCCCTCGGCCTCGCGCTTGTTCATGTCGCGGATGACGGGCACCAGAATCTCGTCGGTGCGCTCCTCGCCCCAGCCCACCGTCGACATCAAGAACGTCCGCAGGCCGCGTAGGTCTGGCGCTCCCCATTGGAACGGTTGTGGGTCGCTGTCCACCTCGGGCTGCATGTAGGCCTCAGGCACAGCCGGGCTCGGGAACCCAGGCGGGAGGAAGAGTCGCTTGCCCTGCGACTTGCGGAACTTGCGCCGGAACGTGGAGCGCTCGGGCTCTGCGTCTCGGGGGTTCAGGTGCGTCACTGACTGTACGTCGTGCCACCACTCGGCAAACTGCTTGAGCCCGTCCTCGCCGGGGAACTCGGACAGGATCTCGACCGCGGTCACCGGCCCGATACCTGGGAGTCCCTCGGTGTAGTCGGACCCCAGCAGTTGAGCGAGTGCTATGAGCTGGGGGCGACCGAGCGACAAATCGCCCTCCAGGTCCGATGAAAGGTAGCACTCGACAAACTTGTTGCCGTTGAACATGTTCTTGTACACGCGTGTACCTCCAAAGAGGAACGTGTCCGAATCATCCGTCACGATGCCGTCGACGAGGCCTAGCTGCACGAGCTCCGCACACTGCGCCTCTGCCTCCATGGGCGCGGTTATGTAAGGTATGCCGAACAGCCGGAGCAGCTGCTGGCACTCTGCCACCATGACCTGCGACACCTCATCCGCGTCTCGCAGGTCGCGCTTCTGCTGCGCCCTGAGCTGCCGAAGCTCCTGCTCATACAACAGAGGGTCTCTGACCTCATGCTGGGCCGTCGATCCTGAGGGTACGTTGTTGTTGAGCGTGCTCGCAAAACGGGCATGGGCCTCGGCCTCCTCGGCCATCTGAATGAGCAGCTCCCCATCATCCGAGTCGCTGAATTCGTCCAAGTCCCCACCGGCAGCAAAGTTATCGCCGGCCGGGGCGACATCCTGATTGTCACGTTCTATGCCATCCTCTAGGTCTGGAATGGGCACATCCTCAAATGCTGCGTCGTCCTCCTGGCCCTGATCTTCTGGCTCTAGAGCAGCTAAAGGCTCAGCCACGATTGTACGCGCTTCGGCGATATTGACGTCCTCAAATGACACATCGGGCGAGGATGGGGGAGAAGACGTGGCTGGCACGGTGGTGGCTGGCTCGGCGGCGGGGGCCGTTTCCGGTCCTGGCTCTTCTCCCGACCCGAGCTTGGATTGTACTTCAGCCAGGGTTTCCCCTAGTACATCGGGTCGCCCTAGCGGCGTGGCCTTGGTAGTCTGCTGGGAAGCCGAGGTTGGCTGAGGAGGGGGTGCCTCAATGATCTCAACCTCATCATCTTCGTCCTCCGAAGAGGACTCGATCACGACCAGTTTGTTTCTCTGCTCGCGCTGGAAGCGTAGGCGTTCCTCTAATGCATGCTGGCGGTCCTGTGCGTTCATTTCCGCATGCGCTTCCACCTGGTTCCGCACCGAATCTCTGATGTCGCCTTGATCATCCTGAAGCCACGGAGGAAGTGGGAGAGGGCGTTCCGGCTCGGCCGCCGTCTCGAATCCTCCTGCAAAATCGTCCTCGTCTTCGGGTTCGTGCGCTGCCGATTCCTCGCCGGCTGGCTCGGTTGTCAAGGAAATGCCACCACGAGTCACCACTGGTGATGGTTTGGCGGAGGAAGCAGCCCTCCAGTCTAGTTTTTCAAATGGCAACGGCCCGCTAAACGGGTTCTTCAAACTTGTAGACGTGACGGGCTTTTCGCTTTCGGCAGTTTCAGTGGTAGCCACTTGCTGCCTCCTCTTGCGTCTTGCCGAAGCAAGAGCGGCCTGCAAGTCTTCATCGCTGTCACTATCGTTCCCAGCAGCAGCAGCAGCAGCAACGCGCGGTCGTGGCACTAGGCGACTGGACCTATTGTTGACGAGGCGGGCGATAGCCTTGCCGCTGAATCCCGGGATTGGTTTGGGCGCCTCCGCGGCCTTCTGCTCCCACTCTGGTCGCTGTTCGGCTTCGGTCGTTTCCACTCCTTCTTGAGACATGTCAGTTGCCTGCTGTACTTGATCATGCCCATGCTGTGTTTTGAGCGATAGGGCTATTGCCCGGCTAATGTCTTCATCTTCGTCTGCTTCCAGGCCGAGGTTCTCTTGTGTTTGTTCCTCGAAGAGATCATCCATGTCGTTTTCCTGTGCCACGAACATAGACTCATCTTCGTGGCCGGCAGCGAGCTTCCCAGTAGGCAATCTATTTAGCCCCTCAATGGGCACGTCTTCAAAGTCGTCCTCGTCCTCCCATTCCTCGTCTTCGTCGTCGAGGTTGGCAGCGAAGCGAGAGGGGGCGTCAACGTCTATAGGATTGCTCGCTACGCCCTCGTTTTGGCGCGAGACGACGCCGAGTGCCCAGCCGCCTTCGGCGCCATCGTTCTTGACGAGAATGTACTCGCGATCCTTCTCACTGTTGATGCGCCCGCCCACCGTCAGGTCCGCACTCTCGCCCATGCCCAGCTCGACCATGAGGCGTTGAGTCAGGCGGTTGCGCTCCTGAACGCGCTCGATCTGGAACCGCGAGAAGGCGCGGCGGTCCGGGAACATGCGGTCGAGCTGCTCCTTGCTGAGCCCCATGCGCAGGCGACTGCGGATGCGGGCCGCGTTCAGGATGTTGAAGCGATCGGCCGGCGGCAGGCTCTTGAAGAAGTCGCCGTCAAAGTCGATCTTGCTAAAGTCGTACAGGTTGACATCCTCGCCACGGTGGAACTGGCGCGCGTAGTTCTCGAGCTCGTCGATGCTCATGACGCGCGGATCATTGGGCACTCCCATCTCGTGCATGCTCTTGTCCAGCTCTGGCAGGTGGTACGCGTCCTGCTTGTGGAACTTTCGGCTCTTTTGCCGCTCCGCCTGGCTCAGAAACTGCTCGTCGGCGTAGACCAGGTTCTCCGCTGCCGGCATCACCTCACCCTCGGCAACGCCGTCCTCAGCTTCGGCGGGTGCGGCAATGGCGGCAGTCTTGCGCCTGTGCCGGTCGGCCTCGCCCTCTGCAAGTCGCTGCATCTGCACGGCCAGCAGCTTGTTCGCGGTGCGGGTAGCATCCTCGCGACGACCCTCGCGGCGACGGCGGCGGCTCTGTAGGGTAGCGCGCTTGAGGATGGGGGCCCCGCCGTCGAAGACAAAGACTGGCTGGATGCCAAACCAGAGCAGCTTGCAGATGCGACGGAAGAATCCGACGACGTGGGAGCTACGCAGCGCGTTGCCCTCCTTGTCGCGAACAGCCTTGAGAAACTGGTAGATCCAGATGGAAGCATCCACAGCGAGGCGCTTGCGGTTCAGCGTCGCCAGGTTCGTCGGGCGGGCGCATGGTTGCAAAACCTGCCAAAGCCCGTTGACTCCCATGGCGGGTGTTTCCTGGCTGCTTTGGGCAGCGCCCTAGGGCCGACAAGATGATGCGGAAGGTTGTGAGAAGTAGACACACCCAAGCTGAGACACGTTCCTGTGGCTTTCACGGAATCTTATGCTGGACTCCCAGAGGCATCATTGTTGGACCTGGATCCTGGCCCCATACCAGTGAGAGACCGAATGCTGTGTTGGTTGTATGAGAGCAGTCAATATCGGTCGTCATCGAGCAGCTGCTCCAGGCATCCAAGGCGTGCCCCTGCATGGAGGTCCGACGGCGGCTCGGGGCTAAGCCTAGCTCTCCGAGGGGCGCACCAGCTTGACCCAGGGCCCTGGAATTCTCCACATCAGCGGGCCTATCCACTGGTGGCGCTCCACTGGAAACCAGAGGCACGATTGCCCCTCGGGCCGGAATTTGATTGCATCATCGTCCTCATCGCCGTCCCTGCCCCCCCAACACGTCGCGCTCTAAACGCACGACAGGCCTATGCCGATGATGGACGAGGAAGCATCGGCCGCATATCTGGCCTCGCTCCTAAACAAAAACCTGCGCATCACCACAACCGACACGCGCATGTTCTGGGGCCAGTTCAAGTGCACGGATCCGGTTTGTCTTGAGCTTCTTGTTACCCCTCCCTCCCTCCCCTCTGATTTTCTTTGTTATTTCCCTTGGTCGCACCGTTGACAATATCAAATACAACAAACGCAAAAGGACTGCAACGTCGTGCTCGCGCATGCCTACGAGTACCGCCACCCAACCGCCGAGCAGGTCGCCGAGGAGGCACGTCGTGCAGCCGCCGCGCAGCGTCCCGCCTTCAACCTCGACATGAACTCGCGCTTTCTCGGTCTCATCGTCGTTCCTGGCGAACACATCGTCAAGATAGAGGTCGAGGAGTTTGCTAGCCAGATGCGTGGCACTGAGCCTGCTACTTCTGCTGCCCTCAACTCAGAGGCGCCCATTGGATTCTTGTGATAAACGCGATACGGAATTTACACTCCTCGCCAGATTTCCTGAGTGTCCTAGGGTGGCAAAGTGGGGCAAACGAGGATATTGGACTCAACCGAGCTATTCCTGATTCCTGCGTAATCTTGAGGCCTGATGGGCATGGCCTCGGAATGAAGCGTCCAAGCGGATTGCGTTAGGATAACCATTTCCTTCTCGGCACGTTTTACGGTGCAGGCTATGCGATAATGTGATTTCCATGCCACTTTGGCTTATACCCAAAAACGGGATTAGATGAATTATAGACTTTAGCCTTCTTGATCAGTGACCGAGGTGTTAGGTGGTAACGATACGTGGACTCGGATATCAGAGAACCATCGATTGGGTAAAGAGAAATAGGAAACGGAGAATGACATTCATGCTACAGAAACAAGCACCGACACAGGAAGTAGCAAAATACCAACATAACATTGATCCAACTCCCTGAGCTCCAATGTCGAACCTGATCACCTGGTAGCTCGCGCGGCTGAGCTGAAGTCAACAAGCCCAAAGCGCACTAGGCTCGAGCACTCTGCACCAGAGTTTGGGGTATTACTCATTAAGGGGTAGGGAACCGAGCCCTGTCTCTCGACTCGATTGCCCTGTAATTCGAACAAGGCCATGTCATTACGACCATTAGGGGTCCAGTCCAGGCGATATCAGGCGTTTATGACCTCCTGTGACCGGCCACGGCGCTCACCGTTCATGCCCGGCTCGTTGTCTAGGATAGAGTCCCTTTCACGATCCCGCAGCTCATCTTCCTCGTCGTCCTCGTCGTCCTCCATCTCGCCATGCCCTGACGAGATCCACGAGCTGCGGTCGTTGAGGGGCGCATCTTGGCCAGATAGGTCATGGCCTCCGTCGGCGCGGGCCTTGATATGGTTCCTCCGACGCTGCGATAGCGTGCGGGCGCGGGTTGATAGCTTGGAGGACACAGCGGCGTTTTGCGTCACCCAGCTAGTGAGAGAATCCTCGCAGTCCTGGATGATGGCACGGCTGGCCTCATAGCCGTCGTAGGCCTGACGCGTCTCTCCAGGGGTAACGGGGGTGTCGTCGATCAACTCCAGGAGGTGCTTGCCGTAACCGGCGATGATGGCGACTTTCTCAGCGTGTTCCCGCAGGGCGTCAAACTGGTAGGTATAGGCGGCCTTGATCTTTTCGCGCGTGATGTTGGACAGTTGAGCCTCGGCGACAAGAGATTCGGCCTCGGCGCGTACCAGCTCCTGCTCCAAAACGACTATCTTGGGCGAGTTCGGCTCCTTGTATTTAAGCTGCGCGATTGTGTCCGTGATTTTTTGCTTCCCTGTCGGTTTCGGCGTGGTTAGCGGCTTTGCGCCCCGTTCCATAGTCTGTATCCGCGGGACCTTTTTGGCCCGCAGGTGGCCCGTAAACTTACTGTCTCGGCTCGGCTGAACCGAAGCCTCAATATTCCTGATGCTCTTCATGGTCAGGCGGTATTGGTCATAGCGGTCGACGTATTGGTCCTCCAGCTCGCCGATCTCGTAAAGAAGCACGCCAAGTTTGTCCGTCACATCCGAGACATCCTCGTCGCCGTGCTCGCCCCAGAGGGATAGTTGTTGCTGGAGTGGGGTGGCCAAGGGCACACGTTAGCTTCCGGGTCGGCTTGGTTGAGTGGTCAAAATCGGAACGTACAGCGACCTCCATGCGCTCCTTGGCGACACACTCTAGACTGCGCATGACGTTCTTTTCCATCTTGACCAGCTGCGACAGCTTCTTGGCCAAGTCGGGCCCAAAGGCACCGGCGGCATTCCTTCGAAGCGCATGTCCTAGAGAGCGCGAGGTCTGGTTAGTTCGCTACCACAGCGGAAAGAATTGGCGTTTGCGCAAGCTGGCGGCTGGTGGCTCACCAAAGGGTCCTCGCCCGAACAGGCGGCCAGACTTGGTACTAGAAGGCGGCGGCGGAGGGTTCTAGTGATTGCGACATTCGTCTTGGTCAGCATCTTTACTCTAGTCGTGTCACACGCGCTTCTTGGACTTTCCATCGGCCGGCTGCGAGAAGCCCTAGGGATATGAATCGTAACCCACCTGGAGCTGCGAGGCGGTCGGCGCCCTCGAATGGCGCATAGAGTATGTGCGATGCATCGTGACGAAGGTCGAGTTCTGTGGATTCCTTTTGCCGCGTAAAGGGCTGTCGATTAAAAGCGCCCGTTGCGCGCCTCGTCAATGGCGAGTGAGACGATGGGAAGTAGCAAAGGAAAGTGCCGATGCTGAGGGAGCTGCGCCGCCTTGTGTGGGTCTCGCTTTGCTGGGTTGCGACGCTGGGCGAGCTTGTGCCTGACGACGTCACCAAGTGAGACAGAGCGCCGGAAGGGGAAAGGCCCTTATTTGGTGGTGGAAAATCAGGCGACAAACAACTCCGGCAAGGATATGTAGTTTTCTGGACGCAGGCGCGGACACGATAAAGTATAGAGCCGAAACTGAAGGATAAAGCAACTGAATAGGATATAGAGTGCGGGTTTCCGAAAAGAAGTGCTGCCAGCCCGTCTGGGCAAAGAAGCAGGGGCGAAATGCAAGGCGGGGTTGTGCGAGCCTGTGTTTTCGTTTTCGCCGTCCCGTTCTTTCGAGGCAATAGAGGATGCGATTCCAAAAATACGGGTGGGTGTCTACAAGGATATATGTAGGAGCACAGGAGCACACATGATGGAGGCGGTGGTGGGTGTCGGGTTGTTCCTTTCAGGAATTGATCTGACGACACACGTCCAAAAGGTCTGGGCCAGACCAAAGAGCCGTATTAGGCTCTTCGCCGACGTCATCTCATCGCCTAGGGAGAGACATTGGGGAGGATAACGCGTGAGCGCCTGTTGCCGCCACCGTGACCCGCTCCCAACGCTAGTTGCAGTGGGCTGTGTAGCGCTCCAGGGGTCTCCTCGGCTGCTACATACATGCGCTTACCTATCAATTGATTTCGTATGGGTTTTGATGCCTGGCGCCTGTCAGCGCCCACATTCCTGTCCGGCAGCTTCCGCCCTGCAGGGTCACAGGCTTCACTTCGACAGCTCTTCGTCCGGTGCCCCGCGTCTACATACATACATACATGGTGGAACACCATGTTAGATGCACAGACACACAGATGCCATTCCGGGCTCCGCTAGCCCGAGCTCGCGCAATGCTAACCAAGCCAGCCTGGTGGCTGGTTGGGTTGGGGCCGGAACTGGGGCATCGTCATGTCACGGTGTTACGGTATTGCGCTCCCTTGGGCTACCTTGACGAACTCCATGGAAGCTGATGCAAATTCCGAATCGCAGACAAAAAGACGAGCATTTCCGATGTGAGAACACAAGGACAAAAAAGGGCTCCCCAACTGTAAAAAAAAACGAAAAAAGAACCCAACAGAACTGGTTGGTATTACACAACGCCATCGTCCATTTGAGCATTGTTTCACCAACGACGGAACCTCCTGTGTACGGGCACGCACGCAGGCCCAAATGTGATGCGGCATGCCGACCAACCAACCACGCATTCATCCAAAACAGCCGAACGTTCCTGCCTCGTCCAACGCAATCTAGTTGAGCCTTGGGCCCTCGTCCACGGGTGGGACTGGAGTGTGGGGCCATACTCAGGGCCCAGCACCATGCCATCCACTAAACGCGTATAACGGAACCACTTCCAGGAAGCTACGCGTCGCAAGCAGAAAGTCACCAACCCCGTGCTACGAACATACCTACATCGGTACCTAGCCTCACTCGCTTGAAGACGAGCGGCCAAGTTGATGCCTCAAATGTATCGGGCGGCGTGATTTCCTAAGGTCCGCACGCCTAAATTTTTTCTGTCGCTTTTCCAGCCCGTGCGCTTCCAGTCGGCCGCCGAGCCATGCCGCCCATTCAGGTTTATGAGATATCCGACGACTCTGACGAGGATCCTGCCTCGCGGCACAAGGCTCAGGCCCAGGGCCTCGCCCATCCCTTCGCCCAGTCCCAGGCACCAGCCCAGGCTCAGGCCCAGGTACCGCTGCGCGAACACCGTCCTCGCCCGCCCTCGCAGCCACTGGGCGCTCCCTCCCGCAGCGACAATGTCCAGCGTAGGGACAGGCACGTGACCGGTTCCCGCTCGCCGCCACGGCCGGGCTACGCCCCCTCGACAGCGCGCCCGAGGGAGGCCGTCGTCGCCAAAGCGAGCATTGGCGGTCACTCCGCCCCCATCACGGCAGCAACGAGACCGGCTCCTCCCCCGGGCCCTGTGCCGCAACGGGGGGCCGCCCCCGTTTCTGGTCAGGAGCCTGGCGGTTCGCGGTTCAAAGGCCCAGAAGTCCAAAAGACGCCACCAGGAGTGTTTCCACCGGCTTCAGGACGCCCTGTGATTGCCAGGAAAGCTAGTGCTGCTGCTAGAAACCCTGACGGCCCCGTGGACTCTATTGTAGCCAGAGAGGCTCCCTGGCCTGCCGAGCCTACAGCACCTGATGCCAGCGCACCCATCGCCAGGGATGCCAACGTCGCCTATGACACGATAGAGGCAAAAGAGGCACCGCCCCCGCGCCCTCCCGAGCCCAGGCGCGGTTTTGCGCCCACCCAGCCTCCGCCACGGAAACCTACAGCCGACGCGGCGGACTGCTCCCCAAAACCCCTCCCCACGCCTAAGAAAACCACCAAGGCTACCACAGGCCCTGGTACTGCTGCTGCTGCATCTCCTAAGGCGTCCAACCCTACCCCACCCCAGAGTATCGAGGCCGGGTTACGCGGCATGATCCCTCAAATACGTCAGGATCACGCCAGGCTTGTAGTCTACTGCATAGAGAACTCGTTCCTGGGGCTGCGCGAAAGCCAGCGCCATGTCTCGGCGACTGACCACTTTCTTGACATGAGGGCCACCGAAGTGGACGTCAATGTCAAGGATCCCCTTAGCATGAAGGTCAAGCTGAAACAACATGGCCGAGAGCACGGCAAAGGCAAGGTGGACAACCGCCTCTGCCGATATCGTGTCGACTGCATCAAGACGGACAAGAAGGCCGTCCCGCCCTACCGCTTTCACCACGTGGACATACAAAAAAACATTTTGACCCCCAATGCCATGCTCAAGTTCATCCCCCACCTGAGGGACATGGAAGCATCAGAAGAGAAGGTGTTCCAGTTGTGGGTCCATGAGTTACAGGAGATGGATCAGAAATCGGGGTTCAACACTCTGAAGCAGCAGGACCGGGTCAGCAAGATCAAGCGGGACGAGCTGGCGGCCACTGTCTTTCTTTACATAGACCAGTGGCTCGAGGACCTCGAGATTGACTGTTCACGAGAGATGCTTCTCGAATATCTGACCAAAACCGAGGACCCCGAGGACGAGGCCGCAATTGGCGAGCGTTTCCAGGGAACTATAGCCCAACGGTTTACTGTCGCTTTCGGGCGGGCGTTCGGGAGCAAGCTGTCGCTCAGAGATGTCCTCAAGCTCGACGAGAACTGGGAGACTCTGCTCGACAAGGCACGGGCGGCTGACGATCCAAATTCTCAGGGCGAGTCCCAGAAGACGCAGCAGAATGAGTCCCTGCTCAAGGCTGCAGAGGACTGGCTGACCAGCTACACCTCGCTGGGCTGTCTGATCTGCTTCAACCACTCGTGTGAGCACGGCGAGTACATGCACGACAATCACCGCCGAGCCTATTCGCTGGATCAGATGGGCGGCCTGGGCATCGCCCTCAAGAAACGACGGGCACAGGCTAGGCGGAAGCAGCTGCAACAGCACGCCTCCCCACGGCACGGAAAGCTGTCGGTAGGGTGCCTAAACAGGTGCTACACCCAATACGGTGTCGGAAATCAATTCCATGATATGCAGGAGTGGAAGGATAGCGAAAGGATGCTGCTCAAGACCATATTCCTGGTGCTTGGGGAGACGGGCGGCATACGACCGCAGTGTCTGACGGCGATGCTCCTGGACAGACCCTGTTTCGAGACCCACAGGGAGATGCAGCGTCTGGAGCTCAAGATGCCCCCGCAGCTCGAGGGCCCGGAGAGAGGCGACGTGCCCCGGCCGGTCAAGTCACTGAGCTGGTATGACCGGAACCGCAAGGTGCTGCAGGGCGACTGGAAAGACCATACCAAGGCGTATGAGGCGCCCCGGTTCGAGTCGCACGATCCGTGCATCCACGACGGCCCTTGCACCGTCGCCAACGGCTGCGGGTGCGCCAAACTGGGCGTCTTCTGTGAACATTTCTGCCGCTGCGAAGCCGAGACATGCCCCCTAAAGTTCACGGGCTGTGCGTGCCACGGCTCTGGCAAGACGTGCCTGGAAACGCACCGCCAGGGCGCGAAGCCGTGCATCTGCATCCTGCTCAACCGCGAATGCGACCCGGTATTATGTCAGGGTTGCGGGGTGAGGGAGCGCGCCGATCCCGAGAACCGCTTTGACGAGGCTCTGCACGCCACAGGCTGTCAAAACTGCGCGCTTCAGCGTGCCGTCTCCAAGCCCGTGTGTCTGGGCGAGTCCCAACTCGACGGCTGCGGCTACGGTCTGTTCACGGCCGTGGACATCGCCGAAGGCGAGTTCATTCTCGAGTATGTAGGCGAGCTGATCGAGCACGACGAGGGCGTGCGTCGAGAGGCACGACGCGGCAACGTGTTCGACGAGAGCGAAAATGTCTCCTATCTCTTCACCTTGCTCGAGGACGACGGCATATGGGTCGACGCGGCCGTGTACGGGAACCTGAGTCGCTACATGAACCACGCCGAGCAGGGCAAGAAGAGCTGCAACGTCGTGCCCAAGATTGTCTATGTCAACGGCGAGTTCCGCATCCGCTTCACTGCCCAACGTGACATCAAGGTCGGCGAAGAGCTCTTCTTCAACTACGGCGAAAACTTCCCTAACCTCACCAAGAAGCGGCTCGAAGACAAGGCCGAAGACACTAATGGTGGCGACGCTTTCGACATGGTTGCTGACGGAGGCGATGAGGGTGACTTTGGGGGCGGATCGGCGGCGGCCTCCAAGAACGCCCGGCCCCGAAAAAAGCCAGGCCCAAAACCGACCAAAGGCAAGCGAGGGGGCGCCCGTCCAGGCGCCGGTAGGAAACCCAACAGTGCCAAGAACCTCGGTGGGGTACAACAGACCAAGTCCGCCGCAGGAGCAGCAGCAGCGACGGCGGCAAAAGGAAGAAAGAAGCCAGGTCCCAAGCCTCGTCAAGGGGCCCGCAAAGAAGCACCGCCCTCAAAGCCTGTCCAGCAGGCATGGGGCCGCGAGGAACAGGATAATGAGTCGGATCGCGGTGTCCGCACAGATTCCGTGCGCGACGACGACGCAAGGATATACGAGGTGGAGGATGACGATGATGAGCCCCACCAGCTGCGGCAGCGTAGAGGCCTAGCGGGAGCGAGTAACGGTGCCACCAGGCGCAGCAAACGCAAGTTGGCCGAAGCCGAAGACGACGACGACTACGAGGATGGCGGTGGCTCCGACAGCAACACCAACAGCCGAGGGAGGCCGACCCGCCGCGCAGCTAAGAGGTCTCGGGTTGAGGCCGACGCCTCGTCCTCGTCGGCCGCGGCGGCGACATCCAAGAAGCAAAAGGGCGTCGCCTCCGCCTCCGCCCCCGCCCCCGCCGCCTTCAACGGCGCCACTACGACCGGGCGCTTCGTGTTCAGCGGCGATACCCGTGATTTTGACGATGACAAATCCGCCCCTCCGAGGCCAACGACCGGCAGGTCCGTTGCGGTCGCCAGCAGGACCGAGTCTGTCGAGATCGCCGATAGCATTGAAGGCAGCGCCAGGCTTGACGACAACGGCAGCAGCGACGAGGACGAGGATCAGGACGACGAGGATGAGGACGACGTCATTGACCGCTCCCGTCGCAACCGGCGACGTCCCGCCAGGTACGAATAGGGCGACGGGGGTCCATGTAGTTCTGCATTTGTGCCCCTCCGGCGATGCCTACACACGCGACACATCGTCACCTTGGCGGCCACCGCGACATCTCAACACGTCTGGTCTCCAGTTTCGTCATAACTTCAAGACCAGCCTCTGATGTTTCAGCATTATAACCTCCTACTCTCCCGAGACCCGTGATCTTCGGACACTATACCTGGCGCCGTACTCCTTGTGTACGAATAAGCGGCCGGTGTGCAGAAGTTGGTAAGAGCCGCAGGAGGAACAGAAGTTAACACCAGGATGAGCATCATTGCTTTGTGGTCTTGATCCACCGTCATTTTAGTCGTCTCTCTTGACCCTTTACCACGATGATGTGTCTTTGCTTTCTCTCACATAGACCAGCGGGTGGGCAACCAAAAACGATATTTGGTGTATATTTGTTACGGGCGGGCTTTTCTTTTTCTCATGTATCTGGGCGGCCGGCGAAGACGGAGGTCGTGAGTTCACCAGTATCTTAATCTTGATTGTCGCGCAATGGTTTGCCCTCATCATGACCACGTTATCGTATCTTCAATACGAGCAAATAATAGACCAGCCTATTGCCGGTAAGGACTTCACCACCACCTAACCAGCTAGGTAGGTGCCTCGGTATCCCAAGCGGTGATCAACCATGCAAGACGTACCACAACCGACTAGCTCGCTTGGCACCTCCCAATGAACGTCTTTTGTTAGCTTCCAACATTTTCCAGTTTATTATCGGCGGCTGCCCGAGTTTTTCTGCTTTCTCGCCTCGTCTCCTCCCCTTTGTCTCTTGATTCCTTCATTCTTCTCCGCCTGTGCCCCGCTTCCGCTCCGCCGGCGCGAGCCGAGACGGATCGAAACTCCGTACAAAACAACAAAGTGCTCACCTGTACGTCTCCCACCTGGTATCTTTCAACCAGGTGCTTCGTGAAATTGACAGAACCTGGACGCCGTTCCCTTTCCCCATTTCCTTTTGACTCCTTGAAAATAAGGCCGAAACCATAACACACTTCGCCTCTCACTCCGTCTGCTGTGTCTAGTCTCTCCTCTCTCTCTCTCTCCCCCTACCCAAAGCGCGGGTTAGGATCACGCGCTCAGCGGCTGCTTCCTTGTGTAGAATACAATCAAACTACCTTCCCTGTCTCACCCACAAGACTTTCCTTACAGCACCCCAGCTTCCCTGGGACTGCTGAAGAGCGATAGTCGCTTCGAGCCTCCCGCAGTTTTCACGCCGGGGAGGACGAGAGCAGACAGCTCTCCGGGATGTCGATTCGGTTCCGCGAATCGACTCGTGGGATCGACCAGGTTGGAGTCGACCAGCTGACTCGAATCTTTGACCCAAGGCGCCATGTCCATTCCGATTACTTGTTTATCCCTCTTCTTTTTTCGTTCTTTTTTTTTCGCCTTTTTCTTTTTACCACACTCCTCAGGTTTTCCAAATGCGTTTGCTTCCCGTTGCCGTGTTTTCGTAGTCGGGTGATTCTCCGAGGACGTGCCGAGAGGCGTGAACGAGACAGCACGTCCGACCCATGTGCTGATAAAGCTTTCGGGAAAACGCTGCTGCTCTCCAGTCCAGACTTGTTGCTTCCGCCACATCTCGTGACACACAATCTTGCACCATAACTCTCACGTGGTGATTATACACTTTGGGGGTAGACGCTCGCGGGCTGTAGATCATCGCGGATACTGTTGTCAGCGAGTGGCTCGTTGTCATGGTTTAGTGCCCTGTTCCTCCAGATATAGTCACTGTCCAGCTTGTGTGTGGGTGAGAGCTTACCGGGCTGTTGAGCATGTGTTGACGCTTGTTTCTGCCCTTCTTAATGTGGCTCTTCAGAGCGTTGGAGTCCAGAGGCTTGAGCAGCTCGAAGCTGCACAGAAGTTCGGATGACACGGACATGACGGCGCCCCAATTGTCAAATTCGCCACAATACTGGAAAGAGAGAAGTTGGTCAACATGAAGTGTCAAACAGCTTAGGCCCAGAGCCACACATAACACGTGCAGACGGGCGAGGGACAGACTCACGTTTGGTGCACTGAAGACGGTCACCAGCACACGATCATTGAAGAACTCGTAGCCGTCTTCTACAACCATGTGGGCTCGGCATACGAGATCGAAATCATGGTGGGCAAGGAACTCGGTGATGACCTTTTTGCCAAAGCAGTAGCTAACTCCACGTTCGTTGGCTTCCCAATCTTGTTCCATGTCGGCCGGGTCAGACCACAGCAGGTCGTTGAGGAGGCCGTAGTCCGGGACGTCGGTGGGGCGCGCAATGTTGCGGATGTCGTCCATATGGCTCAACGTGGGCGAGAGGCCGCCGTGGACACAGAAGATCTTGCCGGCCACGATGGCAGCGATGGGAAGGGTGTTGAAGGTGTCGACAAAGGTCTTCCACACCTTGACGTTGCAACGGCGCTTGCACTCGTCGTAGAAGCCGTAGACGCGGGTCACGTTGGCGCACTCGTGGTTGCCGCGCAGCAGGAAGAAGTTCTCGGGGTACTTGAGCTTGTAGCAGAGCAGAAGCAGTATGGTCTCGAGCGACTGCTTGCCACGGTCGACATAATCGCCCAAGAAGAGGAAGTTGGCCGAGGGCGGGAAGCCGCACATCTCAAACATGCGGATCAGGTCCGTATACTGACCATGAACGTCGCCCACAATCTTGACGGGCGCGTCGAGCTCTAGAAGCGCGGGCTGGGAGAGGAAGCACTCGCGCGCGCGGTGGCAGATGGCGGCGATCTCGGCGTTCCGAAGGCAGACGCTCTTGGTTACCTTGCCCGCGTACGCCGCGTCCAGCAGGCGCTTGATGAAGTCGTCGAGATCAATGTCCTTTATGTCGCTCATGGCTATGCCATCGTCCTTAAGGTTGGGCGACGCGACGGCGGACTTGATGGGGTTAGCCGCATCGTCCCGCTTGACCAGGATCGAATGGCCAGGGCCTTGGCCCTGGGTGGCGGGGTTGGCAACGCCCGAGGGCGGCTGGTCCGACACGTGGTCGACCTCCCCGGAGGCCTGGGCGGCGCGCACGTCGTGAGCGCCGCCAGACTTTGCCGACGAGTGAACCGGGGAGGGGGGCGGCAGGGACTCGTTGAACTGAGACATGACCGAGCCGGCCGGGGACATGATGGAGTAGTTGGAGTCGACGTTGGTATCGACACGGGTGGCACGCGTCAGGGCGGTCTTGGTGTTGCTCTTGGCATCGGCGTCAAACTTGTCGTTGGAGTCGCCATTGGGCATGACGGTTGAGTTTCGCGGGCTGTCGGTGCGGCTGGATCCTGGGATCTTTGACCTCAGTGAGCGGAAGGAGCGTGAGGACTCTTTGGTATCGGAGCGGCTGAAGGAAGGGTACGACTGGAGGCCGTCCGGGCTCCTGTCGCCCGAAGCCGACCTGGAGGAGCTACCTCCGCCGCCCCCCTCTTTCGAGCTGGAGTTGCCCATGGCGTGGGTGAGTTGTGGGCTGCGTCCAGGCTTGCGGGTCGGCGGGAATAAATAATAGGTAGACGATGCGGGCGGTTTGTTATTTTGGTGGTAGGTGTGATAAGGTGAGGGGCAAAACCGGCGCGCGCGTTCAGCAGTAGACTCTCGGTGTCAGCCTTTGTTTGATGAGCCGACGCAGCCTGGCGCGACGCCCGTCTTCGCCAAGAGGCTAAGATGTGGGTGATCTATATGGTATACTGTATGTCGTCCAGGGCCAGTACTAGGGAGGATGGTAGAGGTGCTCAAGAGCACACAGCAGCGCGACCGGGGGAAAACGAGGGTTCAGTATTTTCTCCGTGATTGACAGCTTGGCACGAAGCCGAACCAAGTATGCTGGGGGAGGCTGGGAAGGCAGGCTGGAGGAATGAGTCGAGCAGGTTGAAAGGCCGATTGCCCTGTCGATGTCGCAAGGGTGTCGCTGTCGACGAATGGTCGGCCGGAGGAGGACAGGCAGAAGCAAAGGATGAGGAGGGTGGGAGGGCCGAGTTAGCCGGATTATGGAAGGCGCAGCAGCAGGATAACGAGCGAACGAGAGCCGCAGGGGCGGGTGCTCGGCAAAAGAGAAATTCGGGCGCAGCAGTCGAAGGGCAAGAGGCGGCGACAAGAGATTGGCACTGCAGATGGAGGGTGAGGCTCGGGCCCGGGCGAGGACGAGATCTGGGTGGGCCGGTTCCTTGACTTGTTGATGGAACGGCGGATGACGGAGGCTCGTTCGTGCAGACTGGACGATCAGTAGTGTAGTGTCGTGTACCTAGGTCGGCACGTTGGTAGGTGGTAGGCAGGAAGCTTTTTGTGCGGGTCGCTTTGTCTGCGCGGGCAGCACCAGTGTTGGCCGGCTGCTTGGCTGGCTGGCCTCTTGGGCTCGTTCGACTTTGCCCACTTTGGGCCGGCGGCTTTGGGGGCGAGCGGGCCTGTGCGATCCCTGGCGCGCGTGGATGTGGGGGCGCTACCTGTGCAAGACGGGGGTAGGAAATGATATGTCAGCCTCGCTCCCGCGATTCTTTTGTCCCGTGGGCTGCGATTGTGTCTTGCGGTTCCCTGGCGTCGAGTCCGCTTGTTCGTAGCATAGGCAAGGCAAATGGTAGATAGGAGGGAGGGAGAGAGTGCGACGAAACCAAAGCAGGTTGGGTTGAGGCCCTGTACCTTAGCCCGGTGGATTGACAGGCACACACCACACCCACCCACACATACCAACCCCGGAAACCCACCATCACCGGGGGCGCCACGCTTGCCCACACACCCAGCCATCCCCGGGTGCTTGGCCACACACTTCAGACACAAGGCCACCTCCAGACGCACTCAGACACACACTGGTTGGAGACACGGGCTGGAGACACGGGCTGGAGACACACGCACACTCACGCGTCACTGTTGGGTGCAGCAGGACTGTAAACGGTTGGCTTTTGGGAGAACGGCGGCGATGACTCGGGAGGGTCCGGTGGAGGCGATGGCTCTTTTTCTGCGCCAGGTTTAGGCAGTTGGTCCCCAGAGAGGAGGGTTGAAATCAGGGTGGGTGCTAAAGTAATAAAGATAGGGAATGAGAGAATAGAAGAGCAAATCAATAATCAAACTAACGGACCCCTCACGAAAGAGATGTAATCCATGCCATGGATATCCTCCTGTCCGAACAACCTGGAAGAAAAATGGGACAGACGGTAAGTGTGAGAAAGAAGAAAAAACGAGACTGCACACGTGACGATGGACCTACCGTCCCTTCGACTCGGCGTGTCGCATCGTCTCAACGGGCACCTACCACTTCAAGCAGGCGGACATGGGGAGAGGGCATTCGAGCGTTTTGACTGCCACCAGGCGCTGGTGGCCAGGCCCGGTCGCGATATGCGGGCACGAATTGAGTGGCGGGCGGTCTACAGAGAAGGATGATTAGGTAGGCCGGTACCTGCACCGACCAACCTATTCCAGGCCCGCGCACCCAAACTTGGCACCCAATTGGTCCATCTCGCCCACCGACCCCACACGCGACCATTCTTTTATCCTTCCACCCTCCACCCAAGCTTCTTTCGAAGGTTAAGACTAAGGAGCGAGTTGCATATAGACAGGCATCTCCCAAATCTGCGGGCTCTGATGCTTTGCGGGGCGAGCATGACAGGCTGACATTTGACGCAGATAGTGCCAAACTCAATTTTGCTTTCTTTCTGTTTTTCCTTTCGCCGTCCCTTTCTGTCGAGTCCCCCTTATGCACTGGTCCTGATCCCTCCAACTCCCATTGAAAATGGAAACCTCAGGCGAGTTTCTCAAAGGCCACCCAGTATCAGAAAGGGGGGTTGCATACATGCTGCGCACAGCAGCCACGCGCCGGCTCCCCAAGTGGGTAGACGACCGGGTGGCACTCGAGCGTCTTTACCGGCGTGGTCGGTGAGCGCTTTGTATGGCCTGCAAAGCATCCTAGCACCGTCACCCAGACGTCAGCAGACCTGTCTGCATGGCCGCTCAACCCTCGCCCGCCGCCGCTGCCTCTGGTCGGCTTTGATCTGTATGGCTGCAGCCATTAGCCGAGCGGGGTTCCAGCTCCCTTTTCGAACCTCTGCGCCTCGACGATACCCACAGACGGGCTGGAGGGAGCGTGGGAGCCATCCATTTGCGTCGTCCAACGGCACGGGATGGGTGGATGGATGGATGGGCCCCCCTATGCAATGGAAGCCCTCGCTCCTCCTTTCCATTTCCATGCATAAACAGAGCCCGATCGGGAGGAACGACATGTGGCCGCTTGTGTGCCTCTCTGCTGCTGCTTGGCCCGGCTGCTATGGCCTGACATGGGCGGGTTGATGGAGAATCCCGACACCGACTTGTTCGATATCAACCTTTACTGGTTCCGTGGAGATGCCACGCACACCCCGCCGCCGTTGACGCTGGCGATTCTCGTGGCCTGTTCGTATTTGTTAGCCGGCCGTCTGTTCATGGTCCAGACTCCAGAAGCAGCACCTCGCTAGGTTCGGTACGTGGTCCCGGCTGTCCTGGTCCGGTTCCCTGCATACGTCTCCACTTGCCGAGCTGGAGAACTGAGGACTCATCGCGACGAGACCCAGATTGGACATCAACATGCGCTGCCCAAACGGGTCGCTATTCCCTGTCCTCGTCGGAGGGACCATGCCGGGCCGGCAGAAGCTTCTCGAAGCAATCTCGCCATGCCGTCCTTGGGCTCCGGTGATATTACCTCCATCCCAACGGTGACCAGCCGCCTTTATTGCGTTTTGTTGGGCGCGGCTTTTTCCATCCTTAGCTCTGCCTATACGGGGAGGAGGCGCATCCCACCAGCCTCCCCAGCCATTGAGCGACGACCGTGCCCGATCACGAGACGCGCTGGGATTTCCCACCCGGCGCAGCCGCATCTCTCGCGTGCGACCCCCACCCCCACACTAGGCACCAGATTGGCCCTGTCCGGGTCATCTTTCTCGGCTGCTTGCAGCTCAGGGGTAACGGCGCCTGCATTCTCGCCAGGTTCTCCCACTCCTCGGCACGCGGAAGGGGGGTCAGCCGTATTCTGTGCTTTTGCCCGAGGCTGACTACGCTCATGCAGCTGTCGATTTGCTGGCAGGTCAGGTGGCTAATCACCCGCAGAGTAGACTCACCCAGCGTGGGCTCTTGCATGACTCCGATGGTGCTGTGCGCCCCCAACGACTCGATGTGTTTTAGTGCCGCCGCCACCGTCTGCGTCTTGTTGAGATGGCGACAGTGGCGGCTAGGTATGGTCATGCTCTGTCTTCCGCCATGCCTAGTGGGAGACGAGAACGGATCTGAGACGGAGTGATCTTTCCATAATCCCACTTCCGCTGCCCGTCCTCGTCGGGCTCCGCTGAGGTGCCGCGCTTCCCTCCTCGATACCTCGCGCTGCACACCACGCAAACGACCGTCGGCACTTGCCAACGCCACACTTCGAAGATACATTGTGGAATCGAAACCACCTCTACCACCCGAGTACCGATGAGGACGCTACCTCGCTCTCGAAAGAGCCGGGTTTATGTGTTCTGTGGGTCACGAGAAAATTGTGGAATCACTGCAGGCAACCAGGCTGTTGGCCTCTCTGTCCCCGCAGCGGAATAGGCTGATCCCGAGACTCGAGCCCCTGCACAACACGGGCAGCAAATACTAGGGGGCTGTGGTGGGCTCGCTCATGGTGCCGGCAATCGACGCCGTGAACCGGAAATCAGCCCGGCCTTGTGCCACCCGCCGGTCTGGTGGCACAACAACCGAGGCGCCGAATTTCCCGGGGATACCCATTGCCGATACGTCGGAATGCCCCCCACTACGGGCCTTGAGGCCTTTGGAGCAAGGCTGGCGATGTGTTTTCGATGAAACGTTGATCAAATAACCCCCGAGCTGGCCTTCTTTCCCTGCAGGAGCCTACTTCCTTTAATATGGACACATCAAGCATCCAGTTTCTCCGCTCCGGCACCCCAGCCCGAGGCTTAGCTTCCGGCTAGAGGTGGCATGTGGAGAAAAGGCCGAAAAAGGCCCGACACCTCCCGGCTCCAGCAGTTGACACCCGCGCCTTATTCCACTCAGCTTGTCTTGGCCGCTGAAGCGTCGTGGCCTGCCCCATCCAAAGCAAAGCCACAATGCAGACGCAAGCCTGCACACATGTGTACTTTGCAGGGCAAGGGAGAATGGCAACCCCTCCCACCTTCTAGATTGCCGAATACATTCCGGTGATCCTCTCCCGAGTCCACTAGAATTCGTCACGCAGCTCCTTGGCACTGCTCGTTGTCTTGCGAATCCGATTCATGTTGTCTGGCGTCACACCGCTGATGATTTACACAGCCGTGCGAGATATCCCCAATGCATACCGGGAGTGTCGTGTTGGCGGGTGCATGTGCGCTGTGTTGTATTCGCAAGTGAATGGGGGAATATCGAGGCACGTCCACCACAAAAAAAGATGGCAGTCTGGTTCCACCAAAACAACAGAAAGGCTGCCAGTACAGGTTCCAGGGATTAGAACTGTTAGGATGGTGGTGGTGTTACTATTCCCATTGCTATTTCCGTTATTATTCCTACTGTTATTCCTGTTGTTATTCCTATTGCTATTCCTGCCTTTATTACTATCCCTACTCTTCTAGCCCCACAGCTTTCCTGTTGTTTGGACGAGACTGCCATTTCTTTTTTGTGGTGGACGTACCAGTTTAGGGAAATCAGCGCAGATCAAAGTCTATAAACTTCGTAGGTCATTGGTTAGAGATTAGGTCGGCCATAGCCCCTTCCGCCACGCGGATAAGATGGTAGGGCTGCGGAACCTGTCCAGAAGAAGGGATGACATGCAAGCCAACGGCGCCGGGCAACAGCCGAAGGGACGGGGAGTGCCCGGTGTGAAGGACCCGGGCACGGCTGCGAAATAAAAACATGGACTTTTTCTGTCCCGGCTCCTTCCCCGTTCCCTTTCCTGCCTGTCACGGCAAGGTGCCGGACAAGGCACCGTGTTGAAGTCATGCCCATGGCGTCTAAATTTAGCAAGCCTCCTCTGTTCAGGACATGGCCCCACATGCCTTATGTCATGGATGTCTTGGCCGTTTCCCGTATCCGTGGGACGATCCACAGAGGTTGGGACCTTTGCTCCCGCGAACAGGAAAAAGGTCGTGGCTCATGCGATTTTACGCGAAGGCAACACGCGAGGCGAGAAAAAAAAGAGAAGGAAAGCCGCGCCGTGAACCGGAAAGTTCCAAAATGCCCCTCTTGGGCACTTCTTGTGACCTTTCAGGTGCTTCAGGCTGAAATGTCTTGACTCGGCCAAGCCCACTTGGCTGGGTTTGCTTCTTCTTTTTTATTCTCTCCCTTTTCTCCCCTTCATCTCCCTTTCTCTCATTCGTGTTGCCCCCATCATGCCGTTCGCGTATTTCACACATGCCGGGGAGTTTGCAATGCTCGCCACTGCGCGCTTGACCATGCTTGGCTGCTGAGGTCGCATGGCTATTACTGTGGATTATTTTTGTAATACGGTACATGCGCGCCACGCGCACACACAGTCATTGTTGGTAACAGGATCAAAATAAGGTACATAGCGTGGTAGCAAGAGGCGCAAGAGGGCAAATGGCCACGCAAAACAAGACACGAGCTCCTGCGAAGTGGTACCCGGCGGGGCGTTGGTGATGGAGAAGTGGGTGATGCGCGGATCATCCCTGGTCAGTGCTCTGGTCAAGTGCTATTGCGAGAGACATGGCTGGCACAGAAGAGGCAGCGGACGAGGAGATCCCCATTGGCCTGCCCGGTGCGGATCACAGCCCGGTGCCCGCTGACGTGCGTGATAGACAACCAGGTCATCCAGGGAGCGAGCCAGACGACCAGGCAGACGTGTCTTGCTGTCTTGCTGTCTGATGCTCGGGCCGTTGGGCACAATTACAGACGAAGGATCCATACGAGCCGTACAGTAACCAACCAACAGACGAGCGACGGCATGAATTCTCTTTTCTTATTCGGGGTTGAATATGCGAACTGTCGAGGGATTCCTCCTTCCACGCGTACCGTACGAGCTCACCCGTCCATGGACTGTACGAGATGGTGTGAAGCGGATGATTGTCGAGGGGGACGAGCCAAGACACGAGGTTGCGGACGCTGAAACAGACAAGTTTTTTCCCAAGGGCACAGTCGGGCACAGTAATGTGACCCGGGGAGGGTCCGCGATTCAATTAGAAACCCGTCTTGTTGGTCACCTTTTATTCCTGTCACGCCCGGATCAAAAAAAACGAGACACCTTTCAATTTTTGCCCCAGTGCATACCACCACCACCAATTGAAAAGTGTCCCGTTTTTTTTTTGATCCGGGCGTGCCTGTTTCCCGATGATACCCTTGAACCTGCACATCCTGGGGATGGGGATGCGCGTCCATACCGAGTGTAGACTTTTCTAGCGTCGGGATGACGGATGAGGGATTTGGCGGTGGGCTCTAGCTGGCGGGCTGATTGGGGCTCGGCACTGTAGTGCAGTGGGCTGCCACGCAACACATGCAAGATCTTGGCCAAACGGCGCACGGTCGCGGACCCGGCAACAAGGCAAAGGTGACGGGGCAACTGCGCCACCCTTAAATCTGGCCACTCACAGCCGGACCCTGGCCCAGCCTGGCACCCTGGCAATCCCACATCCCACTTCGCACTTGAGACGTCAACCGACAGCGAGGGGCCAGTCTGCCAAGGGGCCCCTCCGCAGCTGGCTGTGCAGCGCAGCCGGGGGACACGCTGCGCCCTGGCCCATGCCAAAAACAGAACTGCTGGAGCTGGCTCCCTCTCGATTCCGTCCCAAGTGGCGTGGCGCGGCCAGCCGAAGGACTGCTTACGAGGACTTATTAAATGCATCGCTTCCCCATCGCCGTTGTCTTAGTACGCTTGATTGTCTCTTCCATTAGTGTCCTGTCATTCACTGTAAAGCCAACGCCAACCCCTCCATTTTTCTTCTTTTCCCTTTCCCGCCTTTTCCTGCGGGTTCTCTTGACCACTCGCTTATCGCGCAACCTGCCGTGCCCGGTTCCACACCTACTCCCTCGCTCAGCCCGGTCGACTGGTTCTTTCCTCGCCCGCCGACCTCTGCGATCGCTTCGTCGACAGAACAACACACGATACCTAAGAATACACCGCACACTCGACCCGGAAACGACGAGTGCGGACACAATTTTCAAGATGGGCAACTTTGGACGCTATATCTGCGTGGCGCTGCCATTTCTCCTCACACTCGCCAGCTTGATATCACTGCTTATTGCAGGTCTCGCTGGTGCCGTAGGCAACAAGGATAGCGGCCTCTACATGTTCCGCGTGAACCTGACGGATCTTCAAGTCCAGCCAAACGTAATAGGAGCGTTAGTGGGCCGGTCGCCGGAGCCGCTTCCGCAAGCTGCGCCGCTCATCGACGCGGCCACCGCCCACATTGGCGAGGCCAAGGAGGGCGCTGCTCCCTTGATCGCGGCCGCCACCAGCCACCAGCAGAAGCAGGCCAACCAGGGTGGTAACATTACGGCCGGCGACCTGAACCTGCACAAGATCTACGACATCAACCTGTGGGGCTACTGCTTCACCCCGCAGTCGGGCGACCGCTCCTGCCTTGAGCCCAAGTTCAACTGGGCCGAGACCGAGGTCAACAACACCATCAGCACCTTCAAGAGGTTCGCCGCGGTCGGCGGCAAGAATGTCACACTGCCCAAGACTGTTGAGGAAGCCCTGAACAGCTTCGGCAACGTCGTCCGCTGGACTGAGATTGTCTTCATCATCGCCGCCCTCGGCCTCGGCCTCGCCCTTGTGCTCGGCGTCATCTCCAACTGCAGCCGCGCCGTGTCCTGCCTGACCTGGATCGTGTCGGGTATTGCCTCGGCCGCCGTCTGCGGCTTTGCCTCCCTGGCCACCGCCACCGCCACCATCGTCGTGGGCAGCGCCGAGAGCACCGCCAAGATCTACGGCGTGCGCTCCAACTTCAACACCCAGTTCCTGGCCGTCGCCTGGATATCGGTCGCCTTCGCCCTGGCCGCCGGCTTCTTCTGGCTCTTGACCATCTGCTGCTGCAAGCCCGAGTCCCGCAGCAGGCGCAGCTCCGACACGGAGAAGCGCGTGCCTGTTGGCGCCTACTCGCCCCTCAACGAGAACCAGAATGGCTTCCAGCAGAACAACAGCGGCTACTACAACAACCAGTACGGCGCTCCCCGCCACCCACAGGGCGGCCGTGGCGACACTGCCTACGAGCCGTACTCGCACAACCGTTAAACTCGGCGGCTTAATCGGGCGCCTGCCGTGTCGGAATTGAGCTCCAGATGGTCGAGCTGGACGATCGGAAATATCTCCTTTTTGTTGCGTCCTTGATTTCCTTGTTATGATTTTTTTTTACTGCCTGATTATGAGAGAGGACGATTGCTTTGTCCCCTCTGGCCCTACTTGGTAGCATGTTTACTGGCGTTTGGGGAGACGGATACATCATGACTACATTTCTCCTGTTCAAGAGAATAAATATTGGGTGGTTTAGGGTGGCATGAAAATGGTTGACCCAAGTCCAGATCGGAGATATCCAGAAAATGGAACTATACCCCCTATGTGTGGTTGATTGGACGCAAACATTGGCATATCTTTAAACCATGCTCAAGAACGTGATGGTGAGAGTTCTCCTTGCTCTTCGTCTAAGAGATTCTGGTTTTGTAAGTGGACTGGACTTTCAAGTCCCGTCTGTGGTTGCGCGCCTCGGATCGATGACTCGACGCAACAATGTGAGTGCACACGCGCCGCCCAAATTTCAGGCGCAAAAACTGCCTGAGATATGAATGAGACTTCATCCCATATAGAAGGGCGGGGAGTTCCAAGACACAGCACAAACAGCAAAAGCAACTTATTTGTTGATATAGACATATTCAATCTCGATCAAGGTTTTGTTCTGCAAGCGCCGACTGCCCCCTCGCCGGCGCCAGGGCGTGGTGTGCCGTGAAAGCACCACCTCAAGCGGGGAACATAGCGAGAAGAAAAACAAAGGAAATAAAGGGAGGCTGTAGGTGCGTAAGCCTCACAAAACACATCATGGGCCCAGCAGCGATCCAGACTCCGCCCTCAAGATGCCACGCCAAGAAGCAGGCCGCCACGCTCGAGCGGGAGTTCCTCTCCTGCCCCGTCACAGCGCTCGCCTTCCTCCACGACCCCGCCAGCGCCCCAGCGGCGGGCGAGGGGGGGCCCGGCGCATACCTGCTTGCCGGCGAGGACACGCAGCTCAAGGTCTATGAGGCACAGACGGGCGTCTTGTGCGGCGAGCTGCGCGCCTTCGAGTCCAGCGTCGTCCACGGCATCGCGGTGGCGCCCGGGGCCGAGCGCGTGCTCCTCTGGGGCGGCGCCTCCGTCGCCGTGATCCCCGGGCGCGTCATACGGGCCATGATTGAGGGCCGCGTCGGGGGCGACGGGCGTCGGCGGCCGTGGCGGGGGGACGGCTGGTGCCCAAATGAAGCTACGGCGCCCGACTGGATCTACGACGGCATCTTGGACGGCGGTAGCCCGGAACGAGGCGTTCTCGTCACGGCGCACAATGAGATGGTCCCGTTCTGGCTCCTCGACGGGCCCGCTGACGGCCGCGGCTCGCCGTCGGTCTCGTTCGGCGCCGTCGTCTCGCCATCCCGCCCGATCCTGTACTCGGCCAACGTCTGCTGCCTGGGGTCTGTCGGTGGCCCGTCGGGCAGAGGCGACAACGGCGACGAGGTTCTCGTGGCCGGCGGGACCGTCTTTGGCGAAATAGTCGTCTGGAAGTGCCGTCCATGGGACGAGGGCGGCGGCGGCGCGACCGAGGTCCTCTACGTGCTCTCGGGCCACGAGGGCTCCGTGTTCGGGGTCACCATCTCGGAGGAGCTGACGCTGCCGGGCAGGGGCGGCGAAAAGGTCAGGCTGCTCGCCAGCTGCAGCGACGACAGGACCGTCCGGATCTGGGACATCACGGACCGCGCCGGGGGGGTGATGCCGGCCCGCCGAGCTGGGAAGCTGCTGGCCGAGAGCCGCGAGACGGGCTTCGGCGGAGATGCCCTAGAGCACCACGACGGGCCGCAGACCGGCTCGGCCAAGGACGGCGCCGTGGGCCCCAAAGAGCAGCCGCTAAAGGCGTTGGCTGTCGCCATGGGCCACCAATCCAGGATATGGCATGTGCGCTTCTCGACCCGGGGCTTGCTCCCGCCAGTGCCCGAGGGGGACTGTGGCGGAGGCCAAGAGCCGTCGTCGTCGTCGCGGCTGACGGTGTACTCCTTCGGCGAAGACGCCACGACGCAGGAGTGGCTGCTCACGCTGGGCCGCACAGAGGGTATCGCGCACGTGTTCGGGGCCCTGTCGCATGTCAACACGGTGCCGTGCCATGGCGGGAAGCACATCTGGTCAACCGCGGTGCTCGGCCGTGCCGGCGGCGGAGAGCCGTTGATAGCAACCGGAGGCGCCGATGGGAAGATTGCGCTGCTTGGGCCGACCGCTACACTCACACATGCCGCTTCCCCTGTCGAACCAACGCCTCCATCACTGGATGTCGTCGATGTGTCGTTCGCCTTCTCGGACGTTTCGCCGTTGACAGAGAGCGCAGGCGCGACGGCCCACAAGGCCAAAGGGGAAACGTTCAAGACGTTTGCCTTCGTCTCGGAGAGCGACATCTTGGTGACGTCGACGTTCGGCAACGTCTTTGTCGGACACGTGCAGGACGACGACGATTCGCGGGTCTCCTGGGCCGGGCTGGAGCTGCCCGGCGAGGTCCGGTCCGATCTCCGGGGCTACAACATCGTCAGGGGGCCCGCCAGAAACCAGTCCGGGTTCTGCTTCCTCGGCTCGGCGAGCGGCGCCGTCTACATGTTTTCGTCAAACCCCGTATCACGTCTCGAGAAGATCACGGGGCTTGGGCGCAAGGTCTCTGATATCTTTGTGCTTCCGTCATTACCGAAAACCTCCAACGGGTCTAGTACTTGTACGCCAGATGCTCACCTTCATCTCATTGTGACACTGCTGGGTCACGATGAAGCATTTTTTATCACTATCGCACATCCAAGCAAGAGTGCTAGCGTAGCCAAGGTAGTCGCAGCCACAACCCAAAGCATACCTTTGCCAAGCGACTGCGTCATCACGGCGGCCAATCTCTCTGGGGGCCTCTTAAGTCTTGGGAGCAGGGACGGGGGACTACTATTCTTTAGGAACCGCCTGTATGGCCAAGCTGGCGACGACGCCGGTGGTGCTTGGCAGAGGATACAAAGCTCACCCGAGACCACGAGGAGCAAAGACGCCATCACCTCTCTCGTGCGCCTTCCGGGGACCGCGTCGGGAGACGTCTCGCCTTACATACTTGCGACATGCCGCGACGGCAACTATATGATTTACGAGCTGGAAACCCGGACAGACGGTCTCAGCGGCGGGTGCGGGCAGGAGACCATCTCCCTCGACCTCGTTCACGACTCGTCTCCGCCGTTCGGCCCCGTCATAACAGAAGCCTGGTTCGAAGAGGGCGAGGAGGGCGGCCAGGCCGAGCTGATGCTGTGCGGGTTCCGCAGCAGGTACTTTGTGGTGTGGAACGAGACGCGGCAGCACGAGGTCGCCACCGTCGACTGCGGCGGCGTGCACCGCACCTACGCCTACGTGACTCGGAGGCGGGATGCCGCGAGGCCCGGGGCGGGACGACGGCGGCAGCAGCAGCAACAGGAATGGGTCCGGTTCGCCTACTCCAAGGCCCAGCGCACGCACATGTACACGCAGCAGGGCGCCGGCCACATCGCGCTCAGGACGGGCACGCACGGGCGCGAGATCAGAGCGGCGAGCTGGTGCCATGTCACCCCCGCCCATGACCTCGAGACCGAGGAGGAGGAGGGAGGCCGCCTCCTGGCCACGGCGGCCGAGGACACCACCGTCCGCATCTGGAGGTACGAGGCCCCGGCGGCGGACAGGGGCGGCGGGGCGCTGCTGCGCTGCGCGGCGTCGCTCAGCGCCCACACGGCCGGCCTGCAGTCCCTGCGGTGGTGTGGTGGCGGCGGCGGCGGCGGCGGCGACGGGCGGCACCGCTACCTCGTCAGCAGTGCGGGCAACGAGGAGCTCTTCATCTGGCGCGTCTCGCGCCTGGACGGGCGCTCGCGCTACTGCGGGCTGGCCGTCGTGCGCGAGGCCGCGTACCCGGACCGCACCGCCGACGGCGACCTCCGGATCCTAAGCGTCGACGCCTCGGAGGAGGGCGGCGGCGGCGGCGGCAGCTTCGTCGTGTCTCTGGTGCTGTCCAACTCCGAGGTCAAGACGTACCGGTATTCGCGCGAGCTCGGGTTCGTGCTCCTCGCGCGCGGCATGTACACGGGCGCGTGCCTGACACAGGTCCGCCACCTCTGGGTCCATGGCGAGGGCGGGCTTGGGCTGCTGCCGCTGCGCGTGCTGACGGCCTCGACCGACGGCAGCGTCGTCGTGTGGGGGACTAGGGGGGGCGAGGGGCCGGCGCCGGCCGAGTACGTCATCAAGAGCGTCCACGGCCTGCACCAAAGCTCGATAAAGGGGCTGGACGTGTGGGCGGTGCCGGCAGAGGGCGGTAGTGGTGGTGCTGGCTGGGTGGTCCTGACAACAGGCGACGACAACGCCCTCGGGATACTGCAGCTGCACGAGGACGATGCGGCCGACAACAACAGCAACAGGCCCCAGAACAGGCGGGCCATTGTGCGGTCGGCACACGCGGCAGGGATCACGGGGATACGCGCCATCAAGTCCGCGCTGCCGGGCGAGGTCCTCGCGGCGACTGTCAGCAACGACCAGCGGGTCAAGCTCTGGAGGGTGCGTGGGTTGGGGTCCGGCAAGGAAAAGGGGCTGAAGGTCGAGCTAGTGCAGGACAAGTACAGCGCTGTTGCGGATGCGGGAGACCTCGCCTTGTCTACTGATGGCAAGCTGGTAATTACCGGGGTCGGGGTGGAGGTTTGGAAGATGGATCTCGGTGAAGAGGACCACTAGATCATAGAACAAAGCCCTTGTGCGAAACTACAATAACATATAAGCACTTGCCACTCGGTTCCGAGTTCTTCCCAGACTTCGCCTGCCACTCTCGAAGCGAACCTGTCGATATACGCCCGTAATTTTACCTAGTGAATTTAGTCTCGTCCCTAAGCACTTTCACCTGACAGGAGATACAACACGAGGAGGCAGTTCAACACGAGATATCACAATGTTTAATTAAATCAAGTGGGAAGGAAATGTGACGTAAATACTACAAGAAGAAAAAGCAAAGAATGTAAATAAATGAAACGAAGAAAGCAAAAAAGCAAAAGAATATCGTGACCACTGCAGGGATCGAACCTGCGACATTATGCGAGCACAGGATAACACTGTAAAGCATACGATATAACCACTAATCTAAGCGGCCGATTTTGCTTGCTAGCGAAGCGATGGAGAACTGGGGACGAAGGTGCGGTTATATCGCCCAACTCGGCTGGCGGCAAAAACCTTGCTTGCTTCTGGTGGGGCAGCCTATTGTAGACTGGGCTTTCCCAGTGGTTGAAGCTCCTGGAGAAGCCTGGCAGTTGCAGCGCCTTGGCAGGCTCTGGATATGCACTCGAGTTTTTGCTGTGACGCTTAGGCAAAGTCAATTTCTTTGATTCCCAAAGACATCGCTGGGGACAATTCACAAGAGGCGAAAGAAACCCAATTGGACCATGGCGGGATCCAAGGCTACGCAGACGGCCCTGTGTCGGGCTGGCTCTGCCCTCCTAGCACTGTCAGAAATGTACGTCAAGCTCAAAGTGGAAGGTCCGTTTGATGGAATGCAGCGAGATAGTTGTAGAAGCTGGGAGAGGGTAGGTAGTCTAACACACCCCGTTCTTCTGCTCCCTGTAGCTCTCCCCATCCCCGCGCTCATCGCGCCGTCGCGACCCAGGCTTTAGCCACGCTGCGCCGCCCGGCGCATCCGCCAAACCCCTCCTCGCCCTCCCGCTCTCCCCCGCCGCCGGCATGGCGGACGACGACGACGACGAGGGCCTGCGGCAGGTGCCTGTCCACCGGCACAGCCCTAGGCAAGAAACACACCTATGGGAAGGGGGCAAAGAAAAGCAAGGCGGCCAAGGCGGCCTCCTCCTCCTCCTCCGAGGACGGCCCCGAGGACGGCGACGGCGACGCCGCGGCGTCCCCGAGCAAAAAGAAGGCCGACCCCGAGAACGCGGACGACTTTGGCGAGGTCGAGGAGCTGTACGCGCGCCTGACGAGGCGCACGCAAGAGAAGCTGCAGGCCATGCGGCAGGGCGGACGCTTCAGCCCGGACGCGCTGGGCCGGGTCCCCGTCGTGCTCGCCAAGGGCAGCCCCGCCGTGCCGCTGTCCGAGGCGGCGCTCGTGGACGTCCAGGGCGGGCGGGTGGTGCAGCTGACGCTGTTCGAGCCGTCGCACCGGCGCGCCGTCATGAGCGCCATCCAGTCCAGCCCGCAGTTCAACCAGCAGCCGCAGCCGGACCCGGACGACGAGGCCGTCCTGACGCTGAAAGTCGAGCCCGAGCGCCTCGAGGACCAGCTGCGCGCCGTCAAGGAGGCCTGCCACGGCCTGCGGGACGGCCTGCGCCGCGCCACGGCCGCGCGCCAGAAAAAGCACGCTCAGTGGGGGCGCGCCGCCTTGATCCTTCCCGACGCCGTCGTGCAGCTCAACAAGAAGATACAGAAGATGCAGGACGCGCAGATGAAGGAGGTCGACCTCATGGAGAATGACTGCATCAAGGCGCTCAAGAAATCTCACGGCCAGGCTGTTTGAGTCTTGCCCTCCCCCATTGGCTGCTTCCCCGGGCTCTGACATGTGTTATCAGGAACATGTCGCGTGTATATTATATTATACCTCTAGGCGATTCTTGAAGGGGGTAGAAACCAGCTTCGGCCACCCTTTTTGACTTTGAAAACATGGAATGTCAGCATGTCCCAGCTTGCCGGACATGAAAGAGACTCAGGAAAGTCTCCAAGGTAATGTGCGATCTCGGTCAGGCACGCAGGGTGGTTAAAAAAAGGTTCTTTGTTTCTACAAATGTACAATAGAAGCGGTATCGTCCACCACCCGTAAGATTGCGGTGCTCTCCCTCACGACATAAATGGACAAATGCTCACGCGTCCAAACGAGCGTCAGGCTACCACTGGGTCTTGATGCGTCTGTCGTAGGTCCGTTTTCCTCTCAAGATACCATAGCTATGTACATCATCCTAGGACTTTCGATTCACCCGGGTATGCGGATTAAGGACGAGCCTGCGTTTGGGCGGAGGTGGCACCCCTAGCACCTCCCCTGGCTGCTCCGGGGAGGAGGGAGGCAAACTTATCCGCAAACGCCTTTGCCTGGGCCGACCCGTAGGTGGCTTCGCGGGCGAGGTACATGTTGACGGTGGCGAGGGGGTTGCCGGCGCCGGGGGGCACGTACTGTGGCGGGGCGGCGATGTTGCCCTGGAGGGCGGCGTCGACAATGGCCTGCCGCGTCTCCTCGCTGGCGTCGCGGACCTCTTCGAGGTCCGAGTTCTCCACCAGCCACTGGCGCTCGGCCGGGTCGGCGAAGAAGACGGGCTTGCCGGCCTCGTAGCGCTCGGCGTTGTCGACGGGGTCGTTGTTCCAGCCGGGCTCGAAGGGCTGGCCGCCGCCCAGGATGCGCATGGACCGCATCGCCGTCTCGACCATGCCGCGGCCGCCCGCCGAGCTGGGCATCGCGGGGCCCCAGCCGGCCAGCGACTCGGCCGTCAGCGAGGGGACGTACGACCGCTCCTCGCCCTGGTCGCGCGCCGCCATCCACGCCTTCTCCGCGGTGGAGTCGCCGAGCCCGGGGTTCTTCTTGGCATCCACGCCGTGCTCGTCGTCGCGCTTTTCCCGCTGGTCTCGGCCCCGGCCGCCGCGGCCGTCTCGTCCACCGCGACCACCGCGACCACCGCGCCCGCCACGCCCACCAAATCCACCGCGACCGCCGCCGCCAAAACCGCCGCCGCCAAAACCACCACCACCACGGCCAAAACTACCGCCGCCAAAACCACCACCACCACGGCCAAAACTATCGCCGCCGTGACCGCCGCCAAAACCGCCATCGGCCCTTATGAACCCTCCTGCTCCGCCACCCCTGGGTCCGCTGCCGCCCCTGAGTCCGCCGCCTCCTCCCCGACCGAGGGTGCTGGGTGCCCTGACAATGTTGCCACGGGAGCCCAACGTGCTTGGTGGCCTGACTAGAGCGCCGCGGGACAGCATAGACCTCGGTGGGCTGACCACACGCGGGGGGGCGCCGCCGCCGTCGCCGCCGATGCTGAAAACACCACCACCGCTCGCGTTCTCGCCAGGGTGCTCCAGTGGCCGGCGCGGGAGGCTGCGGACGTTTGTCGGGGCCGCGAACTGTCTGTTGATCCGCTCGGACAGCGGGGACTGCCCGGGGGCGCTGCCTCCGCTGAGGCCGCCGAGGGACTCTGCGGCCGCCCGCGCCCGCTCGCGGGGGTTGCTGGGCCGGCTGGGGTCGCTGCCGTCGTTGTCGTCGGATGACGACCGCAGGCTCGGGGTGGCCGATATGGCGCGGTACTGGGCCCACGTGGTCGGCCCCGGCCGGAGCGAGCCCGCCGCCGCCGCCGAGGAGGAGGAGGATGCCAGGTCCCGCGACCCCCCGCGGAGGAGGGTGCCGAACGCCCGGCCGTGCATCTCGTCTGGCTCTTTCCCTTCGCGTTGCCTCTCGGGGGGCTTCGAATACGGAGGGGAGGGGTCTCTCTGCACGCGTGGAATTTCTCAACGCGCCGTGAGTCTGTTCGTGTCGGCTTCCGTTTACAGCAATCCTACGATTTTGCTGTTTCGCCCATCAGAATATGCGCCCTCTCTCGAAATTTCAGACGGCGCCTGATTGGACAATTCCCACACACAAAAGTGGGCGCGCTGGTGATTAGATAACCAGCCCAGCTCCCCGCCAGGGCTGCCACACAGGTTTGGCCTCGTTTCCTCTTTCTATCGTGCGAGGATTGGCTTTACGTCCAAGCCTGCTTAATCTCTGTACTTGGGTACCTACCTGTCTGTCTGCCTGCCTAGGCAGCTGCAGCTGCAGTGGAATTGATGCCGGCACATCTCCCCGTCCCATTACTTGTCTCCTGCGAAGCGGGCATAGCTCAAGACATGCGACTGTCTGTTGGTTGATGGCACTCTTTGGTGTGCCAACCGATTCCATGTCTGCTGTCAAGATGTATAACTACAGACAGACATCATGATCGGTGCTCTGTGTCATTAAATCTGTCTCGTGGCTGTTCTGGTGCTGCGCCGCCAATCGTATCATCAGACACGAACCCCTCATCAACTTGACCCTCCTTGCCTGCTACCACCCTACCAACCATGGATGAGATTCACTCGTAAGACCGACTCGGCTCGGTCGACAGCCAGCAAGTGGTAGGGTGCGAGGCGTGGACTGAGGCGGGATTGGAATGATCTGCATCCTTTGTGTGATCATGTGGTAGACAAAATACCGCGGGTTCCGGCAAAGCGGCCTTTCCGTTACGATGAGGCCGGCGACAGCTCAGACAAGTAACTTGGTACCTACCCACCTAGGTACTCACTCCATCGAGCCTGTTTCCCTTCTCCTTTATTCTCACATTGCTGTTATGCACAACAATGCGCTTTGCTTTGTGCGGAAAATCGCCATATCAGCAAACATGCTGGCGTAAGTAACCCCTCCATGCCTAGCTCGACGCAGGCCAGCCCACGTAATATATTCAGCCAAGCGGGCATGTGTTCACCTAAGAACTGCCGCACGTAAATAGGAGAGATAAGGAAGACGGTAGGGGGTCATGTTTATAGGCTGGGCATTGGAAACTAACCAGCTTGGATGCGACACACACAGCAAACCGGCTTGGGCGCGTGACGGCACATAAACGGACAACGGCTTGCGCTGGATACGGTCCGGTTCATGACTTTTTGCTCAAGGGACGGGGCGGCGGGGTGGGTGGCATGGCATGGCATGACATGAAATGGCACGGTGCTTGCATGCCGTGGGACTACAAAGGCCAGCGGCAAGGAGAGACTGGGGCGGGCGGGGCGGGCGGGGAGGTGAACGGCCAGCTCCGAAGCGGTGCGGATTGCGAATAGATAGGGACTACGAACCTGTGCGCAGCAGCATACATGCAAATACACAGAATGGACCGGTGGAAGAAGGGTGGTAGGGTGGCGGTCACGGCCCTGATGGCGGTAGCGACGCGGCCATCGATTCTTGGCCGGAATATTGAGCCATTCGCTGTGGTTCAAATTATACATAAGGTGTAGGCCCCGTCGGCTGCGCGCCCCCTGGAAGCGAACACACCACACCTCGATATGAAATGCACAATAAACTTATACGAGGAACAGAGACTTGGCGAACAAGGCGGATTTCGGGGAGCTGGTGCCCGCCGCACAACCCTTGCTTCAGCATGCACGAACTCACAAGGCACACCCGAGTCAGCGAGTCGCAGGGCGCGCAAAGGCGGGGGGCCACACTCCCATGGCTGAATGATAGCGCCCTTTTTGGTGGGGGTGGGCTCTCCCATCAATAAACTTGACCACCAGACGTCCCCTCGTAGTAATCCGCCGTGCAATGTCTCGGGTGCCCTATTCTGGGATCGGCGCACCCGCGCCGATGAGAGGAAAACGGCAGCAGGAGTGCACGAACGCCAGGCCGAGCTGACGCCGACGGGAGATGCCGACATGTAATGAATTATTTGATGCTTGCAGCGACGAGATGTCGTGATAACGGTGACCACTTGCTCCAGCTCACTCACTAGCCTCGATCAGAAGCCAAGTCTTTGACGGCGTGACTCACCTCTCAGCTCTGCTCAGGCAACCCCTCATCTCTGGGACACCGTGCGGCCATGGTTAGCATTTGTCAAGAGTGATGTGATTGAATGAACCTTTTTTTTTCACCTTCACTCGCGACAACACGCACTCCTGGGCCAGGTATCCCATGTCCGCCGTGTGGGGGAGCCCGAGGACGGTCCTTGCTGGCTGCCGAGCCTGTCAGAACCCATCTCATATCTCTCGCCATCCCTTCCACCTGATCCGGAGATATTTGTCGATGCGACATGAGAGCGATTCGTGTGGTATCTCCCCATGTAACAGTCTGGGAAGGGTTGTGTGACACAATATGGCATCCTGCCGCATTCTTCTCTTGCTGCATGTATATGCCTCCTCTTTAAGGACGAGGCTAATCGTTTCTACCGCGTCAACGCCATACTCCTTGGTTTTGTTTGCGTTTCTTGATGCGGGGTAAAAGCAAACGAGGGGAAAGCACGGAAACCCGCCGGCCCGGCAACGAAGGAGATAATATGAAGAAAAGAAAAGATACTGTCAATAGAATAGGGCGGAACGAGATGGTGGGATATAGTGAGCAAGCGTGAACTACCCAGGGTTGATATATTTTTTGGGAACTACATGCCGAAGTCAAGACCAGGTTAGCTGTGAACACTACACATGCTACGATTCCATGCTGTCGTCATGAAACAATTTCTGCATAGGCCGACCAGGACCCGGTCTTCGCATTGAGCCCGGGGCGGCCGTTGTCGGTCCACGCCATGCGCAGATGGCATGGCTACTATAGATGGACGCTCGCTGCTATTCCGATACCGTCACTGGCATATCAACAGCCAACACCCAGGCATGCCGGACTGCGCCAAGCTGTTGTGGCAAGCCCACACAGCCAATGGCATCCTACACCATTCCCACTACATTGCTGTCATGTGCTTTCCTAGTGGCGGGGCTGCAAGCCAGGACAGCCGCACGCCGCTTGCCCGAAGTGGCGTCTTGATTTCCTAAACTCGCTTACAAGCAATGGAGGGGTTACTGCTAGCTGCTCTAAAGCCACCCTGAGGGCATTCGCTGCCGACTTACATCCTGCCCAGTGAACCTTTGACAAGTTTGATCCCCTCCAGATGGAACGTGGGTCATCATGCATATGTACAGCATGCTCTTCGTCTTGTCCGCCGGTGAACAACCCGAGGAGAGAGTAGGTGTTCCATTGCCAATGCAAGGGGTTATCACGGCCTTGCTACTGCGTATAGGTTCCGGTATCGCAGCAGAGGGCTACGAAGCCGACGTAATGACCTTGTGGTGGTGGTGGGAGTGGTGGGGCCCAAGTTGACGTATCGGTCTGGATGGATGTCTGAGAAAACGGCCGTCGCGCAGGTGGTTGGAAGGAGGTGGCACGGGGTTGAATCTTGCATGCAGTCCTGCAGACTGTCCCGGGCAAAAATGTGGGTATGGATCGACTCTGCAGTACCTGTGGGCAAAGTACCGGCCAGGGGTCAAAGAGGGGGCAACGGGTTTCTGGCGGGGACGTCAGAACTGTGGTCTGCGATGCTCCTTAGAACAGGCGTTTCTAGCCACTCGTTCCGACATTTGAGGAGAACGCCTTATGACAGGCGGACGGAGCTGCAGAGGGCCAGGAGGCAGACCTCTCTAGCGACCAAAGTCCCAGAGGCCCGTCCTATTGGAGGCCCTGAGGTGGTGCTAGGGAATCACTCCAGCTGGTGGGCTCAGGGCTGGGAAGGCAGAGGACTCGAGGCTCCACATGGAACAATCGAGATTCGCAGATCTGGGATGGGCGCACCTCTGGAAGCCAGTGACGAGCGGGAACAAGGAAAGCTTACTGGCAGATAAGCCGGCCAAATCAAAACGGAAGCCCGGCAGCGGAAGTCGTCTGTCTCCTCGTAATCATGTCGCTAGCCGCCGACGGGACAAGCACAGCGGAGTGCATGGCGAGCCCCTCTCGGCTCTAGGCCGCTGGCCTTCCCTTCGCGAATACCATTTCGTGCGCTTTCCTTGGTGTGCCTCTCCCGAGCAGCCCCTGCAAGAGTCTCATTGGGAAGTTGCGCTGGCAGCTCGACCACACCGCACCTCGCCTCCTGGCCCTACCAAGATTACTAGGACCATCCGAGAAGCCATGCTTTTGGCGTGGCTGGTATTGCCCGGCGACCCCAGCCTGTGTCCTCGCTGGATGGAGATTTCCATCCGTAGGAATGGAGGAAATAAGGAACTGCTCCGTCAGGGGAAAAGCCAATAATGATAGGCGAAAGGAAAAAAACGGGGGTGCAAACGGCAAAAGGGCTTGTTGGGCACACGCAAAAGGACACGGCATGGCAGCAGTCGCAACAGGACACTGGTCGGGCACGACAAAGATTTTGACGACACCCTGAAGTGGGTTGGGAGCTGTCTGGGTGGGCCTGGCCAAGAAGGGTTTTACGTGTATCCTGCTCTGATTTGGCCTCCGTTTGCCAGGTGGGCCCGCCCATGCCGCCATCTCAACGACAGGCGGCATCCCCAATTTGGGCCAGCCCGCGCCCCTCAGGCTCGTTTTGATGGCTTGACGCTGCACACCGTAGCGCTCTCTGCTGTGTTTGAAACGTGACAGGATATGCATATCCGGGCCAATGCACCACAATCGTAAGATGCCTCCAATGGCCAACAAAATGGGCCATTCATGTCGGGAAAGTATACCCGCTACGCCGTGATTTTCGAAGGAGCTATCGGCCGAGTCTTGGGGGTGAAGACGAAGAGAAATTGACAAGAAAATAAAAATACAACTCTATCAAGAACAAAGGGGAAAAAATAATGAAAATTTTTGCGATGTTGCAGCTGCTACAGTGGGGACCACGGTGGGTGGATGCCGGTAGCGTCCGTAATTTAAATTGATTTCGTCCCCATCCAGGCCAGCTGGCCGTGCGCTTTTTGAAAGGGCACGTTTAGGACGTCAGTTCTCTGGTAGCCCCTGTGGCAAAGAAAAGGGAGGCGAACCAGAGAAATAGCTGCCAGACACTTATTGATGGAATTTGTTTCGATCGTCACGAGGCGACAATATCAATCATGCACATCAACGGTGAAGGGGCTCCACGGCCACGGCAGACTCGCATCCCAGCCCTCCTGGCGGGGTGATAACAAGACGTTCGGCGGTCTAGATGCAGCATGGATTGCTCTGCAAACTCTGTCAGGTTACGGACACAGACAGGTTGCGACGGCGGATGGGGATTGAATATGATGACGAAGCAAGAATAATAAAAGTACAAAGTAAGTGCAGCTTCACATACATAGAGAGCTTACAACCCCCGGCAGAATGCTTATCAGTTGGCTGCTTCATCCGTGCCGGTCGTCTGAGCTTGCTGCCGTCTCACTCATGACCTATGAGGAGACTGAACAGAGAGCAACGAAAGGACCGATGAATAAGGAAGACAGCCGGCGGTCCAGACTAGAGGTCACTATCACACAATGGGCTCAAGTCACATGGGGTGCATGCTTGATGGGTTGGGATACGCAGCACGCACATATTTGCACTGCACGGCACGAGGTAGGCACTTCCGCCTGCTTGGACAGTCCAACGCGATCCCGATATCGTCAGCCGCACGCACAGCAGCTGTCCGCACAAGTAAACGAGGGCTAGTCCAAATGTGCGAGGTGATAGAAAACTTGGCTGGACATTATTTGTCCAGCAAGGGTAAACACCAGCCACCTGGAAAAGGATAAAGCAGTGAAGTGACAGGAAAGGGGAATGTTGAGCAAGTCCCTGAACACGGCAACCGTGAGGGGAGTTGGCGGTCAGCTCCGCCAACGAGACCCATTCCATGCCGGTACTTGGTTCGCAAGTACCTACCCTGCTGTTCTGCACGCCTCCGTCGCTTCCAGAGAATAACTTTCCCGGCAGCACACGTTAGGCCGGAGGGACATCAATCTGGGAAGCGCTGGCAGTGTGCGACGGGCTGCGTTCCCTGCTTGGCTATTAGGATGGAACGGTATCTCCCTGTAGAGGCGGGAGCTCGAAATGGTGGTGGGCCAAGGTCCAAGGGTCGCGCACCGAGTGCCATCGTGGGCATCGTTAGTGGGCCCCCCGTTCCATCCCTGCCTAATGACCAGGGCGGTTGGCGCTGCCGCGTGGGCTTAGTGGCTGCAGATTTGCAGCAGCCCACCCTTGCCATGCAGGCGCCGCTAGGGACCCGTAAGACTTGCAATTTCGCGGCGTTAAACAGGAGGCGCGAGCACGAGCCAGCCGGCCTGGCCCAGCAACCCAGCAGAATACAGAAAGGTGGGTGGGCAGCATCGCTAAAATTTTCTTTATTTTTTTTTCTGCCTGTCCTGGGTGTGGTTTTTGCTTGGGGTGTGCAACGGAACACGGTGGCGACAATAATGTATGGCACTGTGCTGGGAAGGGTGTGTCGGGGGGCGCCGGTTGCATTGACATGAGTGTTATGGAACGGTGGATGTTGATACTGTACGAGAAAACATGCATGAGGCATCACAATTGACGACCACTCCTGGAATAAGCAGCTCAAGTGACAATTCCCTTGCCCGTGCACGCCGAAGCCAATGCCTCCAAACGACAAGCTGGGAGCTCCTGGCGACAGCTCGACCAAGGGCGTGCACGCGGCACCAAGCAGGCTACAGGTGGGTGGGCAGGGCCGCTAGGGGGAGGGAAGGGGCCGGGCGTCGGCCTAGCGCAGATAGGACGCAGGGTGCTGAGGTTGCGACCTTGGGGGTGGGTAGTCCATACCGTGCGAATGCATCATTCCCTGCTCTTCCCTTCGGATCCCTTTCCTCGCGTGGGCTCGAAAGACCTCCACCCACGCTGCCGCCCCTGCCCGCCCGGCGAGGAAACAAATAAGAGAAGGTACCGTCCCTTCCAACTCTCTTCCCATTCCTCTTTCTTCCTCGTTCGCATCCAGGCTATTTACTCCCACCGCAGGATATAGGGCACCTCGCAACCCTCTTCTCCCATCGCCCATTAACCGAAGCACGACTATCTTTTTTGCAGCTTTTGCAGTTCCCTCTGGAACTTGTGATACCATTTTTGTTTTCTATTCGCCTTCTTGATACCCCCCCACATCTTTCAAAATGTCGGACGCACCCAAGCCCGTCGAGGTCCCTGTTGAGGCCACCCCTGCCGTCGAGGCTGTCGCTCCCGCCGCCGAGCCCGCACCGGTCGTTGCTGAGACGACTGCACCCGCCGAGGCTGCCGCCACGGAGGCCGCTCCCGCTACCACGGAGGCCGCCGCCGAGGGCGAGACACCTGCTGCCGTCGCGACCGAGGAGGCCAAGAAGGAGGAGGCAGTCCCTATTGAGGAGGGCTTCCTGGAGAGCAAGGGCACCAAGTTCCCCCAGTATGTGGCGCCAACACACAATCGTACCACCACGTCGGGGTCGCAACATGCTAATCTCACTTTGCCTTCAGGAACTTCCTCTACACCAAGAGGTTTTTCTGGTTCGGAACTGATGCTGTCGAGCCCAAGGTTCTGGCGACCTTTGTCAAGTCGGAGAAGTCGGTCGAGGTTGCCCACAAGGTTGCTGCGTGGGCCAGCCAGACCGGTGCCGGCCTTCTCTTCTACGTCGAGAAGGGCACCGACAAGGCTGCCCCGTCTGGTGCCATCCAGCTGGTAAGTCAGCTCACGGAGCCACATTTGACTCACTTTGGCGCGTCTCGGCGCTGACAATATCTTGCATACAGAGCGAGGCTTCTGAGCCCATTGCCGACGGTCCCACCAAGTTCCACTTCACCAGCAACGGCCACAAGCACACCTTCAAGGCTGCTAACGCCGCCGACCGTGACAACTGGGTTGCCCAGCTCAAGGCCAAGACTGCTGAGGCCAAAGAGGCTGTTGCCACTGTCACCGAGGGCGAGACCTACAAGGCCACGCTTGAGAGCTTCAAGCCCGCTGCTCCCGTGAAGAAGGAGGAGGAGAAGAAGGAGGAGCCCAAGGTTGAGGAGGCTGCCCCGGTTGTCGCTGTTCCCGAGGAGGCTGTCGCTGCCACCGAGACCCCCGCTGCCGTTGAGGAGCCCGCCAAGGAGGGCGAGACCCTGAAGCCCGAGGAGGCCAAGGAGGCGAAGACGGAGCGTAGGTCTGCTTCGCGCAAGCGCGAGTCTGTCTTCGGTTCCCTCTTCGGCAAGAAGGGTGCTCACAAGGAGGACCCCAAGAAGGAGGAGGCAAAGGCTGAGGAGGCTGCCGCCGCTCCCGCTGAGGCTGTTTCCGAGCCTGCCGCTGCCGAGGCTGCTCCCGTCACGACTGAAGCCACTGTTGAGGCCGCTGCCGAGACCGCTGCCCCAGTTGTCGAGGAGAAGCCCGTCGAGGCCAAGCCCGTCCCGACCAAGCGTGGCAGCATCTTCGGAAACTTGAGCTTTGGCAAGAAGAAGGCTGTTGAGCCCGCCGCCGCTGAGGGTGCCACTGCCGCTAGCACCACCAAGGATGCTATCGCCGAGGCCATTCCCGTTGCCGAGACCGCTCCTGTGATCCCGGCTGTTGAGACCACTGCCCCTCTGTCGACTGAGGTTGCTTCACCTACCACCGTCCCCACGGAGACTGTTGACGTCACTGCCTCCCCTGCCGAGGCCACCCCTGAGGCCAAGAAGGAGATGAAGAGCGACAAGCGCAAGTCGTCGCTGCCCTTCACCTTTGGCAAGAAGGAGAAGGCCTCTTCTGACGAGGAGGGCGAGAAGACCCCAAAGTCTCCTTCGGCCTTCTCCAAGCTCCGCGCTACCATCAAGGGCAAGGGCAAGGCTGAGAAGTCCGTCGAGAAGCCGGTCGAGAAGACCGAGGAGGTTGTTGAGGCTGAGGCCTCTGCTGCCCCCGCCGATAAGGTTGATGAGGCTCCCAAGCCCGCCGAGGCCGAGGCCGCCCCTGCCACCGAGGAGGCTAAGCCAGTCGCCGCCCCGATTGTTGCCGCCACCGCCTAGAGGCCGGAGCAGTAGGATGGTCGTGGTCGGGCACCTAGTCGAGACTGAGTGCCTAACCGGTTCTGTCTAGCGATGGTGGTCGGGACCCACGTCTTCTTATCCCCTCATTTCACACATTCAGAAAACCCCCCAAAACATTAGCGAAGACTATGAAGCATGTCAACGACAACTATCAAGGCAACACCGCCTTGAGGCCTGTTCTCGGGTTTGGTCGGGAATCGGATCTGCATTTCAAGATACCCTTGCGAGATTGGTTCGCTGTTGGACATGATCGTCTCTTGACGAACCCTACAGTTCCTTTTTCGTTTGAACTTTCCTTCTCTTCCAGCAATTTCGTTTCTTTTCACATCGACAAACCACCAAAAAACGCCATCACCCCCACGAGTCAACACTTCGCTTTTCTTATTGCATTTAGTACCGCTTGTCATTTGTTTTGATTCCCCTCTCTGTTTGTTTTTGATATCACATCTTTCTGGCAACCATGCCTCCCGATTACTGTCTTGTCTCTTTTTTGATACCCAAGTATACCCCTCAAGACAGTCGTTTGGGAAATGAGGTGCAACGGGAATGACCCTTGGTCGGACCAGCGATTTTCAGATGCGAAACAAGAAAAGAACAAAAAAAAGGATGGATAGTTGGTGGAAGAGCTGGGTGGGAAGGCCTCGTCGACTGTTGTCTGGTTAAAGATCGCGACCCATGGCAAGCAATGTTGCTACCTTGTCAGGTTCCCTGCCACTTAGGGTTGGAGGACCTCTTGGGGTTGCCGACGAGCGTCCACTTAATTAATAGCTAATAAAGACCTCGCATGTTGAGCTTCGCATAATCTGATCCCGAATGTCTTTTGAAATGTCCCCTGTCATTACATTGCTATTTATGAGCTTTATCATCAAGGTCCTCGGAGAATCGAGCGTATTCCACTTCTCGTGCCATAACTCTCGCTTCATTACATTGACTTGTTCATACATCTTGTATCAGGTGCAGTTCTCAGCAACCAGAGTGTCGTATTGGGTATTCCCCCTCTATCTCGGCCTTGGATTATCCTCTCTATGGCCACATGGCTGATGCGAACGGGTCGATGCGGGGATAGTCCCGCTTGGCGCCCATGATGATGCTGTACTCGTCTCTCAGTAGATCGGACCCTTCGTTGGCGATGCCGGCATAGGCGCTCATTTCGTGCCTCCGCAGGGCCACGTTCCACGAGAAGCTCGAGTGCGCGACCCCCATGAAGGCGCTCGCCTTGAACATGACCAGGAAGTCCACCAGGGCTTGCTGGTCGAACGTCAGGCTCTGCAGCAGCGCCAGGTCGTCGCCCTGCAGCAGGTCGAGCTTGGTGACCACCGTCACGTTCCCGTCGCCGCCGCCGCTCCGTGCCTGAATGCGGCTCCTCCTCCGCCGGCGGGTTTCCACCGCGCCGTCCTCGCTCCTCCCGTGCCCCCCGCCGAGCCCCCGCCGCGCGCCCATGAACCCGGCCAGCATGTCGACGACGGTCTCGTTCCCCGACGCGACGTAGACGACGCCGAGCCCCGTGCGCGCCGCGTAGCGGGCCTGCTCCTCGAACTGGTCGCGCGCGCGCCCGAAGCGCCACTCGTCGGGCGACCAGGCCCACACGGCGTCCCGCTCGAGCCGCAGGTGCGCGCCGAAGAAGGCGCCCGGGCTGACGGGCCTGGTCGGGTCGATGCTTCGCAGCCCGCACCGCCGCCGCAGCGCCAGGAGCACCCGGGCGGCCAGCTCGCGCGCGTCGGGCCGGAACGGGAGGAGCTTGCCGAACTCGCGCGCGAAGGCGGGCCCGTCGTCCTGCACCGGGTACTCGAGGAAGGACTGGCCGATCTCGACGTGCACGGGGCGGTCGGCGGACGGGGGCTGCTGCTGCTGCTGCTGCACGCCCGGCTGCCCGCCCAGCCACTCGTCGAAGCGGCGCCGCCACTCGCGCGGGTGCTGCAGCGGCGCCCCCTCGGGCCGGCCCCGCTCGAACTCGTCCCCGACCAGCTGCAGGGGCCGGCCGTTCCCCGCCAGCTGGGAGTACGACGGGAAGTCCCCGGCGCGGTCGAAGAGGCGCATTTCCGGGCAGGCGGCCGTCAGGTGGCGGACAAAGGCCTGGCGGTCGAAGAGGTACTCGAGCGGCACGTCGTTGGCCGTCTCGATGTCGGTCACGTCGCCGGGGTTGCGCTTGGCCATGGAGGGGACGACGAGGGCGCCGCCGCCGTGCATGGCGTAGCGGATGCACTTGAGGATCTGGTTCCGCACCATCCCGATGCCGCCGTGCTCGCCCTCGCAGCTGAAGAGCAGGCCCGGCCGGAAGTGGGACGGGCCGCCGCGCGTGCAGACCTCTCTGATCGGGGCGTAGTCTATCGGGGTGGGGAACTCGACGGCCGCCGCCAGCTCGACGAACTTGGCATCGTCGAGGTCGTCGGCCAAGGAGCCCCGGAACAGCTCCGGGAGCGCGCCGCCAATGTCGAGAAAGGTGTTCCAGATTATGATGAAGGGGAAAAAGGCGGCTACGGAGAACAGCAGTGTCGTCCACACGCGGCGCTGGTAGACCATTTCCCGGACTTTTTCAGCACAGATAGTCTGCGCATTGGGTTTGGGATACCAGGGAAGGGAAGACAGAAGTCACACAGTTACCGAGGTCAACTCGAGTGTGATCGAGTCTAGGCACACGGGCAGAGAGGGCAAGACATTGATGTTATCATGCGAACCCTGGAGATGGAGCCGGCCGGCCAAACATGGCCCAGACGACGACGGCCCCCGGCAGGCATCCTAGACGACGAAGCCCCCTGGTGGGAGAAACGTCGTCATTTGTTTTGGGTGCGCAACAAATACATACTCGCCCCGCCGCGAGTCAATCTCTAGGAGCAGAGGAAGATGCGGAGGCATATCTCGCGGGAAGATCTGAGACTCGGCCAGACACAGGCAATGTCCAGGGTGGGTCGGTCAGAGGCAAGGTCCAATTCGGCGTTACGAAGGGGGTGGACGGCTGGCTGAGACGTCTGTCGACGCGAGCCCACAGACCGCTGTTCCTTACAGGAGGTGTGGGTGCCCGAGTTACGGAAGAGCGGCAGGGAGCGAGGGAATCTGCTTGGGCGCTGGTTCTCTCTCTAGTAAGGATACTCTAGTCTGGGTAGGTATTCTGTGTCCATCGCCGTCTTTTCAGATGAGAAAAGAAAGAAACATGAGTTTAAGGTTTGGACGTTTCGCCTGTCGCCGTCTTGGCAAGCAGACTTGGCATTGCGATGGCAAACGGGGGGCTTGGGGCCTAGTATTCGTCCTCGCCCGGCGGTGGGGCAGATTCAGGGGAGTTCAGGGCACTTCGGCTTGCCTTTCCTCAATGCGAACGACGGCGGCTGCCGCGTGTCACAGTGCCCCCCAAAAAAGGGCCTGACTGTACCGTGGAACCTAGTTGAACACACCACGCTGGCACACGGGAAACTGGGCAAGGAGACAGGAAGCGGAGACGATAGGTTCGGATAATGCGGGCTCCAATTGACGCTAGCCTATCCAGGCTGGGCATTGGCTCCCCGTAGACGGCGCCAACCGGTGAGTCCGCTGTGTCAGCTGTCAGCGGGAGTGGCGGGGTTGATTCCAGGTTTCGGAACCTTGGCTGGCGTCTGTCTGGTGGCCGGTTTCTGATGCTCGTGTCGCCCCTCGACAGAGCGTCTGACCTGATACACCCAACCAGCCGTTCTTCGCTATCGAGCTGCGATCACAAAAAGACGCGAGGAAGCTGCTGTGTAGGAGGATCGAGGTGTGATCTTGGTCACCCCGCCGCAGACGGACAAACGGCAAAAGAGGGGAGAAGGTGGTTGGTGCAGTGGGCGCGCATCAAGTCGCACACACAGGCAGGTCTACTTTTAGGTCGCTGCACTGCAACCTCGGTTTTTTTTTTTTTTTTTTGTTCTTGCGCTGCTGGTGTCACATCTGTGCTGACCAATATACAGCGCTGCGCCGGTAATAGGATCAATGAGGATCAAATTGCGTGCAGCTCGGCAATGGGATTCTCAGTCGGCAGGGCAGATCAGAGGAGGCCCCTCAGTCGGCTAACAGGGCAAGCGCACAGGGCACGGCTTGCTAGGGACAGACAGCACAGGCGCCTACAACTATGCTAGCAACAGCCAATTCACCGAGGAAATCACACTAGAAACGTCCGCATTGTCGCGCCATCCCCGCTCTTCCCGGCCGGATTCCGACGGTAGTGACCAACATGCCGCTGCCCCCTTTTGCCGAGGGCGTCTAGCCAGGCGTTATCTGCACCACATGGCCAACCTGGCTCCATTCTGCGCGACAGCCCGTGCAGTGAGCGGCGGCCCGGGTTGGGGGCCAAGAAATGGCTGCGTACGCAAGCAAGAATCTGTGCTGCTCACCTAAACTGCGCGGGCGCGGGCGTGTGCGTGTGCGGCCTAGCAAGGGGGGGGGTGGGCATAGCGTACCTTTGCTCGCCAACCCTGGCCGGATCTGGCAGCTTTGCGAGAGCAAGCCGCTGGAAGCTGATGCCAATTGATGAGAATTGGCAGCCACTACCAAGCGGGGATGGCGGGCAAGGGCTCCACGGTTCAACCCCCCTTGGGGCTCTCCCGCGGGCCCGCGGCGCGTGATTGGCTGCAGTCAAGTCGCTGGACCGCCCTCGCCCAGCGCTTACCCGCCGAGCGCGCCCGGTCATTGGCTGGCAGCCTGTGATGGCCCGCGAGGGGGGTGATTGGCCTTGCATCCAAACCGTCCAACGAGCGGCGGCGCCCCAAAGTGTCCTCGCACGAGGGTGGTGGGTGTGATCAAGGGCCCGTTCTGGCTAGCCCGCTCCTGGTTGGTGAGCGCCCGCGGCGCCAAAAGGAGGCCCAGTCCAAATAAGACCTGCAGTCCCTCCGGCGGCCAGAGGGGGGCGTCCGGTTTCTCAGCTGGGCCTGCCTAATCGACTTATCTCCATCTCGCGCGAAAGAGCACCGCCGAGCCCGCGGAGGGAAGACGAGAAGAAACAGAGAAGGAGACCGACGAGGACGACGAGAAGCGAAAAAAAGAAAAGGGAACTGCCAGCGACACAGAACAACATCCCTTCATCATCTCATGTAAATCAACCCCTGCGCGACTGCTGGCAGCCGCCAAACCCGGATCCCGAGTCGCCCGCAACAACCACCCGCCTCGGACCAAGTGACCCGTCCGGCGCAACGACGTCGACGCAGCAGACATGGCGCTCAACGGATACACCATCGTGCGCCGCAAGTGGCGGTCCAGGAAGCCTCTCTGGTTCCTCATGATCGCGGAGCTTGCCCACCTCATCCCGCTGCTGGTGCTCTTCGGCATCGCGCAGCCCGATGTCTTCCGCACACTCATGTGGAGGATCGGCTACGCCGAGAAGCTCAACTCGAACCCCAACCTCATCCTCTACGCCTATGCCAACTTTGAGCCCATCCCCAAGATCCCGTTCAGGTGGTCGCAAGAGTGAGTTTGGTTCCCCTCGAGGGCAGACATGTGACATGGCATGGCAGTGCGCGGGCAACGGAAAAGGCTGACGGACTACCGACCATCTCAGGCTCACCGAGTTCAACGTCGCCATCTCCGTCGTCTCGCTCTTCTACCTCCTGAGCAAGTTGATCCTCACCATCATGAAGCTCTACTACCCAATCGTGGGTGTCGTCACCAGCACCATCATGGTCGCGCTCTACACCACCAGCGTCTACGGCCAGGCCGGCCCCGACTACCTTGATCCCCGCTACCCTAGCCCTCTCCCTTGGTACTTGACACACAGCTGCGATCTGGCCGGGCGCTACAACGCCGGCAAGACTTGCCAGATTGTCAAGGGCACCTTCGGCGCCACCGTCACGTCGCTGTAAGTCTTGGTCTCTCTGGAATGCGCCTTGCCCAATCTTGTTGGTTTAAATCTGACCAACCCCGAACGAAACAGGGCCGTTTACACTATTGGCCTCGGATTTGCCATTTACAACATGATCCCGCTCAAGAGTGACGCCAAGGTGGTGGACGAGGATGAAGAGAACACCTCGCAAACCAGCTCACCTGAAGAGAGCAAGGAGACCTGGGAGATGCAGCCGCAGACACCCAGGGGGGTGCCCTTCACGCCTAGGACACAGGCCTTCCACACGCTCGACAGAAAATTGCCATTTAGGCAGTACGCCTGAGCAGGGCGCTGAGTTTACTTTGAAAAGAATAATCAACAAAAAAAAAACACTGAAAAAAAAGACTCCTCAGCTGGTCGGATAGGAATAGTGTCTTTTATATTCTCAGGTGTTAGAGTATTTCCTTAATGTCTTGCCTTTCTTGTTTCTTCTCCTATCATGGGTCTATATCTGGGATCTACTCTTTAACGCGGTGTTTCCTCCTGAAACCAGAGGACGGAAACCAACAACCTGGGCGGAATGGGCAGTAGCAACGGCAATGGCGGATATCCGGACGATTGACTATTCATGTTTCCGTCAGTGTGCGTGAGCGCCAGCTGCTCGCCCTTTGTATTTCTTTGTACAATATACCAAGGGGCTTTTACAGCTTCACTTTGAGCCTTTGCTCAATATTCATACACTTCATGACATGTTGGGAGTCCCAAGAGCCATGAAAGCTAGATGGCCATGTGTGTCCACTGGCGATGCGCCGGGCCCCAGAATACCGTAATGGAGAAGCCCCGCTGAACCCCAGCCAAAATCGCCCAAGCTAGCTGCAGTATTGCTACAATGTTACAATACTTCCCCCTCCCTCTTGCCTCCAACCGCGCTACAGAACACCAACGTCATAGGCCGGTCCGAGGACATCATCACCGCGGCCCGGCGACCTCAACGCAAATCCCACAAGCATATCACTGGTGTTATCTCAGCCGTCTGGCATCTTTTCGTTCTGTATGCTCCAGTCGGTTTGCACTGCGATTTTGTCTAAACAATAAAGGAAGAGCTACCCCGCCAAGACACCTTTTTTTTTTTTTTTTTTTGTCTTTGACCAGTCAGGAACCTGCACCAGGAACCTGCACCACCTCCCTTTTGCCCCTTCGCTCTACCGCAGCCATTGCCGATATCGAGAAGCAAAGATAACGGTAGAAATGGCTGCTTTGCATATTCAGAGGCAGGCCTATCTCGCCTCGCGTCGTCTCGCGACCAGGACCTTGGTTCAGAGCCGCCGCCCTGTGCCATTCCTGCCGCACAGGATTGTCCGCCTGGCTTCCAGCTCATCAGCGCCTACAGTACGTTCACGTGGATATATTGATCCGGTAGCTCATGTATACGCTGCTGCACATGCAATGACGGGCTGCTGCTGCAACATCTAACCATGGCCATCTGTAGCTTAAAGATGCGTCTCTATTCAAACCGGGCGTCTGCTATGTGAATGGCGAATGGGTCAAGGCCGCGTCAGGCAAGACCTTTGACGTATCAGGTATGCAAGACTAGTATAAATCGAGGGCGGAAGCCCAAGAGCCCTGCGCGCGCATGTCTTGCTAGGCTAGAGGCTCAACTTTTGCTCATGGCTCGCTAGATCCCTCGACCGGCCACCACATTGGCTCGTCTCCCGAGTTCAGCAAAGCCGACACTGAAAAGGCCATCGAGGCTGCTTCCACGGCCTTCCAGAGCTTCCGGACGACCACGGGCCGCGAGAGATCCCGCCTGCTGCGCAAATGGTTCGACCTCATGATGGCCAACGCCGACGACCTGGCAAAACTCATCACGTGGGAGAACGGCAAGACGCTCGCCGACGCCAAGGGCGAGGTCACCTATGCTGCCAACTTCTTTGAGTGGTTTTCCGAGGAGGCCCCGCGTGTCTACGGCGATGTCATCCCAGCCTCGGTTGGGCAGAATCGCGTCATCACCACCAAGGAGCCCGTCGGGGTCTGCGGCATCATCACCCCGTGAGTGCTGCTGCGATGGGCAGGCCCTCGCGCGCCTGCGTTTTTACCCCAGTTGACCCGGGGGTCTAACTACGAAAGCATTTATACAGGTGGAACTTCCCCGCGGCCATGGGAACGCGCAAGATCGGGCCGGCTCTGGCGGCCGGATGCACAGTTGTTTGCAAAGCCCCCGCGGAGACGCCCTTCACATCGATGGCCATCGCCGAGCTGGCCCATCGCGCCGGCGTCCCGCCGGGAGTTGTAAACTTCATCACATCGCACGAGAACACAAAGGAGGTCGGGTCGACGATGACGTCGCACCCAACCGTCCGCAAAATCTCCTTTACCGGCTCGACCCCGGTGGGCAAAATGCTCATGCAGCAGGCGTCGGGCACGCTCAAGAAGTGCTCGTTCGAGCTGGGCGGCAACGCGCCCTTCATCGTCTTCGACGACGCGGACCTGGACGCGGCCGTCGAGGGCGCCGTGGCCTCAAAGTTCCGCTCGACGGGCCAGACGTGCGTGTGCGCCAACCGCATCTACGTGCAGAGCGGGGTCTACGACGAATTTTGCGACCGCCTGGCCGCGCGGGTGCGGGACTCGTTCCGGGTCGGCAGCGGCTTCGACCCGGCCACCACGCACGGGCCCCTGATCCACGAGCGCGCCGTCGCAAAGGTCGAGGCGCAGGTCCGCGACGCCGTCGACAGGGGCGGCAGGGTGCTGGCGGGCGGGGGCCGGCTGCCGGACCTGGGCCCGTCCTTCTTCCAGCCGACCGTGGTGCGCGACATGACCGAGGACATGGCGCTCGCGCGCGAGGAGACCTTTGGCCCCGTCGCGGGCGTCTTCCCCTTCGGCACCGAGGCCGAGGTTGTCGCGGCGGCCAACGGCGTCGACGTCGGGCTGGCGGGCTACTTTTACTCGCGCGACCCGGCGCGCATCCAGCGCGTGGCCGAAGCGCTCGAGGTGGGCATGGTCGGCGTCAACACGGGCCTCATCTCGGACACGGCCTCGCCCTTTGGCGGCGTCAAGGAGTCGGGCTTCGGGCGGGAGGGGTCCAAGTACGGCATCGCCGAGTACCAGGTCATCAAGACCATAACGTTTGGCGGCATGGGGAAGCCGCTGCAGAGCTGATGATCACGGGACCTCTAACCGTTTCCGGGTCGTCGCAGATTGCATGTCCCAAGAATAAAAAACGTCCCGTGATGGCCGCTGCAACGCTACGCTGGGAGCATGAAATTTCCCGCACGTATTGTATTGGCTTGGCATCTTTAGAGCCGCGGCGGTAAAAATAAAGATGGAATGCCCGTGACCGAGACGAAGGCGATGCCAGCCAGTACCTAGATCTAGATCTGGCGCCAAAGGCTAAGTGTGCTTTTTTTTCTTTTCTTCTCCGAGGTGTTTACACGACCCGGCAAGCGGGTTCCAGGGGCCAAAAAAAGAAAGAAAAAAAAAACATCCGCGTCAAGGTGATTGGAGCGGCAGTGAGGCTACCCCAGCCCGCCGCCCTGTGACGGGATCCCCACTATCTTGTTGTGTTGCCACTCCGCCGAGGGCACATCGGGTTTGTAGCCGCCGAGACCACGGCGTCGGCACAAGTCGGGTGAGGGCGGCGCTGGCTTTTTTTTCTCTCTTTCTTTCTTCTTGGGTTGCCTGCGCTTGGTTAGCAGACCATCTCTTGCTTTTGCGGTCCTGTTATTATCCCCCACCTTCTCTTTTTTTTCCTCCACTAGGAGGTGCCTTGCGCCTCCAATCCTACCCATGTCACATTCTAGCTCCCCCACCCTCGCACCTGGTGGACGAAGGGATCAGAAAAAAGAAAACCTTTGAACCGTGCCTTTTTTTTTCTTTTCTTTTTTTTCCCCCAGATCCCGCTCTAGTCTAGACCGCGACCGGCCGGACAACCAGTGCGGGCCCTCTCCTCCGAGGCGCAACTCACGCAGGAGAACTGTTGGAATCCCACTTATGCGAGCCAGTGGGGGAAAAGGTGGGAGGGAAAAAAAGAGGGCGGTAGCGAGGAAGTCTCCGTTCCCCTCCCCTCCCCATGCGCACAGCCTAGCTCCTGGACCGACTGTCCGGCGGCGGCCGGGTGCGCGCGTGCAGCAGCAGGCAGCACGAGGTCTCCCGGTTGCCGCTAGTGGAGGCTGGCCAGCGTGGCGTTTTACTCCCCCTCGGCCGCCCTTCTTGCGTGAAGGCGGCCCCCCCTACCTGGTTGTAGCGGGTGGCTATAGCCCGCCCATACCTAATCTACCGCGATCCGACCTTGTACCCCGCCCGACCTAGGTAGTCCTGGTTGCTGTTGTCGGTATATAGGAGCGCGTGCGTGTGTGCGGCTGTATGCAAATACGTATTTCTCCGGGCCCCCCCTCCTCAGCAAACCTTCCTACCAGCTACGCGTTTTGGAGAGCTTGCAAGTCACAAGTTCATCCCGTCTATCCTCCTTAATCCCGTCCTTTTTTCCCCCCTCTCCCCTCACCCACCGGCCTCCCTACTCTTTGCGCGCGCATACGCACACATCCCAACATCCTTCGAGTCGCCGCAGCGTCAGACGATCCGAAACCCATTCTCCGCGCCGCCTCCCAGGCCCTCCTCCAGAAACCATGTCACCGGCAGCTGTCGTGACCGTCGCGCCAACAAAGAAGAACATTGGCGTATTCACAAACCCCAAGCATGACCTGTGGATCAACGAGACGGGACCGAGCCTGGAGAGCGTGCAGAAGGGCGGGGAGGATCTGAAGAAGGGAGAGGTCACCATTGCCATAAGGAGCACGGGCATCTGCGGGTATGAAAAAAGAAAACCACAAGCCGCGCGGGACACGGGGGCGCAGGGGACGAGGAAAGGACGTGTGTGCGAGAGTTCGGCCTAACAAAAAACATGATGCTGACAGGTCCGACGTCCACTTCTGGCACCACGGCTGCATCGGCCCCATGATCGTCGAGGACGACCACGTGCTGGGCCACGAGTCGGCGGGCGAGGTGATCGCGGTGCACCCGTCGGTGACGTCGCTCAAGGTGGGCGACCGGGTGGCGGTGGAGCCGCAGGTCATCTGCAACGAGTGCGAGCCGTGCCTGACGGGGCGCTACAACGGCTGCGAGCGCGTCGACTTTTTGTCGACGCCGCCCGTGGCGGGCCTACTGCGGCGCTACGTCAACCACCCGGCCGTGTGGTGCCACAAGATCGGCGACATGTCGTGGGAGGATGGCGCCATGCTCGAGCCCCTCAGCGTGGCCCTGGCCGGCGTCAAGCGTGCGGGCCTGGGGCTGGGCGACCCGACGCTCGTGTGCGGCGCCGGCCCCATCGGGCTCATCACGCTGCTGTGCGCCAAGGCCGCCGGCGCCTGCCCCATCGTCATCACCGACATCGACGAGGGCCGGCTCAGGTTCGCAAAGGAGCTGTGCCCGGACGTCATCACGCACAAGGTAGAGGGCCGGCCGAGCGCCGAGGAGGCGGCCAAGCAGATCGTGGCCGCCATGGGCGGGCTGGAGCCGGCCGTGGCCATGGAGTGCACGGGCGTCGAGAGCAGCATCGCGGCCGCCGTGTGGGCCTCCAAGTTCGGCGGCAAGGTCTTCGTCATCGGCGTGGGCCGCAACGAGATCAGCATGCCCTTCATGCGCGCGTCGGTGCGCGAGGTCGACCTCCAGTTCCAGTACCGCTACTGCAACACGTGGCCGCGCGCCATCCGCCTGATCCAGAACAAGGTCCTCGACCTGTCGCGTCTCGTCACCCACCGCTTCCAGCTCGAGGACGCCCTCAAGGCCTTTGAGACGGCCGCCGACCCCAAGACGGGCGCCATCAAGGTCCAGATCCAGAGCCTAGACTAGATGAGGGGAGTAATGGAGGGGCTCATTGTTTCGTTTTGCTGTAATTACCATGCCAGGCCAGGGGTTGTCGTCATCATCCTGGAAGCAAGAGCAGCGAGGGGTGATGGGGATATATAATATCAGAAATTCCAAACCATGAAAGGACCAAATGGCTGTAGCGACTTGATAGACTGTTGCTTTGAGAGATGAACTAGAAGCAGCTGTAAACACTGAAGACACGTGTGTAATAATTCAGCGAATTCAACGTGTTCCTCCGTCAAGAGTTTGGGCTTGGATGACCTCAGTTTCGGTTTTCAATTGGACGCGCCAATTGGCCAGCTCCTCCTCCTGCGGGGCCCAGCATTCGGCTAAAGCTTGGGCCACATTCGAGGTTTCCCGGCCCAGCGAAAACTTCCGGGACAACGTCCAACATTTTTGCTTGCGTAAATTATCGCACGACAGAAAACCCTCCACTCCCACTCATCGCCCAACCCCGACCCGACCGCGACCCGACGACGGCAGCCACCCACCCCCCTCTCTGGGCCAACCCCGTCCCATCTGCCTGCCGACACCGAGGACCCGGCAAAGGAAGCGAGAAGACAGAATATACCAGACAGACAGCCCGCCATGTCCGCGTTAATCGCCCGCCGGTTGGCGCTGCGCCACTCCACCAACTTTGCCTCGTCCATGAGGACCACGGCGGCCCGCCGGTTCGAGTCGACCGCCACCAGCAAGGTCGCCGAGGGTGCAAAGGAGGCGGCCTCCAAGGCTGCCGAGACTGCTAAGCAGGCCGCCTCCAAGACTGCAGAGACCTCCAAGCAGGCCGCTTCCAAGACGGCAGAGGCCACCAAGGAGACGACCTCCAAAGCCGCTGAAGCCGCCAAGGACACGGGCTCCAAGGCCGCTGAGAACGCAAAGGAGACGGCCGCTAAGGCTGCCGGGGCCGCAAGGGAGACTGCCTCCAAAGCTGCCGACGCTGCGAAGGAGACGGCTGCCAGGGCCGCCGAAGGCCTCTCACGTGTCACATCTGCCGCCGCCCCGGCCCTCATGGGTGCTGCCAAGGGCGCCACGGAAGCTCTCGGCAAGGTTGGCGGCCGGACAGGGAGGTTTATCAAGTTCATCGAGGGTGCGTACCATGTTCCCCTCTCTCTTTTTTTCATCCCACTCGGGAAACAAGCGAGACTGACCTTTGCGCGCCCGTGTGCGCCATCGCCTCGACAGCCCAGGTCCCCCGCGTCGTGTACTACTCACGTGTCGGCCTTGAGCTTGGCAAGATTGTGTTCCGCAACCAGCAGATGACCCCTCCGTAAGTCGCTCGGAACCGCTGTGCGTCGGGCAAATCATTGTTCGCCAGGCTGACTCACGTCCCCATGCGCGGGGAGCCGAATCGACAGATCGGCAGCCACCTTCCAGACCTACTTCCAGAACGCCTGGAAGTCACTCCAGTCCCCAGGCGCCCTGATGAACACCATCAGCGCCCGCGTCCCGCCCTCGAACCCTATGCAGGCCGTGCGTGGACTTTCCAACGCACAACTGGCTGCCGGTGGCGTCTTGGTCGCCGAGCTTCTTGGTTTCTTCACCGTGGGCGAGATCATCGGCCGCTTCAAGCTGATCGGATACCACGGAGATGCCCACGCGGCTCACCACTAGAAAAAGAGACACGAGACAAAAAATCGCCAGCGAACCGTATTACCCTGCCTCTCTTCTCGGTGGCCAAGGGGAGAGGGCGCCCTGGAGACCAAATTTCGGCATCTTGTGGCCGCCATCGCCGGCACATCAGGCTTCTTGTGCAGCCACCAAAAGCGGGGGGACAAGGTGACAAGGCTAAAGGTTGTGAATGCAGGCCGGTTGTGGGACATCAAATGAGTCAAAGCCTCCTGATGTTTCCTCCTTTCTTTTCTCTTCATCCCACACAAACACACACGGAGCCTACTTTCTTCGGGAGACGGCTTGGGCGGAGAGGCGGATGGAATAAGAGCGGGAACGCTCTGGCGCGTTATATCGACCGGCCTGTATACCACCTCCCATTCTTCTCGCCCATTATTATCACAGCACCCGGCTCATCGAGAAGTCGACGGAGGGGAGCGGGAATAGAGGCTTCTAGAGCTTGTTTGCTGCTCTAAACCTCGGCTGCTGCGTCGTGTCCTTTTGGTATATATAGCCCTGTATCCTTTTTTGCGTCTGGCCCAGGTGTCACTCCCACCCCGGCGGACCCCCTTCAGTTCTCCTTTGTTATTCGTTGCGCAAAAGAAAAAAAAGAGGCATGTACGACCAGATAGAGCTGCATATGAACGGTGGTGGCGGTGGGCTTTTACGTTTTACAGGAGAGGTTCATGAAGGAGAGCGAGGACGGCGGAGTCGGTGACCTAGACTTAAGACTAATGAAGGGATTCTACCTCGAGCCCTGCCTGCTCAGCTGCCAGCCCGCGGCCCTTGTTGTCTCTCACTTTTAGGTGACTTGGCACCCATGTCTCCACGCCCGTCGGTAGAGAGTAGGAAGCTGTGCGGCTTGCCCAGGCTGTTCACTCGGATTGAATTGATCTGCCTCGCCAGGAACCCCAGGTATTTAATCCTACCAGGTACTTGACTCACATTGAGTATCAAGGATAATATCCGCCATAAGCGCCATGAGAGGATATGTAGTTCAAGACGTACGTCACCATGTCCACTTGCCCTCTTTTTTCTTGGCCTTTGCTCCCCTAGTCTTTGTTTCCGTCTTGTTTCCCCTTGCCCGCGGATTGTTTGTACCTCCCATGTACCGATACCCCCTTGCTAAGCCTTATTCCCATTTCGCTCGCGAACATGCAGACATACAGGGTCGAGGGTGTGGCGGTGCATGACAGGGGGAGGGTTGCAATGGGTGCCCCCCTCCCTCGACATTCGATAGGCAAAAGTGCTGAAAAGAAATAGAAAAAAAAAAGAATGGTGTGGTATATATGTGTGTGTGCTGCTCGGCCGAAGCGGTGCCAGGCGAGGGATGAGACGGACGGGTAGCATCAGTCAAGGGCGCTCAGGTGTATGTGTCGCACTTGCCTTGTCGGCTCAAGTCCAAGTGGGTAGTTTATCTATCTACCCACCTACCCACGTAGGTACCTCAAGTAAAAGGTATGCAAGTATGGGAGTGGGCAAGCACGGGAATGTTAAAAGGGGGCACCGGGCTTCTTCTTTGGGCAATCGCCTCTTGGGAAACATGCGTGAGAGCGAGTGAGATTCCGGATGGGACGGGCGGATGGCCGCTGGGTCATACATAGCTGGCTCTTGGTACCGCTGCGGTGCAGAACCTTGACGTCCCCGGTGTTGCTGCAGCCAGCAGCAGATGCCAGGACGGAGGACGGGGAGCCGGGTGACAAATCACAGTTACAAGGAGGGAGAGGCCGGTACAGCAAACAAATGGATGCCAGCAAATAAGCTTACGGGGGGGTGGGCGGATATCGCCCCGCGACCCATCGTCACACTTGCATGGGCTGATGAGCGCGGCCGTCGAGAAAACAAACACTCGAGTGGGCAAAAAAAAAAAAAAAAAAAAAGAAGATAGAAAAAGGGGAAGAAAAGAAAGAAAGAGAGGCAATGTGTCTAGAGAGAGAGAGAGAGAGAGAGAGAGAGAGAGAGAGAGAGAGAGAGAGTGTGTGTGTGTGTGTGTGT